GAATTCATTTGAATGGAGCAATTGATCAACTTTTTTTTTCAATATAATAATTTTCATTACAACACACACACAACACTCAACATACCATAACTGGTCAGAAGACCAGTTGTAATCTTGCTCATTGAAAATAAGCATTATCATCTTATCACTTTTGCACATATAGCTCCATGATTTTTTTCTTTTAATTATAGCATTTGATATTCTTTTTTTATTCGTATTTTGTTTATTTTGACTAATACTTGTTACAACAAGTATACATATCGTCATCTAACCACAGCAGGTCATGAGACTGGTTATGGTAGAAATAGAATTGAGTATGGGTATGTTCAGTGTTAATATCTTAGTTTCCTGATGTTATTTATCTTGCATAAATGTAATTAATACTAGTTTTAAAATACTCATTCTGTTCAGATTACATGATTTAATTGCATTCTAAATACTTAATATCTCTTTTAGGCATCTCTTTCTGGTATGCCTTTGGAAATCTTTGAAAGAATGTTGAGGGGGCGTACTAGCCAGAAATATAACCCTGCCTTGCGGTCATTTGCCCTCACGCTGAGCTTTTATTCCCCAAGAGCATACAATTTTGTGAGGAAGACATTTAACCTTGCTCTACCCCATCTGTCAACAATAAGCAAATGGTATAAGTCGATTGATGGTTCACCAGGCTTCACTGAGGAATCCATTGTGGCCTTGAAATTAAAACAAGGAGAAGCTTCAACCAAAAACTCTACTGTTATGTGTAATTTAGTCCTAGATGAGATGTCTATTCGGAAACAAGTTGAATGGACAGGGAGTAAGTTCACGGGGTATGTTGATATTGGGGCTAACATAGAATCAGACGTTCTACCAGAAGCAAAGGAGGTGTTGGTTTTTATGTTAGTATGCTTGAATGGAGCATGGAAAATTCCGGTGGGTTACTTTCTGTTGGATGGCTTGACTGGTTATGAAAAGGCAGAACTCGTGAAAAAATGCCTAACCTTCATCCACACTTCTGGAGTTACTGTAGCATCATTAACATTCGATGGTGCTCCAGTAAATTTCACAATGGCTTCTTGTCTAGGGACAAATCTGAACGATGTAACAAACTTGAAGACTTATTTTCTCCATCCTATAACGGGTCAAAATGTATACATATTCCTAGACCCAAGCCACATGATAAAATTAGTCAGAAACGCTTTTGGTTCCATCAAATACTTAGGTGATTCTGAAAACAATCAGATAAGTTGGGATTATTTGGTGAAGTTAGTTGATGTGCAAAATATCGAAGGTTTACATTTAGGCACAAAAATAAGAAATCGTCATCTACAGTGGACGAGAGAAAAAATGAGGGTCAAAATAGCTACACAAACTTTAAGTAGAAGTGTTGCTGATGCTTTGACCTATTTATCCAAAGATTTAAAACTAGCGACGTTTGCTAATGTGGAAGGTACCGTAAAATTTGTTCAAACATTTAACGATATTTTTGATATTTTCAACTCTAGAAACAGGTTTTCAAAGTACTTATTTAAGCGCCCACTTTCTCCAGCTACTGCAGATACATTTTTCAAATTCATGGACGAGGCAGTTCAATATATCCATGGATTGCGACTAGGTACTCTCCCAATAATACATTCTCCAAAAAAAACTGTTTTTTTAGGATTTTTGATTTGCATTCAGAGCTTGAAACAGTTTTATAACTTGTGTATTGTAGAAAAGAAAGTTTTAAAATATATTTTGACAAATAAATTATCACAGGATCATTTAGAGCTTTTTTTTGGAGCTATTCGTAGTAAGGGAGGGTACAACAATAATCCCAGTGCAAGGCAGTTTGAAGCTGCATACAAACGATTGCTGGTGCATACAGAGATATCTGGCCCAGACACAGGAAATGTTGATAACCCAGAGCGTTTGACTATCTTATCTTGTGGCAGTGGATATCATATAACCAGGGCGGACGATGGTGAAGATCTTTTAAATAGCCCAGAATTACTTCAGTTTGAAGAAAAAATAAAAAACGATCTTGCCCTTTACCAGTGCACACCTTTTGCATGGAATCTTACAATTTATACAGAAGATGTTGTTTCATACATTGCAGGGTTTGTGGTGAATTGTTTAAAAAAATGTGTTACTTGTATAAATTGTAAGAATTCTTTAGAGGGCGATATTGACATGCCATTGCAAAAAAGAAAAGTTTATGGAGAATTGACAAAAGCCTCAGGACCAGTTATTCAAATTTGCCGCCATGGTGAAAAATACTTTCGTTTCTTCCAAAAGACAACTAATATCTTTAACAAAAATATCAAACATCTCTCGGATATTCTAGTCAATAATACCATACAATCAATATCACCACATATTTTGGGGTATTTTGAACACCACCTTCTTGAAGATGACCCTATTGATGGGCACTGCATATTTCTGATAAAACTGATTTTGAAAAAGTATTTCTCACTCAGAATTCATCACGAAACTGTGAAAAAATCGGACAGTTTAAAAAAAAACAGAATTAGAAGTGTATATACGAAGGCAGTATTATTCAGCCATCAGTAAGATTTTTTTCTTTGTTGTATCTCTCGTAATTTTTTGGATTCTATGATATGATTCTAAGGTTGAGAAGTATTTTTAAATTATGTACATTTTTGTAGACCTGTAGGTGGCAGAAGTTCAAGCTTTGTTTTTCCCAAAATGCATAGCTAATTAGTAGATTTTTAATTTTCTGGCGACACTGATCATGTATGTATAGGTCGACTACATTTCAGCTGTTTCCCATGTAATTGAAATAATTCAAGATTCCGCAATTTCTACCAATACACAGTAAAATGGAAATATCCCCACTGCATGTATTGTTTTTTTTTCGTATTTCATGTTATAAATGGATACATAACCTATCTTATAAAATTAATTTGCTATACAAATTTCTCAACACGATTACTACAACACTTTAGGTAACACCCCAAGATTGAATGAATTATTTACAATTATGCTTAATGTGTTGATGTATATATTTTTGATTATATTATATGTAATTAGATTTTATATAAAGTTACCTTTATATATATATATATATTATATATATATATATATATATTATATATATATATATATATATATATATATATATATATATAACTCGCATATTTTCCTTTAATTATGCTATAACTGAGACCTCGTAGATGAATGTCAGACGTTCATTCCAGACTGTGATCCGTACGTCAGTATTTACTGATAGATTTCCTTCCGGATCGATGGAATGATTGAATTTCCACATAACCTTATGCAACAATAAAACATGGCATCAATACGCTAGGCTAGACGTTCAATGAATACGACCACATTCCTTGGAAAATACTAACGGATCAGAGTATGAAATGAACGTCTGACATTCGCTTTATAACACTGGCAAAGTAGTACTAATAAGATTTAGAGTGTTTGTTCTTATACTGTTCTTTACTATTATACAAGGAATGGCCTATGATGATTTTGTACCCATTGTTAAATTGGCGAGTGTGAAGTAGCTGCTTGAAGCAACTCTTGTAATTTATGATTTTGTAAAAATGTCAAAATAAAAAGTGTTCCCATTTCACTGTTTGATTTGTTTTAAAAAAATATCTTATTAAAATGGATGGCGATCAAAACTGTTCAATCCAACTCTAATTTTTAAGTAAATATTGGAAACACATTGGTCAAGTATACCGTCTCTAATCTAGAGGCACCTCTGTCAAAATCCATCAAACCGTTCAAGCTGCAGCCTTGGAAATATGAATTTCAAGGTTGATTATTTTATTAATATTCGCCATTTTGTTTCAATGAAATTTTAATATACCCAGTATCACTCATACTGCTAGGACGAATCCGAATACCAAAATCCAACAAGCATTTGAGCCCGTGAAACAGAATTTTTGGATATATACATACAAACCAAAAAACATGTGAAACATATTCCTCCTGAGGCAGTCGGGTTAATAAATGTATAAAGCTCATCAGTTTTCAGAGCCTCGTCTGTCGCTGGCGACACTATCATGATTGGTCTGAGTGCATGTGACGTCCGGTTTGGTTCATAGTCCTAGTTTTGACCGTTTCTTGTTGTGTTTATGTACACTTATATTTAATTGTACTTCGACGCTATATTTCGGCTTGCATATTCATAATTAGCATAAACAATTTATTTGAGTGACAAATTATTCCATTCCATTATGCATAATACTTTTACATTCATTGAAGTGCCCAAAAACTCCACAAAAATCGATTTCTAGCTATAGCTCTATTACCCCGATTATGATACGCCCATGGCAGTTGACGACTGTCCGCCATCTTCCTCCAGCTGTATATAGTTTTCTGTTGTTTATCTTGTCAACGTTCAGATAGACGTTTTATGAATGAATGTAAATGTCTAGGTCTTTTCATCGTCGTTGGTTACTATGCGTTCACTCTAGTGCCGCATTCGAGCCTTTAGACTTTTTTCATACCGTCCACGGTTAGTGCTTCCTCTGACTACGGACCACTGTCGTCAAAGTTTGAACTGGAGCAGAGAACGGCAGCATTGGGAGGCAGAATGGCATAATGTCATCTTCAGCGACGAATCGCGATTTTGTCTAGGTAAGCACGATGGTCGTGGAAGGATAAGATGCCGCCGTGATGTTTGATTTGCTGTTGAGAAGTATATACACAGGACTGTTGGAGTAATGGTTTGGGGATCAGTACAGAATAGATAAGGCAACAAAAGAAAGCAGAGTCGGAATCTCTATTACAGATATATAATTCGGTATATCTATTTTCTATTTTCTGACGTGACCAGTTTCGCTGATAATATCTCAAAATTGGTTTTCTAAGTATGCAATGGATGTTGTAAATTTCGTTCCAAGAGTTAGCAGTATCATGCTAACTTTCGCCTAAACGTTCCAAAGGAAAAACCACCATTGCAAAGGTTACTGAAAACGCTAAGCGTGCCAGTGGTGATGACATGATGGTTTTTTCAAATTCTGCTAATTCATTCTACCATGCAAATTATATACTGTTACCTTGAAATTTGGACGTGGTACAAAAATAGGCTCGCTAGGGTAGCAGTTTTCCTCACACCAAGTCTTACTAGACCGAGTCACAGTGTCAACCTTGATAATCTAAAATCAGTCAACTTTTAAAAAATGTTATCATCATACTTTCAATAAACTTAACTGTTCCTGGATTTTTTGCATCTACGTCTGATGAGATTGCATAGAAATATCTGTATGGTTTGCCTGAAATAATTGAGAAATTTGGAACTTTTCTCACGATATATTTCAAAAATCATATACCTATATAGTGTTCATAGTGAATTCGTGGTGTTTCACATCCAAGATCGAGAAGCCTCTCAGGCTTCACCAAAATTTCTCCATCAGGTAGATAGTAAGCTTTGGCTTTTGAGTTCTTCAGTTTTATTAAATTTCTATTCAGCTCTTTATCCATTTTTTCTGGATTCAGTGGCAAAACAAACCTTGCTGGCCTGCCTCGAAACATCTTCGCATAATTTGGATTTTGTTGCATTGACTAAAAATACGGACATAACTTAATGCACATGTACCCTCGTGAAAGGTTCCTAATGAATAATTAAACGTGAACAATTGTATTTTATACAACCTTTTTGAAAGATATATTGTGAAAAGTTCACTTTTACCTTCATCGATTCAATAAACATGCAGTCCAACATAGATGGGTCTTTGTACATGCATATGTCTATGACAATATAATCGTCTAACTCATACTGATGTATTATGTGCAAATAGAAAAATGCCTCCGCTTGAAATGTATAAAGCAGTCCTCCAGACTTTCTAGATAGCACGTTAAGTTGTGTCTAAAAAAAGTTGATTTGAAGACGATGCCCAATTTTCGTAGCAGCACGACCTACGAATTCCTCATGATACCATCTAAAGCATCCTGCCAAAGGTTCATTATTAAATTTTGCTGATATCATTCCTGGTACTGAAACGCATAACGGCTGTTCCACTATTATGAAAAAGTTATCTGTTAAGCCTGAAAGAAATAAATCTACATATTTTGCTGGCCGCCACATATTTTGGATTGAATGTTTACTAATGTTTTGGCCACCTTGTAAGCCTTTTTCAAACTACAATGCAAAAAATGACAATGACAATGTATTTTATATTTCGTTCGGGTGGTTATTAGAGCACACTGTATTATAGCGCCAAAAATAAATGCGCTGGAAGGCCTGGAAGACATAAAATATACTGTCATTGTAATTTTTTGATTTTTTGAAAAAGGGCATCCAGCTGCCCGAATTTTTTTTACACCGAAACAGGCGCGCAGGCAGAAGCCTAAATGACAGGTCACCGCGTTGCTATGAGGAGCTTAAAGAAACTTTGTTTATCTGATTTTTGACCTGCCTAAGATTGATAGAACTGGGAAAAGCCTCCTCATGTAGATTGTTCCACAATCTCGATATCCTAAGGACAAAGGAGCGGTTGTATTGGCCAGTTCTGGGTGTACGAAGTTCGACACGGTTAGGATGGGAGGCCCAAGTCAGGTGGATCTGTCTGACAGGCACATCACATAGCGGCATCAGGGAGAACGGCTCAGAGGAGCAAAGCCCATTGGCCTATCGGTAGAAGAGAGCTAGATCACCGACGACCCGCCGGTGTGAAAGGGTCCTGAGACTGCCCGTTAGTGAATAGTCATTGATCAGTCGGAGCATGGATAATGTATTCGGGCTGCAGCACCCCAAACATGTGAGCAGGTTTCGAGACTAGGTCCTATCTGGACGTTTTACTTAGTGAGGAGGTCGTGTGGAGAAAAGTACTTCTTAGCCTAGCTTTTTCCCAGCAGGTGCCGCTATTGACATCCAACATTTGACGATCAGCAAAATATAGAGATTTTTATCAGCAAGATAAGTTTCAGATGTTACATTGACTGGAAGAAATACTTCTATTTGAGTATTTCAAATTAATTCGAACTAAATACATTGATCACTATCTATATTATATTTATACCGGTGTTTCAAATTCGGCTCTCACTACTGGTATTTTGGAGACAGTAAGATATACGAAGTGGCTTAAAAAATGGCAAACTTTCGCATTTGGGTAACTAAGAAAATGACACTTTTGTTGTTGTTTTGCAATTCCGAATATTTCCGGAGAGAGTCGGAAAAAACTGAATTTTCCCAAGCCCAATGCAAACTATGAAAATATTAGTCTTTTGGAAATAAAGTTTGGCAAAGTCAATATATGACATACAATTTTTGGAACAGAATCAAAAAAATTATACACATGTGCAAAAAATCTGATATGGCGTCCATAAGAAGAATAAATTCTGATTATGTCAACTTTTAGAGGAGAAAAAGTGGCAATGTTGTGTTATTTATTTTCAGTTTCCACCTCAAATAAAGTCAAGAAAAGATTAACACGATTTCGGGAAAATTCAGTGTTCTGCCTATATCCGGAAATAATTGGAATTGCGAAACTTTCTGAGTGCCTTCCTCTTAGTTACTCAGAGGCACAACTTTCCCCCATTTAACACGACTTCGTATTTATAACCGTTTCCCAAATCCCAATGGTGAGTGTTGAATTTGAAACATATGTTATATCTATATTTTTCAAACATCTAAGACGCTAAGAAACTCATGATTTTGTTCTGCTTCTAATGTTTTACCGAACGTATGCATGTATGATGGATTTAAAGGCCATCTTGCTGGAATCGTTGCTACTATTTTGGCATTTTTGAACATTGTACTCGCATCACCTGAAACATGGAAGTAAATCAAATTATTATTTTATGGAAATACATCCATAAAGTCTTATATACAGGTAGGATCGTTTCCAATGGTGGGCAAGCAATATGTTGGAAGAAATACTGTATCTTTAATTATATTATATCTCAGTCCTATATTAGCATATTCAGGCAGTTTTTTCTTGCTAATTAATACAAGAATGTCGGAATTTATAGTTTTTAAAATTGCCTGACCTTTATATGAATTCACTTACTTTTTTCGTTTGTTGGGAATTCGACAATCGTATGATGCGGACCCGTCGCATAGATAGTCGTTCCCAAATTGTACACAGTACCTAGAAGATTTGAAGTAAAGTTTTGTGATCTTAAAGTATACCTTAAATTAATCATACCATCACTTAGTACATGAGGATGTGAAGTGTGGTTTACTATCGACACATAATCGTTTATATTCACTTTGCCTTCTGTTTCCAGAGTGTCTTGGTTGATTCTGTGGATTGTTGGAATTTCTGTAAATGCATATATCTCGTCTCCTATTGGATAAACTGATATCATCGCGTTGTCCGAAGCGTCTTTATTGAAAACTGCTGCAATTCTGAAAAAGATAGGTACTTGCAAATATTGAATTTCAACAAATTAAATGCTTTGTCATGTTTGTTGGATTGTAACTCAAACTTTCATTTTCTTAGATCTACTCAAAGTTTTCGAAATTAAAGATACCTGGAGCCCGATTAAAATACGCTGTATTTAGTGTAACAATTTGTTACCATTATATGATTCAATACCTTTGAAATATTGTGTGGCAAGGATCAGGCACAGATTTCGTTCCAAACTCTGTCAATACTATTCTGTTAGCAGATCTGTTCTTTTTGAAAACTTCCGATTGCAAAAATCTACATTGGTAAGTCACTTTACAATCTTTAATGTTATATCTAAAATAAATAATATTCGTAAAGTATTTTGGGCACCACTTTTTGTTTCTTGTTACCTATGAAGTAATGCAGAACTGTCAAAAAGATGAGCAAATTCTTGATCGCCTACTTTAAGAGATCCTGGACCATTTCGTATCAAGGATCCTCTCAACCATGAAGGTATACGGCCTACAACATTCAACAAGCCATGCTAGAAGTTGGTTAAAGCTTATTTCTGTACAATACTGTCTGATCTGACTTATCGCGTGTTAAAATTAGCTCAGAAGTTGCATGCGGCGGTACTAGATGATCAAAAATCCATTGTTTTGAAGCAGTTACTGCAATATTATTGGTAGGTACCTTTTATAACTCCATTTAATGGTTCAACAATTTCCTTTTCGCATGATCTTAACCAAACATTGACGTCACAGTTTGGATACAATTGTAACTCTTTCGTTACAGTTTCATCATCCTAAGAAAATTGTATGTGGTCACTTTTACAATTTTATGTAGAGTCTACTACAAGATTTAATCACAAAAACAAAAATAAGTAAAATCCCAACTTCACACGACATCTGAATTTTAGGTAATAAACATAAAACCTACCTTATTTTCTGTAAAACCTAGTTTTCTTCTTTGAGGCAACGGAGTCCAACCAAAAATGGGAGTACTCGCTCCAGAAGGACACTTTTCTTCAGTATCTAGTGAATTTTCTTTTTTATTGTATAAGCGTTTCATTTTATGTGGGGGAATTTAGAATTTGAAACCTTTTGAGAATAGAGAATTGCCCACTGGAGATGAAAACTGAATAAATTATCAGACATCTCAAAAACATGAAGGGATACCGCTCTTATATTACGTCGAGACTAATATTCTTAATGAGATTAAGCAGTCAAGGTCGATGGGATATTTCATGTTGGAATAAATTGATTTTTTGCTCTCCCCCTCGCAATATATGAATTAAGATAATGCACTTACGAAAGAAGAAAAATACAGGGCAGCTCCTATATAATCTGAACTTTCCCCAATGAAATTAAAAAAATTAACTGATTATTGAATAAACAGCTACAACGATGGGGTGTACATACTTGATCTTGCACTGATCTGGTGCATACATAAATATTATACAAAAAGTTGCCGATCCCCCCTCCATCTCAGAAAATACTGACGGAAGAAAAAATGATCAGGGCATAGGATTGTAGGATTTTATTTAAGCAATCTAATGCTGACCTTGACAGTGACCTTAAAGGTGATTTTCAAGGTCAAATTGATTTTCTCAAATGGAACCCTATACATTTTACACCAGAAATCAAACGAGTGGAAAATTCTAAGTTTGGATATGTCATTAATTGTGACCCTGACTGTGGGGGTCATATGAATATTAAAGGTATTTTCTTTAATGGGACCCTCTACTTTTGACACCGGAAATTAAAAGGAGGAAACATTTCAAGTTCGGATATTCTCAAATGGGACCCTATACTTCCACTCGAAACAAGGAGGCATACTAGGTTTGGATAACCTTGAATAACATTCAAGGTCAAAGCGATTTGTTCGAATGGAACCTATACTTTAGACCCTAGAAAACGAGATAATTTTGTTTGTATGTCCTTGAATGTCTTTATAAGGTCAACCCTATATTCTAAGTAGAACAGGCGAAAACTCTAAATTTGGATATGTAATTGACCAAGGACTTGAAGGTTATTCCAAGGCCAGTCCGATTCACTTGAATGGAAGCCTATACCTTTCATCCCAGAAAGCAGAAGATCTAGATGAATTGCCTGCTCGAATAAATCGAGAAATGGATTCAGAACCCTCAGAAAAGTAACTTGCCTTCACTTCCCGGGTCACTGGTCGAACTGGATTGAACTACCTTGCTTTCTTGGGCCGGGTGATTCATCGACCTTCACCTCCACTGGCCGGGTCACTGATTGACTTTGGCAATGACTGATCCACCTTGCCTTCACTGGCCAGGTCACCAATCGATCTGATCGTCGTCATGGTCAAGAACATATCCAAACTAAGTTTGTCCTCTTTCGATTTCCAGGGTCAACTTCCGGGAGGGGGGGGGGGACTTTTTGAATGCGCTGTATACAAACACAACATCCAAGGCCGAAATGTGACTTCCGAAGCCGGGATTCGAACCCGCGAGCTTTCGAGCCCATCTGCTAGCAGTTCGACGCCGTAACTCACGATCTACCCAGCCCCCTTCTCGTCGGGTAGATTCTAGGCTATGGTCTAGTGAAATTATTTTCGAAGTTAATTTGGCAAACACCTCGAACGGGATGTTATCGTATTAATTAAAAGTTATACAATGGCGTAACCAAAACGTTGCATGCCCAATGAAGCGAAACGACGCGAAAGGAACCGCGGCGGCATTTGTACGAGTCGAACGTGATAGTGCATGGGAAAAACCCATCGGAAGAGTCTTACTTTCAATGGCAGTGTACCTCTATAATTCTCGAAATAAATTTTCTATGCTGGGTTCCAAAGCAGCTGCTTGCACCACCCATGCTTTCCATCCACCAGGCAAGATATCCCGTTTGAGATGTTTGGCAAATAAACACGCAAAAGGCTAGATCATATCCTTTACCCCATCCACACCATGGACTTGATCCACTCGAGAAGTTTGTTCTTGCGAAGTTACTTTCACTGGATTATTTTCGTTAATCCGCCCGATGTCATCGGCGATTAGCGTGTGCCGAATAAGGTCCTATTAAACTCACGAAGTTAATCTCAATTGATTGTTTTCGTTAATTTACCCGACGGCATTGCCTATTTCTGTTCGACCAATAATTTCCGAAGTTAATTTTACTGAACTATCCCCGATAATCCATCGGGCAGCATAGACTATTCGAATTCGAGGGGTTTGTCGAAACCTGCAAAGTTAATTTCATTAAACTATTTTTGATCCTCCCAACGTCATCGCCTACTCTTGCCTAGTGACCTTGCGAATTTAATTTCGCCAGACGATATTCGTTAATCAATCGGAAGACATCGACACAGCCTGGTATTGGAGAAATAAAAGACTGATTTACAAAGATGCGTTTCATTTGTAAAGTAATTTTGTATAAATTTATTAAAGCTAGCTAATACTAGAATATCAGTTCTAGTTTCCCTTCGAATATCGTTTCCAAAACCTCTTGACCTCATCGTGCGCCGACTTGTTGATCACGAGTGTCCTCTTCTCCTTGTTACACCATATCAACCAGCCATTCGATTTAGCATACTCCTTCAACACGTTGAAGTCAGCCTGCATTAAGAAAACATCAAAATTGCACATGTGTAAAAATGACCGTCTACACTGAAAACCAAATACCACTGACGTCGTAATGTGTACGAGAGACAAGCGCGAAAAGCATGCAATACGTGTGTTAGAAAGAGATAGAGACACCTCGTTGCCTAGCAACCCGAGTGTCAAGGCCACCGATGCCATCGGTGCACTCTTTCTACCATACATTTGTAAAATGAAATGCATTTTTTGGATGTTATTTGACATGTGCACCACGAAGAACCATGTCCCTTATTTCCATCAATCTGTCTGCCTGTTAATCATTGGCCCGTTTATAACCTAGGAAGTAACGCTCGGCATTTGTTGAAATGTTCACACAGTGTTACTACAATGCCCATGATGCAAAAGCTTAACCGCTTGGACCGACTTGCTCGTTTTAATTTCTTTTGTTATGCATGTTCGTATCTAACTTTTGTCTCAGACGGACAAACCTATGTAACATAATCCTTTATAACAGCGTTGCGTGCGAAGTGCAGAGTCAACCTATTGGACGCCATTTTTTGTCCCATGGCAGACAAAAATAATATGTGCTAAGCAGCAAGGTTTTCGAGACTTTGGAACATTGAATAATTTCCGTATAATGCCGAATTTTAGATAAGGTTTTTTTATGGTTTAGTGATTTCTATATTAAGAAAATCCAGTGCTAACTAAGAGCCGTTTTACACCCAAGAGAATTACTCCGAAAATTATGGTCATAATTATGCCGAAAATTTGCATGGAAAAAATATTGAAGATTTTCTCTACAACCTGTATGTCACAAGCAAACAAAATTTCGGAGTAATTCATATGATACGCCTGCGCATTAGAGTAATATTTTCGAATGGACATAACCTTAAGGTATGACGTCCAATATAATCGGAAAGACAACAGACGTCGTTGATTCAAATTTATTTTTGAAATCGAGATCTTGGTTAATATTATAAATCTTCTCAATGCTTGGGCTATCGCATCCAGCGCCTGACGCCGAAAATTTCTGTTTTTGTAATTGGGCGACTTCACCTTGTACAGGTTTGGCCATTTTTGGTACTCCTCCAACAACAGTGTAACTTCTTCCCGATTCCACGACATTATGAATAAACAATAAACGCTTCTTTGTACGACTCGAACAGGACCACACCCACAAATGTTAAGTGAGGTTATGTTGTTGACATTTGATATTGACAATTGACATGCACGGAAATAACCCTCTGCGCCGATTCTCGCGCATATTCTATAGAACGGGTTTTATATTTTTACCATGAACATTTTCACAAGAATTCTTTTACGTGTAATACGACAACAAAAATTTTCGGCGTAATTAAGACCATAATTTTCGGAGAAATTATCTTGTGTGTAAAACGGCTCTAAGCCTAAGTCTTATTGCAATGGACAGAAATGCCAAAATTCAACAAAATCGCCAATAAAGATCTTTGAGGTAAATAAAAAAAATATTTTTTTTCCTTTGACACTCTGCATCTTGAAAACCAGACTCGATAAGACACAGGTTCATATGAACTTAACTACTTAAATTTGGTTCGAGAACGCATCTCTATAATTAGGGCTTCATTAAATACATATCAAGCCAAATACCTGATAGATGATAAAATTAATAACCAGAAACTTCAAGAATTTCGTCATGAATTTGACCTTGAAAAATATAGCGGTCGGTGAGACCATGAGCTCATAGAAGAGTGACAAAAAACGTCCATCCTTCAAACTTTAAGAGTTCTTACCTGCGACAAGAATTGACTGTAGAGGACACCTTCACTATAAGTAAGTCGATTCCTTTCTAACTCCCACAGTTTGATTTGATCTACTACAGTGGGTGGCAAGGGGTGTTTTGATTCGCTTGTGTAGGTTTGGGGATGGGAGTGTTGCTTTAAGTATCCGATTATTTGGTCCGCTGTAATGCCGCCACGCAACGCTTGACGCACAGAGTCGCGTGTTATCACGCCAACCACCAAATTGGGAAACCTGAAAAGAATTTGAATCGGTCGTTTAAAATACCGCAGAAATCATTTAGGGGTTTGGGGGTACCTTTTGAAAAACACTATACAGGGTGTCCCAATATTCCATAAAAGTACGACGTATTTTTAGACGCAAAATAGGTCGATTGGATATGGTTTACCTCTATGCAAAAGTGCTTCGTTTGTCCGTTAGGAGGGGTAAAAGTTTTCTTTTTAAAACACATTTTCAAGATATTTTAAGAACCGATAGTTGAATGAAATTTGGAACGCGTGTTTAGCTAGATGTTCTAATATTTGACTTTTACGCAACACTGAAGGGTTCGAGAAAGGTGAAGACTACCCGAACCTCTACATAAATTATAGCAGAATTTTTTGGCAATTTTCCCGACGACTTTTTTTTGTTTACTTCATTTTTTGTCTCCTATAAACTAAGGCTATCACGGATAGTTTTCGAGAAAAAAATGAGTTGCATCAAGACGTTCCTAAGAGTCTTATTAATTCTTTAAGCGTAGTTAGCGAAAACAAAGTATGATATTTATATTACATTTTTATTGAATACAGACAATAGTGCGAATCTTTCATAAAATAACCACCATTTTCGTTCCTCCTCGGTCCGAGTTCTATGCTTGCAAAGTCTGACGATTTGGAATTCGTCGAATCTGATATCTATCTTGATACACGTGAACAGTTCTTCTGAAATTACCTTCGCAAAAACCAAGTACTAACCACATATCAGTCTGTTCGTCAAAAGAATATCTCGTATTCACGAGAAAAACAAGCAACAACAAAAACGTAAAAAAAATAATCACAAACGTTAATTAATTTAAAATCTATGACGAACAAGCAACAGACCAACAATCAAAAATAAAGCCAAACATGACTTATTTAAACTTTATGAAGCTTGTTGTCAAAAATAATCTGACACTGACATAACATCCCACATTTACGCCAACTAGATGCCTATATTTTAACACTTTATGTAATAAGGAATTTTTTTGAAACCAGCTCCGATAAACATTTTTTTTCTCGAAAACTATGCGAAATGGCCTAAAAGGATCTTTTAAATATAAAAAAATCAAGAGTCGTTAGCAGAGCTGCGAAAAATTTTTGCTTTAATTCATGTAGGGGTGGGGGAAATTTTCGCCCTCTCGAACCCTCTAGGGTTTTTTGAAAAAGTTAAATATTAGGACGTATAGCAAAACAGATGTGATCCAAATTTCATTCAAATCGGACTATCGGTTCTAAAAATATCTGAACAAAATGTGTTTTAAAAAGAGAACTTTGGCGCCCTCTAACGGACAAAAGAGTCAATTTTTGCATAAACGTAAATCATGCCCAGTCCACTTATTTTGTGACCAAGAATACGAGGTACATACTTCTATGTCCACGGAATATTAGTACACCCTGTATATCTTACCTATATATTAGTTCGGTGAATAATGATATAAGGGCAACTTGTAGATTTGAGTCTGTGTAGGCATACACCCTATAATTGGTTTCAACTATAACGTATCCCTTAGGAGCATCCTCCTCTATGTCTTGTGTTGGCTTGTTCCTAGTATTTGTTATATTAAGAGCTAGCCTTGTGGGGTAAAATCTTCCTGCTTTACGCTGAAAGAAGCAATATAGGTTCAATCAACTTTCTCTTCAACTGAAATTAGAAACTCGTACATTCTTTTCAAATGATAGGAATCAAACAGTGCAGTAAGTCGCTTTGAGGCTTATAAAGAAAACCACTCAAATTATCGTAGCCTAAATTTTTGATTTTATATTTACCTTTCTTTGGTAAACTAGACCAAATTCTCTTAAATGTTGTAGAAATACTAATAAACCAGGACTCATACCCTCCGTGCTATAATCCTGAAATGAAAAATATGATAGTAACTAGTTTTTTGAATCTTTGGTTAAGGATACCTTTCCAAGTGTACTGAAACTCAACTGGAACAAAAATGTGAGACATTCAACAAGATCTAAACCTCTTTCTTCCACTGTATCTAAGTACTGGAGTAGAAAATGCCATACTTGAGACTGACGATCCAACAGTAGAAACTGAAATCCTCGCCTTGTTATCACAGGACTACCATCTTCTTCATCCCTATTTCAATATATCAATGATCAATTGGAATGATACGATTAGGAACCTCAGAAACATTCATCAAATGAGTGTAAAATCGGAAAAGATCGCCCGAAGACATCGGTAAGTGTCGCATGATACAAGATGAATTTTTTTGAGTTTTGATACCAAATTCGTATACGATAACTGGCAACCTGGCAAAAGTTAGTGAGGTTATGTTAAATGCCAACAGATGTCACATCTTCACTTTCCTTACCATAAGCGGAGCATTGAGCACCGCAGCATACCGACAAGTGTCAGATGTGAATATTTGTAGGTTATGACTAAGTCAGGGGATCGTCCATTTTGCCAGATTGCCAGTTTTCTTATACATTTCATATGGTGCCATGCGTCACTTAGTCGAGTTTTTCAAACTAGTCACATGTGGTGTGACATATCCACGTACAACTATATGCGTTGTACGTGGATATAACTGCTTAAGCTATAGGTGTGGTCATTAAACTTAGGGAATTAACGTGTAGGACAACGCACAAAAGCTTAGACGCTGGTTAAACTTCATTGGTGCCATTCGCGTTTCGTTCATCCAAACAATAAACATGCACCTGTCACTACAAATAATTGCGTTGCTTATAATGTTAGTCTCTTCACGATGCCACCAATAAAGTTGCTTTGGATAAGTACACATGAAGGATGGACCAAACATGCTATCAACTACAAAATTGCAATGAAAGTAAAAGGAAAGTCTACCATCTCTAGATAGATGTTCTATCAAGAGCAAAATAATAGATTATCAAAATACGAGGTCTGCAAATCAAGTGAGGAGCCTGTCAACGTGGCGTTCGATCTGGCAACACTGGATGCGCCGGGCTTGGAGGGGAGACAGAGGAACAAATGATTTGCCGATATGCCGATCCGCCTTCATAACAAGTTTGACCTCGCTAGAGTCGTTTGGTTGTCCGAAGCGAGTTTTTGTGAATCGTTTTTTTTTCTATTGTTCTAAAGATGAGTGTCACCAATTTCAAGCAACGGAAGCTCTTGCTAAACAGGCCAACTGAGATAGTGTTTTGTCAAGAGCCCAGGTTTTTCGATGGTTTCAAGCATTTTGAGATGGGAGAGAATCGATTTAAGATCAACAATGATGCGGAAGGCTCTCATCTTCAAGAACCGATGAAAATATTGGCAGAATCCGGGATCTTGTGCGTTCAGATCGTCGATTGACAGTCAGAATGATCGAGGAAGAGTTAAATTTGACAAACATTACCATTCATTAGAACGACTGGTTGTTGCATCACAATAATGCTGCTTGCCACACAGCAATGTCAATATACGAGTTTTGGGCCAGTAAAAACATTCCTGTGGCTCCTCAGCCTCCTTATTCACATGACCTGAGTCCTTGTGACATTTTTCTTTTCCCGAAGTTTAAAAATCACCTCAAGGGACAGTCAAAAACATTCAAAGAGCTGGAGGCTATTCCAGTATCCGAGTTCCAACTCTGCTATAAGGAGTGGAAGACCCGTCTCCAGAGCTGTGTAGCTTTAGGAGGAAGTTATTTTGAGGGTGACAACATAAAATTGTAATTATATTTGAGTGAAAAATCAGCCTGGGGCTGACTATATTTTTATTACCTTTTCATGAGACCAGCATGTAGTAAAATCCTAACAGCATCTGCTGAAATACCTTCCTGTTGTTGTGAACCAACCATATAGTGTAGTACACACTCCCATCTTTCTTGAGAATATGCATCAAGGAAAGCAACATCCCTAGCTTTGCTATCTGCTTCTAAGGCTGAGGACATTGTCCATGCTTTACCACTGTCAATAAAAACACTTGATGAATCAAATACTAAACAACCAATTACAAAATGGACCCATGCATAAAAACAGATTCCTTGTGAGACTTTAGCTAATATTCCTGTTGGATTATCAAAAAATCAATGATAATCAGATAAAAGTACTTCTCCACCACATTTCTGTGTACCTTGAAGTGATTCAGTTAGAGCAGCAGTGCTGAATACCTTACAGGGCAGCTCCAGTTGATAAGAGTCTTGTGACTAGATAATAGTGTTAGAAATCATCAGTCTCAAGAAATATTGTGTGTATAAGTTGTTACTTTTTACAGTTTGTTCATTGCACATTATATTTGTTGTCTGTTAATTCCAACAATAAATTTCTTACAGTCCTGAATGGTTATTCCTAGTAGAACCTATGAGTTCAGTGCAAAGCTAGGCAAAACCATATCATTAACTTATGCAGGAGACTGTATTTGACAGTCTATAATCATCAGAAATTCCTTGTTGGAAAGAGCTGTATGTATTGGAAGTTTTTAGTAAATAAAAAATGCCACATATGTATGTTGGATTTGGCTAGATTTTACTTGTGAAATATGTTGCTTAAACACTTTTCTTTCCATCAAGGTTTTTAAGAATAAAAATAGTCTATATTTTGCAGTAAGTACATACTTGACATTTTTCACAACCATAAAATTATTTGGAAATGGGTTGAAATTGAGTTGATTTGGTGAAAACAGTGCCTAATATGTTTGTTAACATTGAGAACCAAGAGTAGGAATTCAACTCACCCTCCCAGAAGGGCTATTTTGAGATTCCTTTTGAATGTAGGAGATAAAATCCAACCTAATAAGCCACCTGGTATTGCTGCTTCTTGCCATAATGATAATTCTGTTAATACTTTGCTAATAAAATTGTGCTCTCTGAAAATATCGACATATATATTCATTGACTCATTGTCAAAAAAACATTGTACCAAACACTTACTTGGAAAATGATTGTGAGCCCCATGAGGCAACCACAGCTTGAGGTACAGGTTGTTCTACAAATAATATCCTTATTACATACTGCCGAGCCAATTCTGACAATTCTCTGTAAAAATTGAGGTTATTTAAATGAGATTTACTTACTACTATAAAATCTTTATTAATAACTAGCTGAGTTGCTACACTATCACTTTATTCAACCATGTAAAAAATAAATGTATAGGTCTCTGGTAAAAGATATTACCCATATAAGTATTAAATGAATGTCACATGTCCAGTATTTAGTGTGATATGTCAATATGTATCATAAACTTAATCACTAAATGTTTGGCATATTTTTGATGATATGGGGGATGGGGGGAAAGTCTAGATGGTGCAAATGCCTGCAATATTTATTTTTTACAAAATTTAGTCAATGTTAATTTGAACACATATGGCAAAACTGCTTGTCTATGCTCAATATCAAAATGCATCTTCAGGGATTTCTCAAATACGGATAAACCTACTCGCTTAAAACCTCAGCTATAAATACTCTTGGTAGAAGTGTCTATAACTGAGTAGGGTGCAGAATGGCTTCTCTTAATTGGGAACTGGCTTAATTGGCATTACAATTACTGAACATTTAGAAAGACCCAATTTTGTGTTTGCCATAAATGTAATAGCACAGGTATTGAGTTCTATGGAAACTGATTGTTATCATGTTACTGCAAGATATGTTGGGTTGGGCAAAACAGATCTTCCTGATTTTTGAGTCATTAAATGGTATTCAGAACATGTCAAGTCAATACTTACTATGAATTGTAAAATGTATCAAAATGTTTACATATGAGGTAAGAGACTGAGTTATTTTTGCTGACAAGGGGGAGGAAGGGGGTTAATAATTGTAAAAAATCTGCTTAGATGATACTTGAATGGCCCCAAAATCTGATGTTTATTGAATTGGTAGCATAGCATATTGATGTATATCAATACTTTGATTTATAAGGCTAAGTGCAGATACAATGGTACCACAAGCCTCATAGTATGGATCTTGGCAAATACTGAATATGTAGCATTTGCCTTACAGGCAAACACAATGAAAACAGTAGTGAGTGCTTCTATCAGCAACAGTTTAACTCTTGTGTAAGTAAATGGGACCCTCCTGACTGAAGGGAAAAAGGGCTGCTGAAACTAAGATTGCAAGTCCAAAACTCTTACTCATTCTGTCATGATAGCAGATCAAAAGAGCACGACACAAACGTGGGGGGTGCTTATCAACTAATGAATGTCTCAGTTATACTACTGACTAGATAGCCTATATTTAATGAGAAATTGGTTAATATTTTAAGAACCAGTAAATTCTTTAGTGTATATTAAGAGAGTAATGGTACAATAAATAGATCAATGCCTTACCTGTACACAGCTAAACAGATGGTAGGATGGTTGTACAGCTTTTCAAGAATATTTGGTGGACATGTTTTCAAATAATCATAAAGATCTTTACATACTAAATTGTGTTGTGTCAACAGACCATTATCGCGTTTTGAGGGTCCTAAACCATTGTCTGCCATTTAAAAGGGGTATTTTTGTAAAAAATCGAGATTTTTGCTGAACAATATACTATAATTCATGGGTTAATATTAAAAAATGTATTCCTCTCTTAGATATGACAAGTGGATGATGGAGTTAAAAGAATCACTTCAGAAACTAACAAAATAACACCACAATATATTTTAAACTGAAATTAAAAGACATATTCACCGAAAAACTATAAACTTTTACGAAGCACAGCAACTTCAATTTTGACATCATTAACAGTTTCGCCCACAAAACAATAATATACTGGCTTCGTGGCTTCGTCACACGTCATGTCTCATGTCACTACCGTTATCTACGCTCACCATTTATTTTAGCTATCGTCTAAAGGCTCCTCCACACGTAGGCAGATGCGTCGGCAGACGTCATCTGCGGGTGCGTCCGCCGACGTGTAGAGGGGGGTATTTGCTCGTCTGTGGGCGGTATCGGACGTCGGCAGATGCGTCTGGCGCTCTTCCGTCTGTTGTCGGTTTTTGTGACACGCAACAAAGGGATTAAGGCGCGAGCGTCCGACGTCTGACCACACGTCTGACGACGAATGAGCACGCATCAGTGCTATCGGAATCGGGAAAGAGACTGTACTCGCACTTCTTAAGGTTTTTACCTTAACCTTTTTCGCTAACATGGCTAATATGACCACTGATGAAACCTTCAAATTTATTGAGCTATATCAAGCAGAAAACTGCCTGTGGAATCCAAAGAATAAGTACCACAAAAACAAAAATGTTGTAAGTATACGCACTCAAGTAGTAATTAAAAGTACTAAACAAATAAATAGCTGCGGCAGTTACCATCTCAACATCCATTTTTTAAATATTGCGTCCGTTGCATCTGTCGAGGCTTGACACAGACTGAGCGACCTGCAGACGTGTGGTCAGCTCGTGGAGATTCACCTGCCGATGCATCTGCCGACGTCCGCCGACGCATCTGAAGACGTGTAGTGGAGGCATAAGAGATGGTGCTAAGTAGCAGACATAGGGTGATATCTATTTGTACAGTGCCGAAACTATCATTGTAATCAAGCTACAGATGGCATTTGACTCTTGTCCAACAGATGGCACGTGTCATAAATAAGGCGACATCTAGTAAAGACTTATATAACTTAGTTGACGTGTGAAAGTAGGGTTATATTTAAAAAAATTGTTGCTGAATAAATAAAATTCTCCCTGTTAGAACGAAATATGGAATTGAAAAATCGATTTATACATTTGAAGATTAGGCGATATGATATTTCTGGTAACTATATAAAATGTCTATAATTTAACATGTTTTAATTGATGAAATTATCTTTTAGAGAAACCTGAGGTCATCAAGAAAAGTTTGAAAATTGCTTCCGAGGCAACCCTGGCAGATTTGAAAAAGGAGTTACAAGATCTTTGTGGAATAACTGGCGATAAAGTAATAAAAGTCCGTTATCCTGATAACACGTTGATTCCAATGTTATTTTTGCTACAATCTCCAGAAGAGTGAGTTGGAATCTTGATTCTCTGACTATTTTTGTTAATTGTTTTTCTTATTACAGCACTTTTTACATTGATATTACTAATATCTCGTATGCTGGTAAGTTTTTGTCTGCTATTTTTCTCATGAAATGGCATATTGCTGTCTTCATGTAAAAATTAGGTTGTTAGATCCCCAAAGATGAATGCAACATGAATGTTGTGACCCTCCTAGACAGATTCCTAACTCCACTTTTGATTTTTACATAATCTCATTTTAAAATGACCCTTTTTAGCATGTTGCCTGGTTCAAATTTGCATCAAAGTATCTGATCTGTTGATTAAAACAAATTAAGTATTGTCTAAAGTTGTCAGTTGTTAAAATACAAGCAATACAATATTTAAAAAGTGTGTAATCTGCCATTCTTGACCTCGAAAAACAATATAGAAGAACACACACAAATATTCGTTAAACATCTATTAAGTCTGTGATGCAGCAATATGGGCAGCCACCAGCAATAATCCCCCATGCTGCTGAGTAAAATCACATATGCTTGAATTACTAATTGCTGACAGTTGTAGCCATGGTGACTAAAATGTTATTAGTAGAATCATTAGCATAAGTTTCAGGTGTTGCATTATGTTAATCATATTTTCAGGTAGGCAAACTGCTAGTCTCCTACAAGATGCATATGTAGATGCAGTAAAACAAAAAATCAGAACCTTAGAGTCTAGAATTGGTCAATCCGAAACTCTCCTACCACAACTAGAATGGAGAAGGCAAGCTTACATGGAGGATACAGTAAACGGATTGCTGAATAAAGTTGCTTTTCTAAATCGCAGGTTTGATGAGCTTTTACCCCAATACATGGATAGAGTACATGAGCAAGCTAAAGCTTAGCTAGATGAGAAATAATACGAGGTCTCCTGTATTGGGGATTTCCAGAAGCAACTATGTTTGAAATAAAACTAATGTTCAATAAAACAGCAGCAATAGCATAAAAAAGTACTGTTCTTCACTTGTTTTGCTCATAAATACTGTTGAAGTTGGCACCATTAGGGTTGCCTAGATCTTCTATTGTGTCCACCTTGATGGCCTTTACATGATGTGAACAAACCTAGCTTGGGATGGAAACAACTGAACTATCTAGTGAAATATCAGTAGAATCTTGAAGACACTAAACTAACATCAAATCAATATCTGTTTATAAAGTTGTAAATTTCGGTTCTTCAAATCCGATAAGCTAACATACACTCCATGGGGCTCTTTATTTAGATATTGATTTACATCATGCCACAAAAAAATGTAACTTCTGAATATATGGTGCATGGTTGGACTGGCCCAATCATAGTTTTTCTGGATTCAATATCTCGGTTATTTTAAGGCTTTGCTGTATGTGCTGCAAGCAAAACTAGCTTATTGTTACTTAACCTGTATGCTCTATAAAGGAAAGTCCCAACATCTATTATTGTGATTTTCATGAACTATCTATATTTATATAGTTAAATCAATATTTAATTTAACCTATTTAATGTTATTAATTATAATAAATGTGATATAAATTAACAAATTTACCAGATTACTCTTCTCTCCTATTGCCCTTACGTTATCATTGTTGAAACTATCTTCTAACGTCTTAACAGGAGTCACACTGCAGGATCTTTCATAAATCAATATCTTTTCTGCACAAAAAACAGTTCCTTAAAATTTCTTCTTACACTGAAAATGGGCTGACTTTATTTAGAATGACAGAAAATGCAGTAGATTGCGAATACACATCTTTATTGAATATCAGAAAGTGTGATTTTACATAAACAATGCTGCATTATATGGGCATATTAAAAAATGACCAGGAAATTGTGCTGAAAAAAGTGACTAGAAGTAAAATTATACTTTGGTCTTATAAAAAGATGTTAGTATAAAAAATCTCTGTGTCCATTCAGTTGGATTATTGAAGCGCATTAACATTCTATGAGCAGCGCCATCTTAAGCTATGAATGGGGCAATAGGCACAGGGAGCTTGCAGCTAAAACAGTTCTAATCCAGAAAGAAATATACTTTGCCAATGAGGGAAATTGAGAAGCAGCAACACTTTTTTGAAATACCTTTTTATTTTATTCTGCATTTGAGGACCACTATCAAGCTGGGCCATGTGTGCCTATAAGGTAAAGATGAAATAGTGCATGCACAGCTTTGTCGTCATACAAATAATGAATATACATACTGTGGTGTTACAGTATTTCAAATTGGAAATCTTTGACATTGTCATATTTACCGCCCTGAGGGTTGAAACTATATCAGTAACCATGAGCGCCCATTGGGGGGGGGGGGGCTGGATTCTGATTCAAAGTGAAGTTTTCTTAATAAGATACCAAATCCTTGGGCAAGAGGTGGCGTGTGAGAATATTCTAACATAGAAGATATTATTTCTGCTACCATTTTGAATAGTTGCCCCGCCCCACCAGGTTGACTAGTTCTCAGCATTTTTGATCCTGCACATCCTGTAAACCAAACATGCACCTCCCCTGGATTTTGCTATATGAGCGGTCGTGTTGTCAGTAACATTTCAAAAAGTAAATTTTAAATACAATTAGGGTGATACTCTTCAAGAACTCTGAAACTTGCTACAATATCCAAGTCAATGGCCACACTTTAAAACACAGTCAATATGGCACAAAACATCCAAGTTATCTTACATGATAAAAATGCTTTATGGTGAATGTCACATAATCAGTATTTGGGCAGTACCATTAGCATTTATTGATCATTTACTGATGATTCCATCAGGGTCGTTGATTGCTACATAACCTATAAGCATCAATAATTACAGACATTCTGTGATGAATACTGACAGATCACAGTAATTACTGAACGTGTGACATTCGTCTAAGAGATAGGAAAATGTGTCTTAAATGTTTTGTCGAGCAATATTTGACTGTTTAAAAACCCTAATCTATTTTTAAAGCAAGCTAATCAGTACACATTTTAAATATAATATTATAAACTACTAGTCTATTTTAAAAAGTCAATGGTACCATACCAAAAATAAAAAGAAACAACTATTAGAATTTTACAGGCCTATATACCACATCTACTGGAGATTCTCGATATTGAGTTTATTACTTATGTAAATATCTGTAGTCTGATATGATACCATCGTATAACAAACAAAACTCATGGCACGAAAAAAATATATAAAACCTAAACATTTTCAGAGAGACTCGTTTTCATTAAGAGAGACACGAATGCGGTATAAAAATATACAGATCAGCGGTAAAAAATACAGCTTGTTAAAAGGAAATATTAAATGCTTGAAAAATCACAAATAATGAGGCACGAGATATTCCCACACAAAAACGTCTTGAATTTTAGATAGTCCATTACTAAATCAATATCAATTAGTAATAAATTTCTAATATCAAATCATCATTGTCAGTAAAACCATTGATTAACGTATTCTACCTGAAGATAGGAAATTTAATACTATGTTCGCGCATGCGAAGAATCATCGGAGATAAAATGAGATATCGTAGCTTCATCAATGCGAATTTGTCAAAGCTATCAGGGCCATATGAAAAAAGTGTTGGTGGAGTGTTGAGGATTCATGTTCAGGGGATGTCCATCTCGGGGAAGGGGGTGTATGGCAGACTGAGAATTGAAGAGCGGGAGGGGAGGTGTCGTAAATTGAAAATATGCAATTTTTTTTATCTCTGATATATTGGGTGGTGTTTCCCCTCTCTGCAATACATATAAATCTACTTTGAATAGGTTAGTGTCTCATAGATGGCGATGTGGCCAACTGTATATAAGCATATAGCCTCAGCACTACCTACGAGACACCACCATAGCTGCTGTGACAAATTCTCATCGAAGATACTACAGTATCTCATTTCACCTCGGTTAATTTTTCGGACGCTCGGATATAGTGTTAGGTTAGCTATCTTCAGGTAAAATATGTTAATAAATGCTACAACATTTTACACAACAGACCACTGCCTCCATTTCAGAGTTGATAAAACAATAATAATTGATATATTTTCAAGTGCACTATATTTATATAAAACTACATAAACCTGCATGCAAAAAATACTGTAGCCTAGAGGTTATATCCATTACTAAAATCTATGTTTTTCAGTTTCTCTTCATTTATCAACTCGTTCATTATAACGAAAAAATTGGCTGCTTATATGAAATTTCATTTTATAAACGGTGCAAAAATATGACAATGGAATTTCTTTTATTAAAAAGTTGTGGTCTGTCGAAATATAAAAAGAAGTGGAGTAGTAGAGTTAGGAATATATACATACATAAGAAGTGGTATGGTTTGATTTCAGTGTGTGATGACTTAATCTGTAGTGTAGTCGTAGATTCATATACTATAACATACATATACACAAAACTCAAAGTCAATTCCTTAACAATGAAGGAGATATCAGCGATTTAAAATTTTTATAAATCAACCACTATATTGTTTCGTTGTAGAAAAAAAAAATTGGTTATTAAATTGCAGTACTATGATTTATTATTTTATTTGCATTTTTTTGACTCATGTACTCATTGACACTCAAGATATAAATATATTTAAGCTTTAAGTGTTGAATAATGGATTCAGTGTGTTATAGTGTAATCTGTTCTTCATAAATAATATGCTACTGACTCTAGTACATAGATAGCAGGAAGAAGATTATGACATTTTAAAAATCAAATGAAAAAAGGTTTTTGAGACTCATTAGATCACGATTTTTTATGAAACAGAAAATATTTAATATAGAAAGCTAATATTCCTTGATTATTCATTCTCAGTACAAAAACATAATGCCCAGAGCAAAATTAATGCGCGACCCTCTAATTTTATGGGAAATTGAAAAAAAAAACGCAATTAAAACCAGTTTCTTCTGGTCTTTTGACATAACTAATATTCACAAAACACCTGAACTCACTACCACACTGATTGCCTATTGCCTCAGTTTTTTCAGAGTATCTCGGTACTTATAACAGATAATTATCGTTATATTATATTCTCTAAAAGCTTTCCCATCATTTCCAGAATTACCTATACTTGACACATAAGGGAGTATTGAGTTTTTCATTCTTATCTGTCAAATCCTGGGACTGCCCGAGTTAATATGATGAATAATCAAAGAGTATAAATCATGATGGATGTAATATTACCAACAAGTGAAAATTCACTGACCAAATATAACCTTATTATTCCTAATGTGACAAATAGAAATATTTTGGTTACATAACTAGACACTTTCTCTGGCGTCTTTTTTGAGGTTCAGGTCTAAGAACTGCTCTGACTGCCTCATCAAATACCTGCTTCAGTCCACGTTGTGTGAGTGCAGAGCACTCCATGTATTTCACTGCTCTGATTTTGTTTGCTAGCTTTTGTCCTTGTTCTCTCTTGATTGGACTCAGTCCTTGATCAGCTAATGCATTCAGAGTTTCTCTATCATCTCGTAAGTCTATTTTAGTACCTGCAGTTTTAAGGACATTTTCAATTAAGCTGAATTTTGTTTGCAAAATGCATCTATTTGGGTAAAAAGTTATGGATGATCAGCTAAGGCAATAATAGCACTGCTGTAGATCTATTGGGTAAATGGCATTCCAGCAGAGCAAAATATGCGAATTATAATGGCAACTTGGTCAGATACTATAGAATACGCTAAATAATTCGGAAAACTTTTCTGGAATGGTTTCTGACGTCAGCCAGCATGTTAAGCCACATCGTCATCATATTCGTTAACCAAACATGCTTCGATAGCAGCCGCCAGACCAGATCAATGCACTGTCAAGTTCAAGCATGTAGTGTCAGTATAACAAAAAATGCGTCCTGTTTTCTGGTTTAACAGCGTGATTCGTACAGTAACAAATTTTTCAAGATATGTAGCAGTTAAACAATATATTTTTCAACAGTCTGATGATCTTATCAATATAGTCGAGGGATAGTTGAATGTTCTATTTCCATGAAAACATGGCATATTGTATTTTTGTAGTACATTTTGTGTGATATCACACACAGTCATTAAGTCACTTAGGTGCATAAATAATTTAACTAGTTCTATTTATGAGTTGTATTCTAGCTATACATAATTAGAATATTTGTACTGTAAGTACTGTTTATTTGTTTGGTAAATACAAATATAATGTGTAACTAAATTTCTGATTAGTGTAAGTGTATTCAAAAAAGAGCTTTGAGATACTTCTCCTACCTTTATACCACTAACACTGTTATGCATAGGCATTCTCGAGCGACGCGCCATTCTACAAATGATGATTCTGATGCAGAGACTTTCGCTGGCGCGTCGCCAGGACCTTTAATATTTTTTCAGCTACTTGGTAGTATAAATCTTGTTATATGCTCTCATCAATTAATTTTTACTTAAACAGTGTAGAATAGAGAAAATGTCAGATTCTAATGCAAGTACCATTTGTGTTCATTAGTAATGAATTTCTCAGGAGGAAAGAAAAACTAGATTTTGAGAAAGTAGAAAAGGGTTTTACTATGGGATACTGTTAGTCTGTATTGCCTTTACCAAAAGAGAGCTGCTTTGTTTCTTTTTTTCATTAGAGGATATATAATTTCAAGCAATACATGTTTACATAGATAATTTGGTAGAAACTGAAATTGATGAGTTCTTAAACTAGTGTTTATTTGAACTTGCTTGTTTTAAACTAGTATGTTATGTTCCTAAGTAATGGGAATGCTAATGAAATTGGGAACATGCAGCCATCATGAAGCACTGCAGTGCTTTGATACCAAGTAGCAGTAGCCAGGGAATAGCTTTGTCAGTTTGCAAAATGAATGTATGTACTATCAAACCTGAAAGCAATGCTGGAGCTCTACTTTGGCTGAATGCTCCCATTTTTTTCATAAATGGGGTGTTCAACTTAAAGATCATATATTCCGAGCTCATTGAATTTGCAAATTACTATTTTGAATAAATATAATATAAATTTTTTAGCTTTTCTAAATACTCACCAACTAATATCATAGGTGCATCTGGACAGTGATGTTTAATTTCTGGATACCATTTTGAGGTAACATTTTCAAATGAGGAAGGTGATGCAACACTGAAACATATCAGGAACACATCTGTCTGGGGGTAAGACAATGGCCTCAATCTATCATAATCTTCTTGTCCTGCTGTATCCCATAGTCCTAGACTTACTGAGATACCATCTACTACCATTGGTGCAGAATAATTATCAAATCTAGAATAAGTACCTAACATTAGCTACATCTAATTTAAATAATTAAAACTTAAGGATACAGCTATTTAGTGGCAACCAGAGCAGTTGTCAGAGGTCCTACAAAACAAATTTCCCCCCACAAGGCAGAACATTTGTGCTCCAAAAACTATAATGCTAAACAAAGTGGTAAGTGCCCCATTATTAATGTACAAACTATTGATGCTATTCAATAGCAGCAAATTTCTGCTAAATTAAGTTCAAGTAAGGCTATGCTCATCTGCTAATGCAGGGAAGTGCTCTGACTCCTTCTGAGAATCCAGTTGGGCTCAAAATTTGCACATTTAGCATGCTTTTATTGCAATTTTAGGATTTGACCTCCCTGAGAGAATTTAATTTTGCAAAATGTTTTGGAGTCAGATACACATCTGCTCTTCTGAATGTTTTTGGGCAGGTACACTTTCACAAAAGTTGTTATTAGCTCAGAAAAAAACCTGTGGGCACCCGTGGCTTTGTTCTTTTCAAACCATAATATTAGTCTTGACAAGATTATCCATTTACTAGAGGACAGTATCATAATAAGAGTACGAGCAAATCTAGTCAAAATTATCAGATTATGCACCTTATTTAGCCATCAGGTTAACAAATAGGAGTTTCACAAAACATAATTTGAAGATGGACTCCTTGAATGTATGGCTTCTAAATAAAACCACAATGTTTGAATTACTTTTTTTACATACATTTTGGCTACCATGGTAGCCTTTTTCAAAGGGGCCAGACAATCATAGAGTTCTATCCGCATGAAAAAGACAGGATAAATTTCAAGCTTATATTGGAATTTGAGGAATTAAAAATGCTATGCTGTAGGCAAACCCCCCAATTCTTTACATGTCATAAGTTTGTAAGTTGCCTTGGGTATCCAGGAATATTTTGACCTTTTTCAGGTGCCTTAGACTCACTTCCTGCAGAGGGCTTTTGAAATATCCGGTACATCTTTTGTGATATTCAATACAGTGCTATAAAATGATTACAAACACAACTTTTATGATTGCATATTAACATTGAGAACACTGGGTTAATACATACTATCTGAAAAGGCCAGTGGTACATGTTCAATATGTTTCACATGTTCTTATTGCAAAAGCATATTTACATTCTTGTTATTGTGCATGCAACTCGAATATTGTCCAAATTAGGAATTGAATGACTCACACAGTCGGTACATATTCTCCAGGAAAACTGTCTGTGGTGTATGATATGAGCATACATGTTTTTCCTACGGTTCCATCTCCAACAACCACGCATTTTATTGGCCGGCCTGATGACATATTTACAATACTTATAGCTGAAAATTACAAAATTATTGTTTCGATTTTAACATAATAACAGGGCAGGGCAATATATGTACTTACTTTAGAGAGATATATAAAAATTGGCTTCTGGGAAGTATGAATTGACGATAATACGTTATAGTTTGTGGTAAATTGTTGTATTCTCTGAACAATGAGCCGACAGATTTTTATTTGCAATTTGGATACATTGCGATTTTGTAGATATTACAGCAAAACCCAAACATAAAAATAGATGTCAAATGTCATTACATGTCATTGTCAAAACAATGTCAATTTAACTAATTTTGAGCGCCATCTATGGACTGGTAACAATATCACAACCGACGCTAACCATAAAGGTGGTCAGCCACAGACGTTATTGACAGTCTTGCCAACTGCGGTTGTTATTCTCTAAACTGAGATCTGCTAGCTGAACGAAAAACCCTACATTTGAAACTATCAAAAACTGCTTTTCTGACAATAACTGGATCGTTTTACAAAAACCGTAAGGTTATTTCGACATCATGAAGGTATTAATGTAATTTTCACCATTAGTGGAATGAGAATACTTTTTAAAAAGTTGTTCGACTACCAGTCTTAGCAATTATCGAAAAAACTAACCTTTTCCCTTTGCAAGTTAAACCGGTCCCACACGATGTAACGAATGACTTACAACCTTGGACACATGGGGCATTCGCCACATCGTGTAGGAGAGCGCTGACGGATTACGTGTGACCAACGTTCGGGCTGTTGTCGGTAAAGACCGACGTCAAAGGGCGTTATAACGTTGGAAGCATGTTTCCTTACGCTCGCACACAAAATGTCATGTTTGATAATGGTCTTAGGCTAGAACCAGTAGCGGCGAAAAACATTATTCACTCGTTTGCTGTTATTGTGGTGAAGTAGTGGTATGTGGGAAGTATTTTGATTTGAATAATAATGTATGTTCCGTAACTAACTTTTGAGAATAAATTAAATTACAAAGCATAGGCTGCCATAACAACTCTTTTTTCATATTGCTAATATTTTGGAAGTTTTGCAGGTGAGTTATGGTTGGCCTAAGGATATCTATTTTAGTAAATTATAAATTATCAAGTGCTTACAGTTGATTCATTATAATGTCCTGTTGCAATGCACGACTAGTTGAGAAATATATTGACACTTATTTTATAACTAACGAAAACGATTAAATAAATGATAAGTGAAAGTACTATCAGGATTTTGATGAAATTTTGAATCTAGGTTACTACTATAAAAATGACGAAAAAAGCTCTGCATTTTTTGAAAATCGTTACAGTGGCGGCGGAGTTATCGTCAACAAACAAACAAAAAACGTCAAACTTCGTTTTCGACATTTCTGAGGCTTCCGACAGACTTACGTTTTGGTCGCTGAAGACAGATCTAAAATTATTTTTCGGAGCTCGAAAAAAGTGTTTCATCGTTCATTTTGTATATTTTTTCCTTCAGTTGTGAAGGTTCAAGCGCGACACTGACACCGATAATAGACGTTGGCACCACCACGAGTCGCACGTCCGAGAATAAAAAGTTCATTCCATCGTGTAGGAGAAACACTTGCCAATTGTATAGTGTCGAACGTTGGAAGCATCGTGTGGGACCCGCATTACTAGGGGAGCCAGCGGTAACTAGACAGACTGACGGTAATTTAGTTACATTTTTTGTGATGTACACGCCTTTTTTCATAGTACTTCATTGCGTTGGAGATGCAAAATGAAAAGCTCTCATGATAAATTTGATGCTTGATCTGAAAAGTGCAAGGAAAATCCAGGATTCTTTGTTTATTATAGATGAAAGTAACCATGAAGAGTGAAGGAATGTTGATATACCTGAATTATATTTCACACATAAATTTCATATACAGGGTGTCCGCAAAGTTGGGGTTTTCCTTTACACGACGTGTAGATCTTGAAAACATAAGCAATTTTTCTTAGTACCATATACACCAATGTCTTAAGGTAACCGATATAAATGGCTCTGCAACATCAAAAATATCTGAATACAGTCCTGTAGCCGCGACTCGCGACATCCCCGAGTGGTACTAGGACACTAACTCAACCCGACGACAGAACTGGGTCGGGGTCGGTGTGTCAGGTCAGTATGCAACCTTCAACCGACGGTTACGGTCACGCGTGTAGAGGTAAACGAACCCGTATATTCGATTGCGTTTCAAAAAACAACAAGCACTAGAGACGTGGCTAGAGAAGTGCAAGTATCAAAAACTAATGGGGTGAATAACTTTCGCAACACTCATGTTTGGTCAGTAGAAAATCCGTACGCTGTCCGTCGGGCACATTTTCGGTGAATGTTTGGGCCGGCATGGTGAACGGTATGCTCATTGGACCATTTATTCTCCCAAATCGATTGGACGGGATGCAATACCTAGACTTTTTACGCAACATTTTGCCTTCCTTGTTAGAAGATGTGCCATTAAGTGTAAGACAATCAATGTAGTTTCCGCACGATGGTCATACTTTTCCTTTATTTTTTTTACTTGGTCGCCCTCGTTTCACTACACATTACCTTTGTTATTTCAAGGGTAGTTGTTTCTGAAAAGGAAAACCCCAACTTTGCGGACACCTTGTATATTTAAGTTTTATTTTCCATAATTTCCGATAGTCAAAAAAACCTATGAAATAATTGGAATAAAAAGGAATACACCATTTGGAATAAGATTTTAGTCGACAATTTCCCTAATAAAAAAACAAGTATATTCTTACAAAAATCTCTACTTCCAGCTGTTTACTGTTAACACCACCATGAATGATACTGAACAAGAAAATTGTAAGCTCTACTACATTTCATTGCATTACAAGGTTTCACGAAACAAATTACAAATAAATGCACGCTAGTCAAAAAATAAAACATCGACTCCAAAATGATGAATGTACTCCTAAAAGTAGATATATTTAAAAGAAGAGCCTTGCGTCGATCATTCTTCCATCAATTCGGGCTTTATCCAAGTTTTCTGTAAAAAAATCTGTTAAGGAAACTATGGTTTCGAAAATATTGGTAATTTATAGAATCCACTATTTGGCAAAATATAAAAGTTGCTGCTTCATTTTCAGGGATGGTAGTAGGTCAATTATTAAAAATTCGTAGTTTTTGCCATGTGATGAACATTTTTCTTCAAGCACACATGTCCTCACAGGAGCGTTGGCGAGTCGCTCGCGTCGTTTTTTTTAATCCTTGCCGTCGCTTTGTTGATATCGATCACCAAGTAAGTTAGTAAATATACTATTGTGTTCAGTAACTTTTTTAATAAGCTTCTATTAGCTTCATCTGTATGTGTATGTATGTAAAATTTGACAATATAAAAAATGAATTTTGAAATTTAGAAAAATGATTTGAAGATTCTGAAGAAATTTTGAGAAAAAATGGATATTGTGGGAAAAAAATTGAAAGTAAATTAAATGTTTTGTCAAATATAAAATAAACCAAAGTCGAAGCCTTGATAACTACTTTTGTTGTTGTTGTTTTGAGACTATAAAATTCAGGAAATAATTTTATAGTTGCAAAAAATGGCGTCAAGCAGGTTGACTCTGCACTTCCTACAGAATGCTATAATCAATTCCTAAAGGATTATGCTTGTATTAAGTTTGAAGATTATGTTTGTATTTAGACCGACGGAAATGAGTGACATAGTATGACATGTACGTCATATAACATCCAAAAAACATCTCATTTTAGAAATTTTTCGCAATTAAAATACTTCCTCGTTTTTACAAAATTTACAGTGGTGTTCCCCTTAAACCTGTAATCGTACAATAATAAATCTGGTGAAACTCTGTACTCTGTATTCAGAACTATTTATACCAAGCAGGAACAACCGTGGGAGGTATGAATACGTTCAAAAAGCTACAACAAAATACGGGCACAGAACAGAAAAAACCCTTCCCTTTTAATATGACTCTGTCTATAGTTGCCACTTAACAATTTGGGGTATTTTGCAAGTCACTTAATAATCAACCCGTTATTTGTCGACACATTTTGCTACGATAAACTATCGTGAAAAATAGTGTAAATTTGATCAAAAAAACCGACACAACCTGATGATAATATAAAAATAAACGTCACACATGGCATATAATTTCCAAAGTGTGCTGACTCAAGGATGCAAATATGTAGAAATAATGATATGAAAAGGATACTGATCGCCCTTTCGGCCTGCCAGTCAGAACCATATGTTATCAGAATGCTTCCCTGGCCCCTCTCGTCCAATCCTTTAATCTCGCCAAACTCTCGGAACTTCTCATGAAGCATTTTGAAACTTGCAGAAGGCGGGAGCTAGAAAAGAGGTCATTAATATCCAGTTTCTTGAACGCATATTATGAAAAAAGAAAAAGATTAATATTATAAGGAATGCTCACATTTGAAACCAACACTTTTCTTGAAAAGCTCTTCGTTTCTGAATCGCTACCACCTCCCAAACTGTTGCTATGGAAACCTAGCCTATCCGATCCACCAAAGGCTCCTCCAAAAGATCCTGCACCAGCGGACTGAAAAAAATCGATGGTACTTTATTATATTATTATGCAAAGGAAACACCACTTCCCAAACTACAAGATCAATGATCCTATTATACATTATTAGGTTACTAAATGTCCAAGCTAGCGGCACCGGTAGTATTGTAATCGCGGAAAATTTCGAGAAAGAGATATGTTCTTTGGATCTACATCACGAAAAACCATGTCACTCATTTCCGTCAGTCTGTCTGTTCCCTAATCTTTATACCACCTATAACTTGGAAAGTACTGATCGGATTTGGATGAAATTTTCAAATAAGGTTGCTACTATGCCAAGGACAAAGAAGATTTTGAGAATCGGTCCAGTGGCTCACGAAGAAAATAAAAATTGCTCAAAAATCGTTTTTAACGTTTCAGAAGCTCCTGATTATTTTCAGAAAAATGTTTGCAGGGGTTAAAAATTTGATGTCGGGGGTGGGGGAGAGCTTACTAATTTTTTTGTTCTACCAGTTTACACGTTTCCAACCCAGGGAATTCTAAACACCTACTAGACATTTCATAATTAAAGATTTCCCGTAAATTTTTGCCCTTGAAAGTGAATTATATATATCTTCAATGTACACGTGCCGGAGAACTCAATGAGCGTGCTCCTTTGATTTGGATGGCTAGGGATGACAGCCATTATGCATGTGTTCGAGTATAATATAACCCCGTGCTGGATTAAGATGTTGTTGTATGGTCGGTAGTACTGTTTGTCGGACGGTAGGCTAGATCGCATTGTTGGACTATGGACTGATTGTATGGTCCCTTTAATTCCTTTGTTATACACGTTCGTAGCCAATGTTTCTCCAACGTGCTGGATGGATATAATTCCTTATGAATTGATGACCGCGTTGCATAAGAAACCGCAGGTGAACCCACTTGAGGCCATTTTTTTTTTGTTAAATCCCTATTGGCAATAAGGAAACCCATGTGTTAAATTATAAAACGGATGATAAGAAACTCGTGCGAGATTTATCTCAATTATTTCGATGCTAAAACGTTCCAAGACAAGAGATAATGGCATGGCAAAAACATTTCAATGCAGTCAGTCCTATACAATTAGTCCATAGTTCCCAGCCACTTAAAAACGTTACGATATAGAAATTTTTCTTCTGCCTTACCGACAGTGGCGACCATCTGGCAATGCCGTTATAACTATCCTCGCCACTCGCCAACATAGTAATCCAGAGATGTGTACGCTAAAAATATTACTCTATCTCTATCAAGTTTTAGGACGGATGAACAGGAACATCTATGATGCATCAAATATTTCTGATAGGCGAGTAGAATTACCGGAGTTGGAAGCACATAAATATATTAACGTCAAAAATCCAGGAAATGTGGCCTCTCTCCCACTACAGTTCCCGATCTCTAATTTTTAACCCCGATAAATGTGTTCTGAAAATGTTAAGGAGCCTCGTCAAAAAACGAAGTCTGAACGATTTTTATTTTTTCCTCTTTTTGCCGCCACTAGACCGATTTTAAAGAACAAAGAAGTTTTTCGTCATCGACATAGTAGTAAGCTTGTGTAAAAGTTTATCAGAATCCGAGTGGTACTTTTCAACCTAGAGACGGACCAAGAATTAGCGGATAGACTGACGGAAATGAGTGATATGATTTTTCGTAATCTACATGTCATATATTACCGTACTTCCTCCGGCAGTACGCGTGGGAAGCAAAAGCATGAATCAACGTTGTATCGATTGGTCATGGTTACAGAAATGGAAAGCAAACAGTTAGTTTAGAATATAGCAATAACTGTGTTACAGTTTCTTTTTATGTTCGACTAAAAGTTAACTATATCTTGTTGAAGTAAATTATTACAACCTTTTTCTTATTCAGAATAATAATTTTATAACAGTACTAACAATATCGAATTTTATTTATATAACAAAACACTTCTCTTGGTCTAATAATTCTATAGTAGAAAATCGTACCCTACTCTCCATCTCGTTAAAGGTCATTTTTACAATTCTTCCTTGCTAGTGGAGTGCGGAGTACAAGACAAAACTTAGGAACGCGTAAACACAATGAATTTGAAATCCTTTAACCTCAACAAAATGTGCCTTAAAACATTATTTCTCAATTTACTATGCTGCTTTTGAATAGAATTTCCTATTTTTTCCTTGTTCCCTGCCTTAAAAATATGCGGCTTGACTAACATAACTTGAATATCAAACATGCTAATGTTTCACAAATTGGTGAAGCAATATGAATACCTGTGAAAATCCTCTGCCTGCGGAACCATATGAAGACAGGTTTGGATAAGCGGTTTCCATTGCTGATGGTGTAGCTCCATTACCTAATCCTCTTCCAAACCCGGCACCACCCATATCTGCATTTGATCTCGATACACCTAGTCACATCAAAAAGACAATGTCTCATCATAAAAACTGCCTTTTGCTAATACTATCTTTCGCTTTCGAGGTGTTAATCCAACACAATTTCCAGCTGGTATTTTGTTACAGCTCTAGAAAAAATAATCTTACCTCCATATCCAAGTGACTGTGGTCCACCTCCACTCAATGAGGACAGATCACTGCCTAAGCCATTTCCAAGCAGACCCAAATTTGCAGCTTGGAGCATTTGGGCATTGGTCATATTTCCTAGGCCAACACCGCCAATACCTAGAAGCAGTCCATTTTTTTTATTATTAAGTAATGACAAACGTGAATGACATTTCATATTTTTTAGGCTTTAGAGATAAGTATACTAAAAACCTTCAATATGCATTCTTTTTTTTTACTTGTTTAGTGACAATCATCTATAAATCGCTATAAGGGTACTTCATCTACTCATGTTGATGTATAGGTCACTTCTGATAAAATACAAATACATCACGATCGCCAATCGAAGTTCTGATCTTCCATTGTACAGGGTGACACACAGCAACCTGACATTTTTGGGATAGCCATTACTCTGCCAGTATGAGGAGTGGAGAACGGAATTATCGAGCATCGAGCTCCCTATTGGATGCCGTTTCAGTAGCTATGGAGCAGTGGACAGTGGAGCATCACATGTTTGTGTATGACGCATTTGTGCAAAATGGTGGATCTGTTACTACAGTGCAGCGACTTTTTCGTGTGCATTTACAGCGTAGGCGTCGTGATGCCGTTCCCAGCCGCAACACGATTCTTATTTAGGTTAAGAGATTACCTACGACAGGATCTATTCTGAAAAAGAAGTCCCCAGGTCCGACAAGAACGGCAAGAGCATCAGAAAACATTGAGCGTGTGAGAGCCGCCATGACTCGTAGTCCTGGGCGCTCTGCTCGTAAACACGCGTTGGAGCTAAGGATGAACCGCGAAACTGTGAGACGAATTTTACATCACGACTTAAAGTTTCACCCGTGCAAGATGTGTGTTGCTCAAAAACTTCACGAAAGCGATTATACGCAACGGAAGGAGTTTGCTTCTCGAATGCAAGTGCTTCTGGAAGACCATGACAATGATGTGATTATTATGAGTGACGAGACGCATTTCCATTCCAATGGGGATGTTAATAAACAGAATTTGCGGCTCTGGTCTGATGAAAATCCCCGTGTAATTCACGAAAAACCTTTACACTCAGAGCGTGTAACGGTTTGGTGCACAACAACTCCATTCGGTATCATTGGTCCTATTTTTTTGAGGACGAGAATGGGATAGCCGGATCTGGCCAGTTGGTCATAGACCAGTGTCAATAACAGAACAAAAAAAACGGACAGCCGTTACAGTCAATGTCGAACGTTACTATCACATGTTCGTATGTCCATGCAAATGCTTCGAGGAATGTTTCCAGAAAGGCTAATTTCACGATTTGGCGACATTTCATGACCGCCAAGCCAAGATCACTTGATTTGAGCACATGTGACTTTTTTTGTGAAGGTATCTGAGAGTACGAGTCTATATTCACAGTCCCCGCGCATTAGCAGAACTGAAAGCGGCCATCCGGGGAGAAGTTGCACTCATCGACGATGCAGTAATGACGCATCTGATTATCAATTTTCGGGGAAGGCTGGGACAACGCATTCATGCGGATGAGCACCACTTACCTGACGTTATCTTCCACAAATGATACACCACGTTAAATGGTATCTAGTGACGAACAATTACATGTATTCAAATATACATTTTTTTTAAATCGCGATGTACTATTCATTTCAAAAACGTCAGTTTCCCCTTGTCACCCTGTATATTGTAACCAAACAGTAGTTATACCAAGAGAGGCCAGACAAGGCAAATAAATTGACAGAGATAAGAGATGTAACCAAAAACACGGCGATCACTCGTAGCATTTTTTTGTTCAATTTACTTTCGTTTGGACATTTATGCAGGTGGGGATATTTATCCACCTGCAGCCTACGAGATATACTTTTCATTCAACAAAGTTATAAATCACACTTTTGGCGGGTTCTCTCCGCGTTATGTAAACAGAAGTTATTCTCTTTATCACTTAGATATTCAACTTTTCGGGCGGTACGCGGATTATTACACGATTTAGTTTAATAAAAAAGAGGAATGTCAGCTTAGGATTAAAAGTTTTTCTAACCTCAAATTCCTTATTTGACCAATCGCAAGTGACAAAATACTGACGCATTGGTCAACGCCAGGTAGGCAGAGCCACAACACTTTTTGAATAACTTAATCATCTCGACTTTTTAGAACTCGAAACACCATATGATTTCAAAAGGCAATAAAACAGCCGTGCAATTAATTCAAAATGTATGGCAGTATATCACAGAATTTATAGAGGTTTGACTCCCTGAATTAGGTCTGAACATTACTGAGGTATTTATAAAAAGTTAGAAATTATACAAATGTACAATAATTGGAAGACATGAAATGTACTGAACAAAAAAATAAAAACGTCGCGTGGAAGCTGAGAGGGCTAAAGATACATGTGATACCCAACCTACTTTTATTCAAAACCTAATAAACTAAACTTAAATAGAAACATTTTTCATGTGCCTCTTGATGTGGAGTCGTAAACCGATCTGTACTCCGAGTTCGGCATTCATTAACATGAATATTTATTTATGCAAGCACCTCTGGACAACCTATGACACCATTAACTATTTTAAATAGAAAATATAAATAAAGAATTTCCCTACGGTATTTCAAGGAATCTAAATTCAACATACTCATTAGATCTGAAGCATTCTGTCTCCGACCCATTTCAAAAGCTGCATTTTTATTTAAAATGTGCACTTCTTAAATGGAGTTCTCACCAATTAAATTTGGCGACCATACCACTGTGCTGTACTCCAAAATATTGTGTACCAAGGAGCAGTATAAAAATCGAAAAACTGCTGCAGAGAGATGTTTGGTAACTCTAAAAATCTATCACAATTTTCTATATGATTTAGAAGTAATTTCTTTTTGTTGTGTGTTTACTTATTTCGTATGACTTTTTGAGGTAACCTCCAAAAACCGTCAAAAGAACTGAACTCCATCCAGCTTAACATAAATTAATGTAGCGTTTTCTGAACATTTTATGTCAGTTTGGAAACACCAACTCGATAAATGCACAGCCACATAAGAGCGAATCGCCAAACCAAAGACGGTCCACTCATAGATCGATGTTTTTTTGTCAGCGAGTAATAGTCCAAGAACCAACCGAAGTTTTTGATACAACTCGTACTGATAGATGTTAAAAAAATGAGATTTAGACTAGTTTTTATCTTATTTATATCAGTGCGCGAAAATGTATCCGAAAATTTGACGTCGGCTCCCCTACTATATTCAGAAGAAATCCAAGGTCAATTGAGTCGACCGGCGGATTATATAAAGACAATTCAGTGTCTCCTCTTGATATAACTACTCTTTGTCGTTACTATGGAACTCGCCTGTAAAAATTGATTTGAACATGAGGAGAGTCAAAAGCTATGCAGTTTCATGAAATAATATTTTAAACCAATGTTACAAATTATACAAACCTTGCAATATACCCATTTTTTCCTTTATGGTCGACAAGACAAGAATCCATCGATCGCATTCATAAAAAAAGTGGAACAAAACTAACCAGACAGTAGATACAGACACACCAGCTTCTCAAAATTAAGTGATTTTTCTAGCAGTTCAAATTGTCATAACTCCAACAAGCTTTCTGATTAGGTAAAAAAACTGACCTCGGTGCAAACCTAGCCCCATTCTATGGATTAGAAAAAAACATCCATGCATGTTTTTTTTTCAAACACTTGTAGTATAGCTCGCTGATTTCGGTTAGATTCGCTATAGTCTGGAAACTTGTGTCCAAAATTGCTGGTGGGAGGTCAATGCTAAAGTATAGCACTCAATTCGACCAGTTTTGACAGAAGGCCCCTTGGAACTACAAGAATCTTGAGATGTAATTAATCCCATAGAAATTCATTTGAATGATGTCCAAAGATGCAGCCTGGACGATACTATTCTCAGTATATGCATCTTCCATGGCATATACAACCAGAAATTATACACGAAATGTGGGAACTGCTGTCTGATTGTCATTTCCATTCCACGGGTTTCCAAACATTGTAAAAAACATCACATACACACTATATCGCTGATTACAAAACTAGAGCTCTTTCACATAATAGTCAAAATCAATACCACGAAATTCAAGCCCAACAAAATAGTACCACCACAAAACCATTTCAGGAATATTTCAATATGTTGAAGATGTCGGAACAGATTCATAGCATGGTAAAATAGCGATGGTAACACCTTCCAAGGGGTAGACAAATTCACTCTCCACTGTCAGTTTACCAGATTATTATGACAAATCTAGATAGAGATAAAAGATGCCTGTATATAGCAGAGAATATACAATTAGTAAAATATTTTCACCAGTTCAACTTCCACGGGTAGCTTTATCTTGTCGATCTGATTCTGCAAGATACTAACCATATAAAAATAAAAAATAGGTTTATGGTCAATAAAAAAATGGTTGATTTGTAGGTGGGAATTTATAAAGCTGCATAAAATGACTTCCGAAATCACTACCGTCTATGTTGAAAAATGCCTGTTATACAAACCGCATTTCAAGTCACAACACCTATTTATTATTCTTGATGGGATAAACCCCTCAGATCTATTATTATTTACACAGTATTGATAAGGGTGGAGTGGCATAAAATAAATTGTCCATCCACATTTCTGGGATTGTTACTATTACTAGCTGGAAAACAATACCAGTATCGCTTTGTCGAAACATGGTATTTCCAACTCGAAAATATCCAGGAATTTTTCGCCATCACTTTTCCAATAGTACGTTCAAAATATTGTGGTGGCACAAGATCAAATGTGAAAGAGCTCAAATCAAATGAATCTCCAATAAACAACCATACCTACTTGAAGGGAGGTTTCATAACTGTGTATGAGAAGACTGAATGAGTAACGTTTGAAACGCGCTAATCTTTCAACACACTTTTGCTGATCAGCCAGCCGCTTTGCTGGAATCAATCAAACATTTCTCAACTAAAATGCTCTACGTAATGAGGCATGCTGTTGACAGAGTTGATTTTTACAACACGTTAAACGTGTTGCGAGTTTAATCCAACTGGTTTGATGGTCTCTTGTTATGATATTTGCTACAACAAAGGATCAGGACATTACAAATCTATCCCTTTCAGGAACCATCTGGTTCACCCTCTGTGCTTGCACTGTGTTGTGTGTCCGATATTATCAGTTTTTCACATTTAATGTTTTGAACAATTTAGCCACCACTGTGTGACCATAGATTAAATTGCGCAGGGTGAGCCTTCTATTTTTTTTCAAATTTGCAAGTAGCCGTTGTCGAAAGTGAAAATCACCTTTATGACTGGTAAGGAATAGTTTTATATCATATATTTCAATAGGTAGAAAATGTAGAAACACTTGGCTGAAGAACAATTTTACCGAAAAATCATTTCTTCGGACGAAGCTCATTTTCACGAAGGCTCGGTGAATAGCAAAATTGTCACATTTGGGAATCAGAGAAGCCAATGCAACCTACATGAGTGGCTGGTGTGGTATGGTGACAAATTGCCGCACAGCCAACCTAACAATCGAGCTTTTGGGCACAGTTTTTCGACAACCAAATAATCAATCGAAATTCTGATATCAACTGGCCGCCTCTGAGATACAATTTCAAGCTGTTGGACTATTTTCTATGAGAAGTCGTTAAGGACGAATGTTATGATTAACTATCCATAGACAAGTGAGGCCATACTAAACGAAATCGGTTTGCTGTTAAAAAAATGCAGGCCTAAGCAATCGAAAAAGTATATGAAAATCGAATGAGGTACCGTCAGCTCAGCCATGGCAGAATGTTTTTGTGTTTTATTCCTAAATGTCAAGGTTCAATCATTCTACCAATTAAATCAGAAATTTGAAAAATGTTCATTAGTTCTTTTGTATTGCCAATTTTAAATATTCCACCCTATAGGTCCAACATACCGGACCGAAATCGGTAACATCAAACTGATTAAAGTTCGTCGATTTTCTGACGGCCTCTTGTCTTCCATTTTTGAACATATGAATCACCACACTGCTCAAAAGTCTTCAAAATTGACATTTTCCATTTGTCACTGTCGACGCTTCAAGGTTTCAACACGTTCACATAATGATCTCCTTATACCCAGTTACAAACCTTCACCCTGTTCGTGTGCAAGAAATAACACCATTAGAGAAAAGAATACCTGAGAGGGCGTTAGCCAGCTGCAAGGGACTGTTAGGCACGGCCCCTAACAGCCCGGCGCCGCCCACTTGCCCCGATGAGTTATTCAACGAGGGCAAATTATGGGCGACGTTTTTGAGCGGTTCGCCGTTCGGACCTAGCCCCATACCGATCGACTTGAGACCCTCGGGCAGTTTCATGGTATCGTTGACTCTATCGATGCGCACCGCCATCGTGCGATCGTACAACACCTGATTGTGGAACATCGAGATGGCCTGTACGGCCTCCACCGGATGATCGAACTCGACCACTGCGAAACCTCTGCTGCGACCGTCCTTGTCCAATGGCATATCGACTCGAATCACGCGACCAGCAAGACGGAATATTTCCTTCAGCTTCTTTTTATCGACATTATATTCCAACTGGAAAAATAAAAACAAAACACATCTAACTACGAGCCTCCTCGCATTTGCCACGCGATTTTGGCGAATAAAAAATAATGAGACCTCTGGCGAACATAATTTAAACCAAAAAAGGAAGTATTAAGCGCGTATCGATGTTAGGCAATAGGGAATATGCATGCTTTTTGTAATCTCTGTCGATTATTTACGTTGATTAAATAGTTAAAACTTGCAAAGCCAATGACGTTGATTTAAACGCCGCATTTTTAGCGCGTTTTGCAGTGACGTCATACGAGTAACTCACGAATTTGTCATTTGATTGCATTTGTGCTGTCGGGCTTCCAAATTATATTTTATAACACCAAGTTTTTAATAAAGAAAATAGAAGCATGGACGAAGAACAGGAACCTTATCAAAGTACTACATTCTACTTATATTATGCAGAAATACGATACGGAAAGCACCAAATAATATATGTTGTCATATCCTCCCAGATGCTAAGAGAAAAGTGGTGTAAAATTATGAAAAGGGATAATATATCTCCAAAAAGTAATTTAGGACTACCATTTTGCTCAAATATAATTAGTTTTGTTTTACCTTATTTTATAAAGACAAGGAACTTTTTTCAATTGCCATTTCAATAAAATAATTCTATAATACTATAAACCAGCCATTATTGATGCACACAGGGAGGCTATAGAAGAACTAAGTCTGTCTGTGGTCTAAAGTATACCAGAAAGTTGTAAAAACTCATCGAATACCTGTTTTCTTTCGAAACATCCAAATGACAGGCTGACAATCAATGACATCGGAATCAAACGGCTCCCATTTTAAATCGGATTGACCAATCAACAAAGAGTTGGCTGGTCACAGGTCGCCAATGGTGACGTCACGCCAATAACGTTGCGTTTCGACATTTTAGATTTATCACGTATTTGTTCCAATTTTTACTAACTACTAGTCGTAAGTTCATAGCGCCCAAATGTAAAATAAAGTTGAAGGAGTCACTCTGTAGCAATATAGACTGCAAATAAAAACAATTAAGTGATATTTGAATTACATGCATATTCACTATTGTTGTGTACATCTGAAGATATAATAATAGTGAACAAAATGGGTACTGCTACATTAACAAGAAACTCGAAAAGATCATTTACAAGATATTCTCAATTAAACCTTCTGGAACTTAGGGACTGTTTGTTCACCTGATTTATAAGAAAAAAATGTCCTTCCGACACAGATGGTAAACCCATTTTGATTGTGAAGCTGTGCAGTGACAAAAACTGTGGACAGCCCCAACTGTTGGATACCCACCTCCGTCCATATAAAATAATTGCCATTATGGACCCCCAAGAATTGTTAAATGTTGAAAATACTGCAGGGGATGATATTTACTGAAGTGCAAATGCTACCATAGATTTGATGTATGCTGGTGACATAGCAATGGTTGTGATAAGATGAGATTTTCTAGAATTGCTTGAATTATTTGAATATATGAAGAAAAATAAGTATTTGTAACACATCTAATATTTGTTGTGTCTCAACTCCGCCAATTCTATTTAACAGAGAGTCGAATGCCAATAAATGTAGATAATGAATGACAACAATTATGTGCAAGATGACTGAAAATCAAGGAGCAGCTAGCAGCTGATTATGATGAAGGTAGGAAAACAGTATAAATGCAAAACCCTACTATCTCTAAAAGAAACTGTAGTATAACTGCTACTCTGGAAGGTTCTAGCGTCTATTTTTGTCCGAAATGAGCAGTAGTAAAAATACCTAATACTTATAAGTAAGATAAAATACCGAGAATCGGTTTTTGTCAAAGCACGTCCTCGGCTATTTCCTTAGACAACTGCGTCCACTTATTCTAAGCTGTCTATATATAAAACTATCCCATTTCTAATACTCTTGGCTGGAACACAAAACTTTATGTTAAATCTGGTCAGCACACTTCCTTTCATCATCAAAGTTTCACCAGCGACCCCATCGGTAATTTTATTCGCCAATAATATCACTCTTCCACTGTGTTTCAAAAGGCAAATTTAAATATGAAATCCTCATAAATATTCAACATGTAGCAGGGTGTATCAAAACTATATGCAAGTAATCCACTACAAACTTATATTTAGAAACGGCCTTACACGAAATACGAAAGCAACCCTTTAAGATGCACTGTTTTGTTTTCATCCCAAAAAACAATAGGCAATTTGAAAGACTTTTCTATCACAAGTCAAAAAAGATGAAGAAGAAACCTCACATGAGATCATGATATAGGAATCCACAGCATCTAGTTTATAACAAAACAAAAACAGACCATAGCACAAAACCATGTTTCAAAAGCATTTTTAAGACAACTTTTGATTATTTTGGCATAATCAGCAAATCAGACTTGATATTCCTAGGCTGTTATGGATAAAAAAATTAGGTTATCAAATTTGAGAAGCAATACTTACATTAGCAACAAACACACGATTGCTCAATGGACAGTCAATGTGCAAAGACTCGAGGAACTGAGGGCTAAGGCCATATGTGTTGCCATATTTTCCCTCATCTGATGGGCCCCTCATGCCAATATCTCTGTGGTCATCACGGTACCTGTCTTCCCTACCCCTTCTGGAACTTAGGTTGCCATGCTTGTCTCGCATATTCCCTGTGTCTTCTTTTATCACCAGCTTGCGCCCTTTTACTTCATACCTAATTTTATAATAATCTATTTGTATGTTTGATCAAGCACTATACACTCATAAATATAGATGTCCAAAAAGATTTGTCTATCCTATTCAGAGAAAAACTACTCATAAAATATCAAAACTAATGTGCAGTGAAGTAGCAATAAATAATGAAGGAAAGCTTCCACCGTTCATCTGTTAAGAAATCCTAGTACTGACATGTCATATACCCTATTTCACGAGTATCCATCACGTCTTGACGTCTACTGAGGTTAACGGTTGATTAACATGTGACATTTTTGTGTTTAGTCTGCAGCGTTGGCAATAATGAATCGGGTGTAAATCCAATAAAACTTGCTAGTAGCGTTTTGGTTTTCCTGGCGTTGACGAATCCTTCAAAATTATGTGTACTTTGTCGGTAAGCGGAATTTTGGAATATCACTAGATATCAGCTGTCATTCTACCGTAATGTATACTCGTGAAAAGACTATACATCGAAGTATTAAGACACTGTTTACAGGGAACTGAGGTTAGGAAATTCTAAGCTGACAAGTCTCTTTCGATACTAAACCAAATCGTGTAATCTCACATCTAGGGCCCTAAAAGCTAACCAGCTAGGTCTCTCGTCAGAGAGAAAGCCGCTGCTATACCTTATTTAACGAGTATCCATCACGCTTTACGTCTACTGAGGTGAACAGCTGATCAGCAGGTGACATTTTTGTGTTAGTCTGCAACATTGGCAATAATGGATCGGGTATAAATCTAGCATAACTTGTTTGAGGCGTTTTGTTTTTTGTAAGCAAAAGAACTTTCCTAAATAAAAGAGCTGTTAGCAAGCAAAACATGAATCTGTAGCATACAAAAAAATCAAACAAAATTCGGCTCTATCTTCCTGCCGTTGACGGATCCGTTAGAGTTATGCGTCCTGTGCCAATATGAGGAATTCTGGGATATTACTAGATAATCAGCTGTCATTCTGCCGTAATGGATATTCGTGAAATAGGGTATATGTGCTGTTATTATTTGGAGAGAGATAAACGCATTGTTGCCAGATAATTCATTTTGGAAGAATTCATTACCCATCACTTGTAGTGCAAACAGTTTTCGTTCAAATTTACTCATGTTTGGACATTTATTCATGGTAGAGATACAAAATATATTTTTCATTCAATAACGTTATAAGTCACACTTTTTGCGAGTGTTCTCCGTGTCATGTAAGGAGAAGTTACTCTCAAACTTTAAGTTGTCAAATTGCTATTTAACTTTTAGGACCCATTGCGGAGTAAACGCGATTCAGAAACAGAGGAATGTTAGATTGAAATTTAAATTTCTTCTAACCCCAAATTGATTTTTTTACCAACTGACGGTGTATTCAACATGGTTGCCAGTTGTCTGGACAGCATGGCCTGAAGATAAAGTGTTTACTTATTTTTGGCAAACCACCAAAAACGTGCAAAGATAATTATTAGCCTCCTATAATTGAGCATGAAGTAAATTACAGGAAAACGCACATAAAAATCGATATAATATCAGTTTTACTTCCCACGCCTGCTGGCAAGAAGTGTTTAATCGCGAAATATTTCTAAAATAAAATGTTTTTTGGATGTTATATGACATCATGAAAAACCATGACACTGATTTTCTTCCTTGGGTCTGCCTCTCCGCTAATCTTTGGACCGCCTACAACTTGGAAAGTACTGATTTGGACGATTTTTTTAATCGCTCAAACTTTGTCAGTATATTTAATTTATACGCTTCCAATCCCAATAATTTTACACACCTATCAGTATATATTTCACACATCGTAGATTTACCCGTACATTTGCCCTCAAAACGGTCGGGACACAACATTTATACACTGAGGACTATCTGCATCGCAGGTTCTATCGAGATACAGTATCGCGGCTGGCTTTGATGGCATGGTTGACTAGTGTGGTTCAGCACCATTGCCAGAGGGTCCATGCTAGCGTTATCAAAAAACAGTGTTTTCTTGATATAACTACACTTTGCATTCACCATAAATTGCCATCATATGGGCAAGCTCAAAACTGCTATAGGACTTTGCATTGACAGGGCTTTTAACATCCGATTCATAAACAGCCCAGTGTCTCTACAAGACGCCTGAGTTGGATACTGACGCATGTAAAATCTTTACTGAAAACATTGCCGCATTTAATATCGCTCAAATGTTTGGTACCTAATCTTGTCTTAAGGCGTATTAAGAATAGAATTTTTTTATAATGAAGCAGCCCCACAGGCAGAAGCCTAAATGCCGGGACACCGCGGCTGCTATGATGATCCCAAAGAAAGTTTTTTAATCCGAATTTTAAACTGCCCAAGTTTAGTGGATCTGGGAATAGCTTCCTCTTGTAGATTGTTCCACAATCTCGACACCCTCGGGACAAAGGAGCGGCCGTATCGACCAGTTCTGGATGTACGAACAGTCCTAAACAAATAGCCTAGCTTTTTCCCAGCAGCTGCCGCCAGAAATCGGCTTGTCACTCTGAATTCCTACATGTAGAGTGCTGTCATCAGCGAAGCTGTGGATGGGGTTGATCGTGCAGGAAAGGAGGTCGTTGATATGTAAGAGAAACAGTGTCAGAGCCAAGATCGATCCCTGAGGAACACCCGCGTTGACGTTGTGGGATGAAGAGGAGAGACCGTCAATTACGACGGATATCTTGCGGCCAGAGATATAGTCAGCCTCCAATCTCCAAAGCTTTTGTGGGAGCCCATAGGATGGAAGTTTGCTTAAGAGGGCACCGTGCCACAGCTGATCGATCGCTTTCGTGCTGTCAAGAGCAACGGCATGAGCCTCACCATAAGACTGGATGAGTTTACTCAGCAAATGCGTCGCGTAAGCTAGGAGATCCCCTGTGAATCGCTGGTGCCAGAAACCATACTGCCTGTCGCTAATCAAGCTGTTACGTGCCAGGTAGTCCAGAAGCTCGCGATTTATGCACCTCTCCATCACCTTACTTATAACAGAAAGCAGAGCTATAGGCCTGTAGTTGTAATGGTCGGTCTTAGATCCTTTTATGTTCCACACTGTGATTTTCTTTTGTTGCACAACAAAATCATGTGAAACTAATAAACTACATGTCAACTTACAGGATTTAAAAATAATTTTTGGTTTGTTTTCATAAATCACATTTTTAGGGGGTGGTTGTTCAATTTTATGAAGACAGAAGGTGTCACCTAGCTGGTTAGCTTTTAGGGCCCTAGCTGTGAGATTACACGATTTGGTTTAGTATAGAAAGAGACTTGTCATTTTGGAATTTCCTAACCTCAATTCCTTGTGAACAGTGTCTTAATTGATGTATAGTCTCTGTCACGAGTATCATTTACGGTAGGATGACAGCTGATTATCTAGTAATATTCCAAAATTCCGTATATCGACAAAGCACACATAATTTTGAAGGATCCGTCAACGCCAGGTAGCCACAGCCGTACTTTGTTTTTTGTAAGCTACAGATTCATTTTGCACTTGCTAACAACTTTTTTGCTTAGAAAAGTTCATTTGCATACGAAAAACAAAACGCTACTAGCAAGTTTTACTAGATTTACACCCGATTCTTTATTGCCAACATTGCAGACTAAAACAAAAATGTCACTTACTGATCTGCTGTTCACCTAAGTAGACCTCAAAGCGTGGTGGATTCTCGTAAAATAGGGTTTATGTATAATGGAGCCAATAAACGTAAAATATTGGGCCCCAGCTAAATATTGCGGTTATATTAGCTACATCTCGACAATATTGTCCGCAATGTGTAGACACCTGATCGGAATTGTATGCATCGCGGCAGTTCACATTACTTACATACTACATTAAACAAGATCCGAATAATTACGGAGATCTCAAAATGTATTGCTGGGCTAGAAAAATATTGTCCGCTTAGAAGCGCCATTACTAGATGACTTTTCTTGTTAAGAACTATATGCCATGTAAATGAAAGCCCTAACTTTAAGACAACCCTGTATACAACTTTCAAATAACATACCTTTGCATGAGATCCAAACACTTTTTGACAGAAGCAGCATCTGCAAATTCGACGATGCCGCTCCCTTTTGGCTTGTCATTCTCGTCGACGAACAGCTCGACAAACTGCACCTCGCCGACCTCCTGCCTAAAGAGGTCCTTCATGTCTTGCCATCTGTACTCGTAGGGTATGTTGGAGACGAATACTCTGTTGGAGGATGATTTCATGCTGCGTGGTTCCCCTCTTCCTCCGCGGTCGTTGCTGCGGTCACGGACCTTGTCAGAGAAGCGGCTTCCGCGATCGCGGTCACGGTCACGTCGCTGACGGTCCCTGGACCTGTCCCTGATGCGGTCTTTGCTTTCTCCGTCAGAGTCCATAGTTATCTGAGTTTGATAATAACAGCATTTATTACCCAACAGAAATAATCAATTTACAAGGTAATATTACCATAGATAATTTACTAACATAACTCACTAAGTATACTTTTAAGATTCCTAAAAGTACAATTAAACATATCACATGTTACAAATTTCATTAAAGTTTGAGCACATTATGCTAACTGGTGACTTTAATAGCAAGTTCGTATTTGCCCGCATACAAAAGAATAGCTGATCCTGTCAAGAACTAAATCTAGAAACATAAAAGGGTACTTGGGATAACAGTTCAGACGACTCTATCCCGTGGTTCAGGAGCCGATACAGAAAAACAGCAATCCAAATGTTGGTGGAAGACAGGAGAAGTATAGATGGGAAAAAATGTATTGTAACAGAATTTTTAGATATCAAAAGGGCATTTGAGACTATAGATGGGGAAAAATAGTTAATGAAATTGTATAACTATGGTTTTAATTTTAAATGATCAGTATAAACTATTAAACATTTTACAGAATTATTTTGTAAATAGAAGTCAAAAAACCAAAGTTGGAAATATTATGTCAAGCATTCAAAATATATCAGTTGGGGTGTCACAGGGAAGTAAATTAGGAGCTTTACTATTTATTATTTACATAAATGATATCTCAGACACTGCAAAATTCAAATATCTGCGGACGACACATTGATATACAGTAATGTACAAAAGTATATAGACAAATTAATATTGTGCTGTAATCCTTTTTTAACTTGTTTTATTAATACACCAACCTGTATACACAATTCGTTATAGCATAATACTCATACATAAATAAATTCATTAGACTCCCTTCAATAAAAAAATAATTGAAAAAAACTGGTACTATGAAGGACAAAAATATATAGACAAAGCAAAACAATTATAGAAAAAAGAAGCAAACTTCATTGAATTATAGAAAACCAACCATGTTTGTAATAATATTTTGTAGCATAACCATTATTATCAATCACCGCCTGGCATCGTCTCGGCATAGATTGTAGAAGTTTCTTGATATAAGATTCATCAATCGTCTCCACTTTTGCTCTAAAGCGGCAAAAGGTTTATCCTTGTTTGAAAAATTTTTATCTCGTATTTGCTTATCTAAGTATTCCCATAGATTTTCAATGGGGTTTATATCGGGAGACTGTGAAGGCCATTTGAGAACCGGTATTTTTTCATCCAGAAAGAATTTCTTTGCGAGATTTAAAGTGTGCTTCCGGTCATTATCTTGCTGGAAGATTGATCTTAAGGGCATATTCTCTTTCATATAGGGTAACATGACATCCTTTGGTTATGTCTGTGTATACTAACTTATCCATATTGTGCCATCTATTCTATGTAAAGGTCCCATCCCAAACCTCGAAAAGCACCCCCAAACCATAACAGATCCGCCACCATGTTTGACAGTGGGCAAAGTGTACTTGGGGTTCAATCTTTGTCCACTAGGACGTCTAACATGGTGACCACCATCTGATCCAAACATATTGAACTTGGATTCGTCACTGAAACATACCCTCTTCCAGTCACAGATGCCCCAGTCAAGATGCAAACGTGCAAATTGTAATTGGTCCTTACGGTTTTTCCTCGAGATTAGCGGCTTCTTACTCGGGCGACGTGCAAATAACTTCAAATCATTTAATCTTCTACTTATAGTTTTCGTAGAAACACTGGCAATTCCTTTTGTCTCGATTTCGGTTTTTATTTGTCTTGGAGTTTTAAACAGATCTTTGGACGAAATTGCTTTTATTAATCTAACTGGTTTTCTAGGCCGACCACTTCTCTTAGAGGCTTCCAAGATACCTTTTTGTTTATATTTGTTCAATATTGCCCAAACTGCTTTATGCTTCAGCTTCAAATTTTTAGCAATGTCGAGTTGACGATGACCATCTTTGTATAACTCAAAGATCTTAGTTTTCACATCGAAAGATATTTCCGGACCACGCGGCATGGTCTTAAAATCGTTCAACTTATTCCACAATACTTGATGAACACAAACTAATCCTCTTCTTACACAAAACTGTACTAAACTAATGTTGAAAAGAATTTGTCTACATATTTTTTTCACTCATAAAACAATGCTTATATTCAGACTTGTATTGTGTTCATTGCAGATAATGTAAAAACAAGGAATTTAGTTTTTCTACTAATAATGCATTTGTTTATGGAGCAATGAAGTATGAATTCGTTTTCTAAAGGTATTTAGGTAAATATTCATATTTGTCTATATACTTTTGTTAAATCATGATAATAAAAAATTACGAATTGGTTAAATGTTAATAAACGTAACTTCAACACTAATAAAACAGAATGTATGTCAATAGGGAAACATTTAGGTGACAATACAATTAGGCTCATGATTAATGTTGAAAAAAGTAGTCGAATCATTTAAATATCTTGGTATATGTGGATAGTAAACTACTGTTTCACAGCATTATGAATACATTATTTTACAAATATCAGAAAAGATAAATTACTTCTATAGTTTCCCACAAACTTCTTTCCCATTTTTTTTATATTGTTCAACCATCTTGCGTACAGTAAATGAAAATTACAAATTCTACAAAATAAAGCTATGAGAATCATTTTAAATAAAAACAAATATGCTAGGATTAAGTCTATGTTAGAAGAACTACAGTGGTTGAAAGTCAAAAATTTCATATGTTATTTAGTTCTCACTTTCATATTCAAATTAAAAAATCATTTATTACCACCACATTAAAGAAACTTCACAAAATTAAATAGCCATTATCATAACTACAAAACTAGAGGCAGTATAGATTTTCATCTGCAAAATTGCAATAGTAGCATAACTAGCAAATCTGTATTCCAAAAGGTATCATTTGAATTTAACAAATTGAATAATGATATTAGACAGTGTTTAAATTTAAAAATGCTTTAAGATGAAATTAAAAAATCACTTTATGAATACTCAAAATGCATAGTGATGTAATTTTATAGAAAATAATGTAAAATTACAGAAAATGCATTAAAAATGTGTTAGCAAATAATTATATAAAATTGACATTGTGGCATTAATGCTACATATCTTCAACAAACAATGTTTATGACGGTTCTTCAGTGAGGCTTACCCAAATCTATTTAATAAACTACTTAGTTACATCCACTCTCTGGATAAAATCCATCAGCTCCAAGAGCAAGTTTTCATGCCATTATATCAATAAATAAATATATATACATAAATTGTTCCAGGGAAATAACATTTTAATTCGTAATTTACCTCTTGATGTAGTTATGCAATATTGGTGAATAATGGTATTTGGGTTTTCAGTGTCAACTAAAAAAAATAGCTTAGTTTATTCTTAGATTCATTATTTCACAAGAGTATATGATATGTGATGCATATTTGACAGGATCAGATATTTTGATTTCGACAGCTTTTATAGGTACCAAATATCTTGAAAACTGTTAGCTTCAGACACTTCTAACAAGTAAACTTTTTATGTTGTGGAAATTCGAGAAAATAAGATTTTTCGGTCAGTTGTTGTATACAGGGTAGCATAAAAAAGTTTATGATAAGCTATTTACCGAAATAGTGCTGCAAGTGGCGCCCTCTTGAAGTTTGGCCATAAAAAATAACGGTTTTTTGTTTAACATACTAGAAAACCTTCCTATACCAAGTTTTATGCCAAAATCTGAAATACCTCTCAAGCAATCAACTTTTGGACTGAGGTATGTTTAGGTCAATTCACATAGTATCTCCAGCTTCGAGATTTCTCAACCTTTAGCAGATGCCCTGTATATATATATATAGTTATATATATATATATAGTTTTTTTATATATATATAGTCTTGTCGAAGTACCCAACAAAAGGCGGAAGCTTTAATTTTTCACCTAACTGGTCTAGACGACAATGACCACGTCTCAAGTTATATATATATATATATATATAAAACTATGAATGTTAATAAATACTCTTATTTTTAAACAATGTGTGTTATTTCCTTTGAAAGGTGTGACTTTCTTTCTTCTGTCACAACATTGCTAAGAAAATAGTACATTTTATGTGACTTTGGCATCACTAACATTTGTTTGTAATTGTATTTCTAGTAATGGTACTTGATGTAAAATGGTGTACCAAGATGATGCACATAGTGATTTTGTGAACCTTGCTTGTTTGTGCATTTGATGGATTTGGTTAAGCATTCACACCAAAACTGTCATTACAATATTGACAGTAATTATTTGTATTAGTTGTTAGATTTGTGAAAATTGTGTAAATTAACCAACAATATACCGAACAGATTTGAAGTTGGATAAGTGATGGGTGAAATAGTTACAACCAAAGGAGTCACAGCCATAGAACCAGTGCTGATATGCTAGTGACCTTTAGCTAATGAATATTTAAAATATTTTTCAAGAATTAGTAATGAAACCAAAATCATAACAATTGAATTTTTTCTTCTATCACTGAAAATATGAATGAGCCTTATAAAAATGATACCCAGAGCTGGCTTTACATCTTTTTTATAGATGAGGCAGTGTGGAATGTGTGGCCAATTCTACTATTATAATTGTTGCAAGAAATTATAGATTAAACATAAAAAAATATGATGTTGTAATTAAGTTCTGATAACTCAAAACACCCTATAAAGTTTTAGACTAAGGTTAAACTCAATAGAACATTTGGTTCAAGTTTTATTAGTATCTTTCCCAATTAAATTAATATGTGAAAATACATGAAACTGCTGACTTCAGTTGTTCCATATATAAATGTAATAATTACTCAGCCTCACAATGAATGAAATATGGATATCACTATGATTAAATTCACCATCAGACACAATTTGGTGTTCAAAAACATTTTTTTTATTCTACCAAAGGACTGAAGAGTGTAAGTTCTAAAGGATCTAAGTGTCAAAAACATGCAACCAAGATAATCAAATAAAACTATCTGAGTAAGAAGTAAACAATATTTTAAGTAGCTCTAAATATATTTTTTTAAGACAAATCAGGTTACTTTAAGTAAGACCCTTGACAAAAAATTTTAAAAACAAACTCGTAAAAAGATCTAAGTGCATCATTATGCAATTCTGAAAAGGGTCTATGTGCTTTTTTGTAAGTTTTATATCACCTCAATAAGTGTTGTACTCTAAACCACTTGTCCTCAGACATTTTGTTCCTTTTTCACACTTTCTGAACCTTTTGCCCTTCTTTTTCATTACATTTTTTGTTAAAACATGGAAATGACACAACAGAACACCACTGTCAGGAAACCAAATCTGCTTCGTAGCTTTGGCACATAGACCCTTAATTTATAAAATGTATGTTGGCACTTACACATACCATCATCTATTCGACAGAAAATAAACACCTAAATGAATCGCTGGCACTTACTACCTTTGCAATATTATTAGCCATGGCACATAGACTCTTTTCACATGAATAATTGAAAATATTTGTTTTTGGAACTTAGAACCTTTAGAACTTACACTCTTCAACTGTATCTTGATTTTATTTCTTGAATCAAGGATTAGGAGTGAGATACAATTTTTTGAGGTGTATGGTGAATTCAACAGTAATGATTTCACAAAAAGTAGATATATATGACCCTAAGACATCGATTTAGCAAAGAGAAGAAACAATCGATCGTCCCAAAAGGGTAATCCCTGCTACATGACACCCCTAGTAAGCATGGTAGGTATTCCAAATCTAAATGAAAGATAATAGGGCGGACAACTGGATTTTACAAGTCAACAATATGCATTTCAAGAAATAATACAGATTAACTAATGTAAGTATGACAGATTGTATAAGAAATGTAACTAAATATGAGATTTAACGAAAAAAAAGATCGAGGGGTGGTGCTAGAAATACCGGCAAATAATACTACGATATAGATTCATTTCTAGGTATAAATAAACTTTTACAATAAAAATGGAGCTACAGAATTAGATAATACAAATGAAAGTTCATCCATACCTGCAAAATGTCTTTAAATAGTTGGATTTACGAATGTAAATAATGAAATGTACTACGAATAAAACACAGGCGACTTTCAACGAAGATGAATTAAAACAAGATGGTGGATGGTTTGGCGTCTTTTGTCCTTTCCAGTGTTGCCGAACCGAAGGTGACGACATCGGTAGCTAGTGTCGAAATTCGGTAGATTCAAGGACAAAACGGTACGAGGAAAATATCTGAGCCGTCGCAAAATCGGTGGTGATCAAGGACTCTTGCGTCATGAAGCGTCTATGAAAAAAGGGTATTTTTAAATTGGGCGTACACAGAGTACACACACAACTCTTTTTAGAGCAACTTGTAGAATGACCGTAGTTACTATATAGTCTCTTCAAAAGCACCTGTTCAAACATTCTGGAAACTCATGTACCTAGTCTTATTAATAAGATAGGGAACATTTTTCCGTTTTAACCCATCATAAACTTGAAACCTCATCACCTGTCATTTTAATTTAATATTCGATTAAAAACAGACGAGCTTCGGTTTCCTTATTGATTGTTCGGTGATCTATAAATAGTTTGTCCCTATTACGTCGGGAATAGACTTGAGTTGAGGCAAGCCGCGCACCGAACGAGGCAGCCGCAAACGAAATGCGATATCCGAAACAACGTGTTGACGCGAGCCACAGCATGCTCACAGCTGATCCGTGCAGGAGCACCTGTTCAGTGATTACTTATTTAGTGGAGCGGTTCATTATGATTTCCTTTTCTTTTTGTTTAATTGTCGACGAAAACTACGTAAGCTTGATTAATTTCATTTAATTTGCACACGTGGAGTGAGGTTATTGAAATAAAACTCAAATTAATAATTTATCTTTCAGATCTGAGTAGAGCAATGAAACATGCCTAGATTTAAGTACAGAAGTTAGTGCCATAATTTGTAAATTACCAAAAATAGACTCTATATTCGCTCTGAGACAAATTCTGATCGAAAGGTCCGTGCAGTGCGTACGAACAAAGCACGACTCGGTCAGTGCTCACTTTGATGGACCGACAGCCGATGGCTCAGCTCGCGCACCGCATGAGGCAAACCGAGCCTGTTCGCAGCTGTGTTGGCGCGTCGTACACACTAGCGCATCACGGCGCGCCGAGGCTGCCTCGTTCGGTGCGCGGCTTGCCTCGGCTCAAGTGTATTCCCGGCGTTATACGCACAAAAACATAAATATACATCCCGACGGTTCAGACTGCCTAGTAATCACTATTTCAGCCTTATTTTTAATTCTTGCCCTTTTCGCTAAAAAAGCTTATCATATCTAAATTATTAAAAGGTCTTAGAAAATGAGGTCATTTTCCGTATTTCGGTCTCATTTTGGTAGAAATACCGAAAAATTGGTAGGTTCGGCAACAGTGATTTTTTTCTTTCCACGTCTCTTCGCCTTGTCACAGAAATATAAGATCATGGAATGCCAGTTTGATCAAAAAGCGAGAATTACAGAATGGCAATTCAATGAAAGTAATTTACCATTTTCCTCTCCCGATACAATCCGTTTATTATACAATTACACACACATATAACAATTAAACATCAATGTAAAAAAAGTCTGGGGTCCGTAAATACCATTGAAAAAAACGATCAACGTTACATAAATCCATCTACGAATACGCACTCAATAATTAACAGTCCAGTTCTAGGTGCAGTGCCTTCTCGTAAATGACAAACGAATGTCAAACTCAAACTGACAGATTAGAAAAGCAAAACAAATTAAAATAAACCGCATAAACAAAAACAAGCCAGCAACAATTTTTTAAACTTGCTCTGTTTAACGCCCAAAATGGAATCATTTTACTGTCCTGATTATTTTCGTACATCTGAACAGATGGATTTAAAGGACTATTTTAATAAATATAACCAACTTTACAAACAAGCTTTGACTTTTGTTGAAGATTCCGAGACAAAAAATAGACACCAAGATGTTTTATTAACAAAACAAACCAGGTAAGAGTATCCTCCACTTTATTGAGACAACATTATTACTATTCATTTAGGGCCGAATCGTCCGTAGTTCTTACAATAATTATACGACGCATTTATGGCTTCCTTGATTTTCATAGTATTTTCTCACCTTCAAAAAGGCTGGGCTATTTCTAATTTCTACTGTTCCGTGTCCGCGTTGGGCTTATTTATTCTGAAACTATGTTTTCTTTTTGAAGTGTAGGAAATTTCAGGCTGATATAACAGATGATATACATCAAAGTCATGAACAATTTGATGCAAATAGATATTTGTAGCATAACCTCAAAATACAGCGCCATAAAGGCGTCGTACAATTGAGTGCCTTAGAATGATAATTCGGTAAAAACCAAAAAGGTAATTTTACAGGAGATGAAAATAACATGTTTAATAAAACTAGTTGTACTTTTACCTGCAAATTATTATTTAAATGCTTATTGAAAGTGTTTTGAAACGTTTTTTGAGCTCATATTTTTGTTTAATATTACTTATATTAGAAAAAAATAATAAATAAAAGACGGATATACCTAGTTGTCATTCTGTATTCACAAAATATCAAATTAGATTAACAATAACTTTTTTTATTCATCACTACTCTCGGATCACTCGGTTTCACTTTCCTCCTGCTGTTGCTCTGATGTTTGCAAAGAGTAATAAAATCCATGATATATTGCATGAATGAAATCTTGAAGTTCCTTTAAGTTTTGAAGTTTTTTTGGGTTAACCTGAAGGGTTGTAGTGTAGAGTTGAGCTACATTCCATTCCTTTAAAGCAAGTAAATCTGCGTTAGATTTAAATGCAATGAAAGTTTGGTTTAGACTTTCAATATTGTGGCATACAGAAATGGTGATTTTTTTATCTCATATTTAAAACTTTTGTATTTTGAGACGGTAAAGTTTTTTATGCTTTTTTAAAAAAAGATTGGAAATATGAACGAAAGTCCCCTATCATCCTTGGCAGTACATTGACAACAGTAAAGGTTTTAGAGGTTCTTGCAACTTTTGAATACCATTCTTCCGGAAAGTAAAGGTATGTCACTTTGCGTTTTTCCTTTTCAATGAGAGCAAATTTGCGATCGCAGGGTAGAAACGAATGACCTCTTTCAGGAAATCGATGGTAGATCATTTTAAATCTTCCAATGGCGACCAACGAAGATAACATCTGAACAACAACCATGTTTTTATTTTGCCCAACACAGTTATCAGTGAATAAGTACAAGGTCTCAACTGAAGGATCAACAGCATTGTCTACATAATGTTTCAAAAATGATACTGTCTCATTTGCACCTTTTTTCCTTCGACTTCATTGTACATGTACATATAAGAATGGCCCGTTTTTGCCGAGTAAAAACACTGGTTATAAACCCAAAGCTGCCTTTTATAAAAAATATCACCTATTGGAAGTACAGGTACTGGCAAATTTTGTTGATAGTCAAAGCTAATAACATCCATTTTTTCGTCCGTTTTAGCTTGTTCACTGAACCGCTTAAGGTCGTCGTAAAATTTCTGCGCTTTGGCTTGATGTAGAGAGTATTCTTGATTCAACCGAGATTTTTCTTCTGGATTTTCCGCCGCATCTATTTGATTCTTGAATCTGTCACATGCGTTGCAGACGTCCGTTTTAGGTTTTCCAAATGAAAGATTAAATTTGGTGTTAAATATGTGTAGATAAAAATCATAGTTGATTTTAAATTTTGTTTTGTTATCAGCCTTCCACTGTTGATATTTCTCCGGTTCGTACTTTTCCACGTACAGCTGATGCATTTTCATCACACTTAAGTCGGGCGAAATAAACTTTCTTTGACTGCTATTTCTGGTGTAGTGCGAGATGCGAATAGGAAATGAATTTATATGTGATTCAATTTGTCGGATTAGAGCTTCTGGTTTTTTAAGTACCCTGGATCGTTCAGATAAACCCCTTTTGTCGGTCGCAGGAGCCGGGTTACTTTTTTTAGCTTGCCCAATTCGATCAATCCTACCAAACTTTATACCATAAAGCCCCGCTAAAGCTTTTTTGCAAACCATTAGTTCTCGTCCAGCTGTCAATATGATCTACAATACAAAATATTGTTAAATACCTACTATCAGTAAATAAGTATTTGCATAACAACTAACCTTATAATGAAAGGATGAGTTTCGTTTTGATGTTTGAATTAACTCAGCATCAGTTAAAATATCTTCAATCGGATGGCCCTTTCCATAAAGTCGCTTTTTCATAATATCTGGTCGCCTTCTAAATAAATAAAAAAAAATTAAAAAACTACCTATTTGTTTCTTTTGTTACTTATATTCACGTACCTTGCAACAGGCCTCACTGTTATTAATCCAAAAAGATAGGAATCTTGCACATTTTTATCAGCCAAGTTGTTAAATTTATCAAGAATGTTTGCTTTTTCTTCGACTGAGATTTTACTTGTACATCTATTTTTGCAGTCACATTCATAACCCCGCCTTGCAGGCATATTTTTTCCGGATTTAGATGTGTACGCTAGTCCTTTATTGAGGTTAGATTTCCTTTGAACACTTTTCCAGAGATTTTTATTTTTTTTTCTATTTCTTGTTTTATTCTCCTCAACTTCATTATTACTATTAGCACTATCACTATAATCTGGGTCTAAATCATCCCTCATTACCTCGGTATCACTGTCACTAGACATCATGAAAATGCTAGCAAATAATAGTCAACCAGTGAAAAACAACAACGCAGTAACAAACACTCTAGAGACTTCACTTAGAATGAAAACTGGGTAAAAACAGGATATACCGAGTTTTCATTCTCAATGACAAAAATGGATATATATTTGCGCCATCTACTGGTAAAACTACTAAGCGGATATGTTCAATTCTCACTCTAATACGCGTATTAGGTCTACATGATTCGAATCGCGCAAAAACCAGATTTTCGTAAAAAGTGGTTTTTACCGACTTGTCATTCTGGGGTATTCAATTGTAGGAATGACTGACGACCACTGACGACGATACGACCCTAAAAGCTATCTCCATACATTCAGGAATTGTACAACTGTTGACATAGCCAGAATTCCATAGACTTTTAACAGAGATATCAACTAAAAAACATTGTTTTAATAAAATAGTTGTTGGATTAAGACTGGGCAAAACATCATCTAGAATAATTGTAACCAGTGATTTTCGGGAGGAAAAGTGTAGAAGTCAGGATGTCATCTATCAGTCTCCTTTATAAAAAGTCAATATTGTGATAAAACGTTTAATGGCATGAATAACCTAGAAACACTAGTTTTCCAAAGATGAATTAACAAATTTACTAGATAAATATCAAAACCTGTTGGAAAAGGTAATAAGTAGAATACTTTCTAGGGACCAGTTATGTATTATGTATTTTTCTAAGTTTTCGGATTTTCTACAAAATTCAGTTGATTTTGATTTGAACACATATGGCAACCCTGCTTGTCTATAATCTAAAGCGAAATGCATCTTCAAGGATTCCCCAAATATGGATATGCTTCCTCACTTAAAACCTTAGCTATAAATGCTCCTTGTATAAATGTGCATAGTAGAGGACAGAATGGCTTCTTATGACCATTTTAGGTCTCATTTGGATGACTATGGTAATACAATTAATGAACTTTTTAGAAAGATCCAATTTTGAGTTTTCCAGAAATGTTTTAGGGCAGGTATGTAGTGCAATGGAAATTGATGGTTAACATGTTACAGTAAAGTATGTTGAGTCGGGCGAGCCAGATCTTTCAGACAATAAATAGTATTTTCAGATGTGCGTGAAGGAAAATACTTCCTTCAAATTGTAAAATGTTCCAAAATGTTTACATAAGCATAGGAGAGGGGCGGCGTTAGAGATTTGCTTACTTTTGCTGACAAGGGGGTAAGAAGGGGGTTAATAATTGTAAAAAATCTGCATATGTAATATGCTTTGTATATTTTATTTGATAAGTTTCAAGGTGCATACTCATTGAAAGGAATGGCAACAAAATTCTTCCACTGAGTTCTATTACACCTAACCAAATAAAAGCTCACACACTTGAGCAATGCAAAGGGAAGTGATGTGTTATGCTTGACATCTGAAAATGAGAAATGTAATGTGTGCACATTTAGGCTCTATGGGTACCCTGTACTATTCTTAAGCCGCGTACTGACCGAAAATCCAATGCCGAGCAAACGAATGAATCACATGTGACGTTGCCGTTTTTTTGTTGGAAGGTATTGGAAAGCGCTCGTCTATACCTAAATTTAGTTTAGTTTAGTTGGATCGCGTTGGGTTAAGTTCGGTGCTAATACCGAGCGTCGAGTCTCCTCTTATCGAATGCAGACAAACGACTATATACTAAAAGCGCAACAAATCCTGTCTAGACCAAATCAAACCTCCCTTTGATGTATCGATCAAGGAGCGAACGCAATCGAACGCCAACGCGGGCCTTGGAAACCGTTGGTTTATGTTGGCTAGCGACACCGATTCGAACATCTACAAATCTGCATGTAAATTGGCTTGCGTTGGAATCTCGGTGTGTACGCGGCTTTATGTAAACATACATCTGTAGTTCCATGATAATGATCACTAATGATATTCAACTGTGTACAGCCATAATTGTGTTTACCTTTTATATGTATGTTCTTTTTTATTTTTGATGGGAGGAAATGATAATCAATACTTATTGTCCCTTAAGTTTTTTTTGCTCGTTAATACCCCACTCTGTTTTGTTAAAATGTGTTAAAATGCCTAGTACTGTTGAGTGGTGTATAATATAAATCTCACATATATGTGTAAGTGCATTTTCTTCAAAAAAAATTTTGCATTAAAAGTTAATGTTTTATGGAAAAAATGCAATTCAATACTTTGTTTTTTGGAATATGTTAGGGTAGGGGTTTATGACGAAGACTATTTTTCTGTGAAACATTATCAATTGACAGTAAGAATATTTTTTACAAAAGAATTATGTACAATTTTCGAATACTATATTTTCTGCACTATACTTGGATACCAAAGCTGAAAAGTGACATAACATATTGTGCACCACTTCTAACGCGGTCTGCCTTTGAATCGGCGGATCCCGCCGTATTCAAAGACACACTAGAACAGACTAATCCACTCACTATCATTGCTCCAAAATTTTTGTGCATATCTGAAAATCACATCAGTTATCACGGAACTGCATATTTTTCCATAAAACATGTTACATTTCTTACCAACATGATTTTTTTAAAAAGAAACCCAAAATGTTTATCTCCATTGAGCCCATATCTTTCATACGCCCCAATCTCTTGTATCTATCTCAAAAGTAAATGAAGTATGATGGGACTATGGTTTACATAGGAGTTTACAACGGTACTGGAGAGCTTCAGCTTATTTTGAGTCTGTATTAATTTTAAGCATTGACAAACTAACGTGTCCTGGAGAACCCGAAGATGTACCATCAGAAATTCCAGATAATATCTATAGTAAAACAAAACTGAATTCTTATCCAATTAATGATATTGCAAGAGAACTGAATGTGGTGCAGTGTAAAGAGTATTTTGACTCACAATTGTCTTTCAAGGAAATGATGACCACTAATAGGAGGTATCTCAAGCCTATTGTGGTAAGTAACCACTATGTGGGATGCTCAAGTATTAGGCATCTAGACATCTAGAATATAGAAATAGTCGAAGCACAAATTCATTTTAATTATCGCATAAATAGAAATGTTATAAAGAATGTTAACCATAACATTCTTTTAGCGTGACACTATAGTTACAACTTTGTTTTGTTTTGCTTTTCAGTTATAAGAATAGTGCTTTAAAATATAATTTTAGGTAACATTTACAAAAACATTTTTCAGAAATCTGTTGCCCCTTCAAAAGTGAATGATATCGAGCCTGGACATGATTATATATTTTCTATTTTGATATACAAACCATTTGCATTGGAACATGCGAACAGATTTGGAAATGAGAAGATGAGATTTGCATATGAAATTGAAGCCGTGGGTTCAAACACCTTGACTGAAGTGGTGGACTCCATTAAATGTTTCAGTGATGATTGCCTCTTTTTAGAAGTCCCAGACACCAAGGTGGACCTAAGCAGCGAAATGTTTAACGCAAGGGTAATATAATAAATTAGAACGTACCTGAAACAGATTACAACACTGACAACTGCCACCTACAAATAAATCGACAAAGCTTGATACATCTTCAGCACACATGGTTTTTCGTGATGTACAAGTCATATAACATTCAAAAAACATGACATCTCATTTTATAAATTTTTCGCCATTACCGTCCTTCCTCCGGCAGAAGGCGTGGGAAGTAAAAGCATGAAGCAGCGTTGTATTCCGTTGGTCATGGTTACAGAGATGGAAAGCAAACACTCTGTTTAGCCTATAACCAAAACTGTGTTACAGTTTCTTTTTATGGTCTACTAAAAATTAACTATATCTTGTTGAAGTAAATTATTACAACGTTTTTATTATTTAGAATAACAGTTTTATAACAGTTCTTAAAAATATCGAATTTTATTTTTATAACAAAACACTTCTCTTGGTTTAATAATTCTAAGGTAGAAAATCGTACTCTACTCTCCATCTCGTTGAAGGTCATTTTTTATAATTTCCGTCGACATAATACGAGAAAATGAACACTGGGCTTGGAGAAAATGGTCAGTCACATACCAGCTCGATGGTTTAGTATACCGCTAAATCCCCAGGAGGGTGAGAAAAGAGCCCCGACAACAAAATTCACCAAAGGAGGCCGATTTATAAAGTCTCCACAACCCGGAAAAACCCAGAACTGGGTGTGAAATTATTTCACAAATCGGGTTGTGGACGTTGAACTGCTACACGAGAGCACACTTCTCGTATTTATATCGCTTGTGTTTATATCGACGGAAATTATAAAGCATAACGAGATGGAGAGTAGAATACGATTTTCTACCATATAATTATTACATCAAGAGAAGTGTTTTGTTGTAAAAATAAAATTCGATATATTTAAGAACTGTTATTATTAATATTATTCTAAATAAGAAAAACGTTGTAATAATTTACTTTATCAAGATATAGTTAAAAAGAAACTGTAACAACTGTAAATATGTTAGATTGTGTGACAGCAAATCTGTAAAAAATCATTGTTACATAAGTGAATTCATGCATCAAAATATAAATTGCTGGATTGGCATAAGCATGGGTGCCTTAAGTAACAATAAGCAGGGTTACACGTATCTTGAGTGTGTTATAGCTCGCGAGTTTATGTGTGTTAGATTAATTTCAGAATGTAATAAAGCATTCGTGTGTTTCTCTTTTTAGCAAGCATACCCATCTCGAACTGTATTTATAGAAGGCGTATTTTACAATGACTATAGATCTCCAGACTCTGTTGATTTAAGCAAAGAAGTGACTGAGTGGGCAAAACAAAAGGATATTGGGTCGTTTGTCTCACAATCTATGGAAGATGTAGGTATCTTATATAACGAAACCTATAGGATTTAGTTTCTGTTTTAGTTAGCAGTTATGCGTGCAACAGTGTCACTTGCCAATGATTAAATTACACATTGTTACGGGACACAAACTATATGCATGAACTCTTCAAATGTCATATTTAGGTTTCTATTTTTACTTCAGGTTCATCTGAGAGATTTAAAACCCAAACTGGGATATCCTTATGTTTACATACATCAAGGGAACTGTGAACACATTATATCTTTTTCCGATGCAAGACTTATCACAGAACCTTCATATTCCAGGTATTCAATTATTTGATAAGGAATTGTTTGTACAATGAAAACATATGTATTGCTCGATCCGCGTTTTGCACTCGACTACTACATCCAGGATACCCAATTGAAAGCCATGCCTTGCGAAAATAACCATATATTTCTTTTCACGGCTTTTGGCGATTAAGTTACCATGTTTTTTGTTTGTTGAAGATTTATTTAGCATGACAACAATGTCAATTGTAATTGGACATTCTTATGTATTAGAATTACACCACTATGTATTTTGGGTATTCATATTATTATTAAATTTAAACACTCGCTTTTGAAATTCCAGATTTGCGAGTTATGCTACTATTAAAATTTCTTAGATGGAAATCCAAACTGCCTCTGGTTTCGTACTTATAATGACATATAATTTTGTGAAATTTTCTAAATGTGGTGGTAATGAATGATTTTTTAATTTGAATATGAAAATGAGAACTAAATAATATATAATTTTTTTCACACCAACCACTGTAGTTGTTCTTCTAACATAGACCTAATCTTAGCTTATTTATTTTATTCAAAATGAGTTTCATAGCTTTATTTTGTAGAATTTGTAATTTTGAAAATATGTTTTCATTTGCTGTAAGCAAACTGGTTGAACAATATAAAAATGAAGAATGTAGTGTTATGCACAATTTTTTTTTGGAATACGTACCGAGATTATGGGCAAGATTATATAAGTAATTTATCTTTTTTGATATCTTTGAAATAATGTATTCATAATGCTCTTGAAACAGTAGTTTACCATCCATGTATATACCCAGATATTTGAATTATTCAACCACTTCAATTTTTTCATCATTAATAATGAGCCTAATTGTATTGTCACCTAAATGTTTCCCTATTGATATACATTCTATTTTATTAGTGTTTAATTTGCATTTATTAACATTTAAACAATATATATTTTTTTAATATCAGTATTTTAACAGTTCTGAAGCAGTGCCCAAATGTTTATGTGTTATATATAATATATCAATGCATCGTCCGCAAATATTTGAATTTTGGAGTGTTCTTAAATGTCAGAGATATCATTTATGTATACGAAATAAGTAATCAGATTGACCAACTGTATGTACCATTTGACAAGCCCCAAGAGAAAATGCACATTGCATAAGCCAATCCTTAACGCAGCAGCTACTCGCACTTGCACACACGCAAGAATTGGGTGATATAAGACCGTTGTTTTCATTCTCTTTCCCAAACCACTCCAGTACAATAAATTGAATGCAGACTGACGACCGTGTAGTTATAAATTCAGGCATTGCTGTTGTATAACGAAGAACAAAAAGAAGTAAACTCGCACGCTCATGCTATGCAAGTTGTCACACTGACAATGACAACCATAAATGTGGAAGACTTATACGTTGAAGAGTAGAAGCAAAGTTTTTTGACAGTCGTTCAAATTCAATGTCGACCAATTTATAACTAAAATTATTCTACGAGTATTCATAACTACGCCTTGGTTAAGATCTGGTTCTGAGTTTTTAGAACCAGCCAGGGAAGCTGGTCTGTCTTATGTATCATGGATTTGCAGTATTGAGTGAATTGCAATTATGGAGGAATCATATGTACTGTTTACTTTTCACGTTCATGTTTTGAAAGTCTAAAAACCTCAAGCAAAACTTGAAAAGTTCAAAATTTGCAGCAGAAACAATATATAGCAATCAAAGTTTCAGCCCAAACCAATCTGAGAACATGCACATTAAATTGCAAGTCGCAATAACGTGATTAATTTCGTCATTATCAGAACCGCAGGGGTATTACGTAACTTGAAAAGTGACATTATGTCGATGTTTTTGACAGTATGTAGGGTTTTTATGATATTATGTAGGTTTTCCTACAAGACTGCAACTTGTAACTAGCTGTCGTTCACTTGGGTCACTTGTAGCGAGTGCGGAATGAACTATTTGCACACTAGCCTACTTAGTCAGTTGACATTTTATACGCTTTTTTTTGACATTATATTGGTTTGTCAAGTAATAACCCTGCCGTTAACGACCATTGTCATTTCTAAGTCAACCAGAACTAGAACTGTATGCGAAAAAACTTCGCCTAAAATGTTCAATGCGGTGAGAAAAAAAAAGGGTATCTATGAGCTTAATACAAAAGTCTGCGTATGGGGGGCCGATTCCATACGTGTATGGATATACAATGAGATTCGAATTTTCTTGACGGTTTGAGTTCAGTGTGTACGAGAGAGAGAAGCGCGACGTGTACAAACACATATGTCAGAAAACCGGCCGGCCAGCGAAGCTTATCACCACGTTGCTTAGGAACGCGGCACGGAAGGTCGCGTTGAAAGGATCGCCACAAATTCTGCACCATTGCATAATTGGTCTGCTTGACAACACCGCATTTCATACATTCCAAGGCAAGGTTTCCACCTCCATAGATGGCGATTGTGGTCAGTACCCATCTAACTCTCACTCTCATAGGCGAGTCGTCTCCCTGCTTCGAAATGGTTTTCACCTGCGTACACGTAGGCGGTGATAATTTGTATTGCGTAATGTTATTTGTTTTATTTTCCGGCCGTTCACTGTCGGAAAATGTAACAACTCAGGATGTTTTGATTTTATAACCATCGGTCGAAATCAAAGTTAATTGTAAAAGAAATTAAAATATAAATTGCATAAAAAATGAGATGTATAAGTAATTCTAATCAAAATGAAAAAAGAATAGTAATTGTGCCTGTGCGAACATTTTCTAGCATGGTAGGAGTCAGGTTTTTGGGGACACTGCGTCCTTAATGGTATACTTGAATGTTTGTTTTCCCTTGACCAATACCTAAGATTTTGGGGATTATGATGTTCATGGAGAAAAAAACTGGATTCGTCCGAAAACTCCATTCTCCTGATATGATCAGCGGGGTTGAGGGTGTGAGGAAAGTTAAATCTCATTTTTTGCTTGATGTTAATATATTACCGTGTATCCCCTGAAGTTCTACCCACCTATAAAGACATATTTTACATATCATAGATTTCCCCATACTTTTGCCCTCAACAAGAAAAATACAAATAGGGTGTCTATTAAATACACGAGCAACCCGAAAACTTGACAGCCACGAATTTTTTCATTATGTAAGCCCACGGTGGACAGATCACTTATGCTATCTTCCATATTCCATACCAACTCCTATACAATAAAATTTCAAGTAAAAAAGACTTGTTAATACATCATACACATATTTCAACATCAACGCATCATCATTGGCATGAACGAAAATATGAAATGCAGCTAATACCACTGGACTATCATGAATCTATGAAATGTACGAGATGCGGTGTTGTCAATTCCAATGATACAATGTTGTAGAATTTGTGGCGATCCTGGCCTTTCATTTCGAACTAAAATATATCGCAGTTAGGCCCGATCTAGAATCGATGTGTACGTTCGAAATAAAACCATCATTTGGGCGTAGAGAATAAACACAAATGGCGTATATTTTTATTACTTCTAAGGGAATTACTGCGATTCAAGCCTGAGGTGATGTAAATTCTATGTAAACAAATACATCATAGGGTTAGGCATATTCTTCATCGACTATATATTAAACGTCGACTATATTAAGCGGTGATCTTTTGTTTTTTCCCTCCCCTCTCGAGTCTGGATCGGAGCGTTTCGACGTTGGCGCGATTTTTCCAGTTTTTTCCGGGTTCGCGAAAGGTTGTATCAGAAAACGATACCGTTTCGGAAACTAGAAACTCAGCAACGAGTACGAAGACGAAAAGCGATCAAAAACGGCGGTTAAAGTTGAAAAAATGTAGATTTTCGCGTATTGCCCGAACGATTTCCGCCGACGTTCCGTCATTTCTAAAAATATCGACTCGAGATCGATCGCGTTCTTCAATATTAACGAGTGATCTTTTATTTTCTTATAAATAAGCTTCGCACCTTTTGTTTTGTCTGCTGTATATACGTCGACGCTTTTGAGCTGGTATTCGAGCTACTGACAGATTTTTTGAATGAAATCGCATCCTTTCGAAAACTATAAATTCTCAACTTTTTAACGGTGCTGATGCGGGCTGGTAGACCTTGAAACGGTTTTAAACGAAGACGAATTCAAGAAAAACACAAAAATAACACACGTGTCTGAATACATATTGTTTATGTTTACTGTTATTAGCTTGGCAGCACTACAAAAGTATCAACTGTAAATAGTAGAGGGGAAAACGAATACTAGAGATGGGACTGGGTACAGTTCTTGTATCACAAAATAGTAAAAGCTTGAAATGCGTACTATAAATAAAATAAATTACTTTTATAGAATTTCGCATAGCCTAAGCGTTTATTCTAAAAAAATTGTGTACAACAGTATCATTCTTCCTCATTTGTTATATTGTTCGACTACTTTGTTCACTGCAAATGAAACTGTATTTTCAAAATTACAAATATTACAAAATAAACCTATGAGAATCATCTTGAATAAAAATAAATATACTAGAATAAATGTAAATTTATATATTATTTAAATTTATGCTGAAAGAACTACAATGGTTATATATCAAAAATTTCATAGCCTACTTGGTTTTCATTTTCATATTCAAGTTAAAAATCATCTTCTACCAAATCACTTAGAAAATTTTATTATAGTGAACAATGAGTGCCACAATTATTCTACTAGAGGAAGTATAGACTTTCATTTACAAAACTGCAGTAGCAATATAACGAGCAAGTGAGTATTTCAAAAGGGATTGTACGAATTTAATAAATTAAGTAATGATATGGAAAACCGGAATTCATAGTCGTGAAATTTTGTATAAAAATATGTAGTCTTGAAGACATAATATATTTTGCGATATACCGTATAATATGGATATTATGGATATTGTAGCATTAATGCTAAATAAATCTGAAACAAACAAACAATATCTTTATTATCGGAATTTGAATACACACACATCTCTAGCCGACAAAGAGGCACATTTCCATTTTACATTTTGCATACTTTATTTTGTTGTATAATTTCTTATCCCATTTCAACAATTTTTTCTAAAATTGTATAAAGCTCATGCAACAGTAGACGTTCGACTGAACCAGATAAAGGTGTTTAAAATAATTGTAACCCAGAAACATATCTATTTACCTTGGCTAACGACATGCGCGTTAGGTACAGCAACAAAAACATGTGATAATGGAAGATAATTAAGGAGTTTGCTGACATTTTCACCTAATTGACAACCGATATATAATTTTTTCGGGTGTTTATGTATGTTTTGAATTTGGTTCTATCATCTACAAGGTCAGTTTATGATACTTGTTTCCGATTGGCTAAGGTTCCCTGCAGTTTTACGATAACGCTTTCGAATTGGTCAATGTTGATCCGGATCATAGGTTTTGATCTCCGGATCATAGGTTTTGATTTCCGGATCAATTGGAAAATATGTTTTTGTAGCTAAACCTAGTGATTTATAAATAATTTCTTGATTTAATTTGGGGATTAGAGGTCCTTCTTACACAACTCGTATATGTTTGAAAGTTTGACAGATATTTTAGAAGAAATCGACTATATTCTTTGATCCATTATGTGCTTCGCTACTACAAAGACGTCCTCTCATTTTGATCCGGACTAAGAATTTTGATCCCGCGGATCAATAGTAAAATCGGGCTTTAGAGTAATGTTAACATCTTGTTAATATGTTAATCAATGCTATAACTTACATGTACACCTTATATTATCTTATTTTTTTAGGCGTTATCCAAGAATCTCATCATTCTGTACAAAGTATAACATGCAATGTTTCTTATGCTCCAATTTGCCAGCTAGGTGGATGGTAGTAAAATGTGACAGATTTCCCCATGAAAAGGTGTTTTTGTGCACCGTATGCTGTGAATCGTATTTATTTTTGGATGGCAAAAAGGTTACTGAGTTCCAATTATATCCATACAGAAATGATGACTGAACTCCATTTAATGCAGATGTACTAATATATGTTGGTGAATGAGCAAAATTGAATACCTGTGCTCTGGATATCAAGCAGGTCCCACATTATGATAAAACTTATGAAATTCTGAATTGATATGTCAGGCTGCATTTGGTTGTGAGATTTTATGAATAGATTTAATTGAAACATCAATCATTGTTTTTGTAATCCTTACATCAATACACATACAAAAAATATGGTTATTACATTATTATATTTACCAATTTCTGTTATAATAAACTTGGCACAGATATTTGGAAAGATCCTGAAAATATGACTACATCAATCCATTGATACATTCAAATGAATATCTGAGTCACAATTTGTTTAGGAAAGGTGTATCTACCAAAGATGCCATGAAATTATTAGTAGGTGACTTAACTAAAAATATTGAACAATCCAATAATGGCTGTATTCATCGACTTACAAAAAGCATTTGACTATAGATCACGAGAAACTATGGAGTAAATTAGAACACATTGTAATTAGTTAAATTATTTCAAAATTATTTGTATAACAAAAAACAAGATTAAAATTGAAAATACAACTAGTAAAGAAATGACTGTAATGTATGGAGTCCACAAGAAACAATACTTGCGTCCCTTTTTTTAATATATAGCAACGACTTTTATAATCTATCAACAAAATGTGAAAAAATAGGATTTGCAGATGACACCACCATCATCCATTAAGCCAGAACTTGGACAAAATTAAAAGAAGAAATTGAGGGGAAGATTTAGTACAGATAACAGACTGGTCGATAATCAATTATTAACTCTTAATTATAAAAAAATCCTATTTTGTTACCTTCACCTCTTACACGAATAAATTACCGGTATATAATCGGCTAAATATAAAGAAAACAAATCTCCAAAATGCGTATATATCACGTTAAGTTAAATAATAAGTATCTAATTATTTCTATCTTCGTTGGTTGAACATATTACCCAATATATTAAAAAGAAACTTAGATATCTGTTATACAGGGTGTCCGAGAAGTCGACGTCAAGCCGAAACCTGGTGATAGGCAAAGTCATAACAGCTATCAGAAAAATATTTAAAAAAAAATTATGTGTTTTGAAAATTATGGGTCTTTGAAAATAATATAGAAATTTCACACCCTACGGCAGTCTGTCAACTCCTGTTACTACAAATATTAACTTTTTTTGGATTTTATTTTTACAATGTAATGATGAATAATGAATCTTCAAACTGGTGTCTCAACCTTACTGCCAACTTTTCTCGTTCAGGAAAAATTGCCACTTATTTCACAACCAAGTATTCCAAAGTAAAACTTTGCTCAACTTTAACTGGCTGTACTGGAAAAAAATGTACTACGAGAGTTTGGCAAGTAACCTTAAAAGTTGGCGCATTTAATAACGATTCCAAAACGGTATAACACTTAGAAGATTACTCGTTAACTTATGCACAATTTTTATTTGAAGAAAAACTGATGAAAATTTTTCAAAATTTCCTAATTAAACAGTGATTATGAAAACGCACAAGGACCCTTAAGGATAACTGTTTGCACAACAGTGGGCGTCAAAATGCTGCTGATGATGATTTACCTTTACAGCAAATGCTCAAACTGTTTTCCTTCAGCCGCAAGACATAGCTCAGCTACATTTTGAATCGGCTTGAAATACACTTTTTCTTTTACAGTTCCCCAGTAAAAAAAATCTAACGGATTCAAATCTGGTGACCGGGCTGGCTACGGTATTGTATCAGACCGCCCTATCCATCTGCCTGGAAAGTTTTGATCGAGATACCCTCTCACTGAGAGTGCATAGTGCGCTGGGCAGCCATCATGCTGAAACCACATGTCCCTGTAAATACTCAGTGGCACGTCCACCAATAAACCTTTTTTTACTGGGGAACTGTAAAAGAAAAAGTGTATTTCAAGCCGATTCAAAATGTATCTGAGCTACGGCAGCTGAGTTTGTTAATAACCGTGAATTCGCTCGTTTAATAACCCGATCTTTTTTAACAAGATGTCGAGGGTGTATTGCGGCTGAAGGAACACAGTTTGAGCATTTGCTGTAAAGGTAAATCATCATCAGCAGCATTTTGACGCCCACTGTTGTGCAAGCAGTTATCCTTAAGGGTCCTTGTGCGTTTTCATAATCGCTGTTTAATTAGGAAATTTTGAAAAATTTTCATCAGTTTTTTTTCAAATAAAAATTGTGCATAAGTTAACGAGTAATCTTCTAAGTGTTATATCATTTTGGAATCGTTATTAAATGCGCCAACTTTTAAGGTTACTTGCCAAACTCTCGTAGTAAATTTTTTTCCAGTACAGCCAGTTAATGTTGAGCAAAGTTTTACTTTGGAATACTTGGTTAGGAAATAAGTGGCAATTTTTTCTGGACGAGAAAAGTTGGCAGTAAGGTTGAGATACCAGTTTGAAGATGCATTATTCATCATTACATTGTAAAAATAAAATCCAAAAAAAGTTAATATTTGTAGTAACAGGAGTTGACAGACTGCCGTAGGGTGTGAAATTTCTATATCTTTTTCAAAGACCTATAATTTTCAAAACACATACATAATTTTTTTTTAAATATTTTTCTGATAGCTGTTATGACTTTGCCTATCACCCGGTTTCGGCTTGACGTCGACTTCTGGGACTTCATGTTACAGACAAATTTTCAATGAAACTCAAAATTTTTATATCGAACATTGCTGTTCATAGGATCAAAACTTTTAAATATAAAAAACTATTTTGGTATAGTGCTAGAATTCCATAAAAACAAACTTACGACCATTTATAAAAATTATGAATATGATGCTAGAAATAAAAATAAACAAATAATTATTATTGCAACACCAAAAAAGGAAATAATGTTGAAATCTTTTATACTTTTAAATATAAAAAACAATTTTGGTATAGTGCTAGAATTCCATAAAAACAAACTTTCGACCATTTATAAAAATTATGAATATGATGCTAGAAATAAAAATATACAAATAATTATTATTGCAACACCAAAAAAGGAAATAATGTTGAAATCTTTTATATCATAACTTACCAAAATATATTAGAAAAAAGAAAATTATTATTAAAAACAGATTTATGAGTCACTATTGAATACTGATATAAGCATGATGTAATCTACGATGCAAAAATAATGTATTATATTTATACAAGGAGTCCAGGAATAAATTTTCCCTTTTTAAACTTGAATAACTTGGCAACAGTGTAACTTATTGCGGTCAGCAAAAATGTGAAACGCCCTGGTTCAGGATTGGTTCAAAACAAATAATAACGAGGAATAACAATAACAAACAAAAACTTAACAAACCACTCAAATACACTTAACAACAACAACAGCAACAACCAAGCAAGGTGAATACGAAAACACGAGCACGCAGTGATACAAGCGACGGTCGGTGGCCTGAATGCAACTCTGCCTGCCCTGCCCCTGCCCCGCTTGAAATTTAATGGCGAATTGACTAATAAGAGGCGTTGTCCCCCACCTGTTACCGAGAGATCACGCGCTGTTATTATTTACATCTCATCTTGAATTTGGATTCAGTTTAGTTAAATTGAACAAAAACCAAATTAAACATTTTGAAACAATGAAAAAACAAGGAACGGTTATAAGAATCTTTGGTTTTTGCATCATATTTTAGTTTCCTACTATCTCTTCGAATTGTAATGACTCAATCTTCCTTTAAATGAGTTTAATCCGATTAAAAACTTTTTCTTCAATCTTTGATCCAATTTTTTATGTTTTTCATACTTTCCTCTTTGATCTACTGGAGCTTTCCCTGCAATTTTTTTGTAATTATTCAACCTTTCCTTTGGTAACCGTATGGAGTGCAATAAATGCTTTAAAACATATAGGCACATCTTTACATTATTGTTTTATTGTTGATATCTTCATCTTTTACCCTCACTTTATAGCTGTATGCAGCTGTATGAAAATTAGTCTCATCTTCAGACTTCCTGAGTCTTCTTCGTTTCATACACCTATTATAAACATTTATAATAATATTTCTTGAACCTCGAACAATTACACGGTGCCCGTTGTTCATTTTTCATTACATCTTCGGTTCTACCGCTCTTACTTCTTTTTTTTTTTCGATTTGCTAATAATACTCTGATTATTTTCATCATTATCTGAATCAGAAACCATATTCAACTTCAAATTATTATACCTCAAACTTTATATTAACCTCATTTTGAACAATGCTTCTTCTTTGCCGATATGACAACATTCCTAGTCCTTTTCGTTTCGGCCATAAACAAAAATGTCTTTTTGGCGCCATATGTTTACTTATTTTAAGGATTTGCTTCCAATAGGAAACTAAAGAAAAAAAAATTTGACATTCCCTATTCTTTGCCTGAACCCTTCATTTAATTTCCTTTAAATCACACCTTTCGCGACAGAAGCTGATTCATCACATAACTATTTAACTTTTAGGGCCCTACGCGGAATACTACACGATTTAGTTTAGTAACAAAAGAAGTACGTCAGCTTGAAATTCAAATGTTTTATAATCTCAAATTTATTATTTGACCAATCGTCGGCCAGGCCTTAAGATGGTATGTTTATTTCGTATGACTTTTTGTCGTAACCACCAAAAATCGAGAAAATGGATGAACTCCGTTCTACTTAGTATAAAAGTAGCGTTTTATAAATATGTTATGGTAGCTTGGTAACACCCGATAACCAAGGACAAAGATCGCTGTTTTTATTTGTAAACCTGTAATAGTCCAAGATACGACCGCAAAGCTTTGATTTCATCGCGTACTGATGTGGAATGTTGATGTTAAACAGCAAACTCAGCAAAATTGCTGCTAGCATAAAAAACATAAGATATGACTAGTTTTTATCGTATCATCAGTACGCGATGATGCAACAAAAACCTTTTATCTTTTTGACTTTCCTAGTATAATGCAGATGACTCCCAAGGTCAACGGGGCCGACTGTCTTGATATAACTACTCTTTGGTTGATGGATGGGAGATTTGATATTTACCTTAATGTAAAAAATTAGAATCTGATCTTTAATATATCGTTCTAAAAAAAAACTTCTCTGAGCATTCTTCCATGATGACGCCTCCAAGTCAGGCGAATAAGGAGGCTGAGGACCCTCAGGAATGATTTTACTGGCCAAAAACTCGTTTATTGACATTGCTGTGTGACAAGGAGCATTATTGTGATCCAACACCCAGTTGGTCTTGATATGATGAACAGTGGTGTGAGTTAAATTTAACTTTTCCCCCGATCATTCTAATTGTCAACTGACGATCTGAACGTACATCCCGGATTCTGTCGATATTTTTATCGGTTCTTGTAGATGAAGGCCTTGCGCTGCGTGGTTCATCTTAAATCGACTCTCTCTCTTCTGAAAATGCATTCAACCACCGAAAAACCTGGTCTCTTGACAAAACACTATCTCGTTAAGCCTGTTTAGCAATAGTTTCCATTGCACTGTGCCCAAGCCCAAAGCTTTAAATTGGTGTCACTCATTTTTAGAATACTACCGAAAAAACTGTTTAAAAAAAATGCTACAGACAACTAAGTGAGTTCAAACTTGTACTGAAGGCGGATCACATAAGTTTTTACTTTCGCGACTGCTTCAATAAAAAAATAGTTGAATTGCAAACAAAATTCAAATGTTTTACATTCTCAGCTATCCATGTCCAACAGCCAAATATTACAATGGTTGAACCAATTTGATCCATAATCAGCAGGGTGTTATATGGTTTCCAATAATCAGAATTAAAATTTTAGAAGTTTTAATAAAAGCATCATGCAAAATCACAGCACACTCAATTTACATCCCTTTCTCCTATTTTTCATATGTGCCTCTGCAATTTTGGCAAATGCTTCTCTATTTAACAGCCTGTAATTTGAGGTTAAGTACTGCAGTGCAGTGGAATTCAGGCTGTCTATACCATGGCAGATGAGGTTCCACCCAAGTTCGATACCTGTTCCAAAATCACATTCATCAGCTGCGATGCTGGCATATGTTAAGACTGGCTGTAAATCAGACAGGTATTTTTCTCTTTGTTCAGGAAGACAGTCTTGAAGTTTGTCCAAAACATTTTTCAGCTCTTTGTTGTTCATTGCTAGCTCTCTGTATCCCAACTGAGTTCTAAAACAACAAAAAATGATGAGGTACACTGAACGACAATATGTATATATAACGTTATCAAAATTGTGAGCTGCTTTCCTGCTTGCCTTTAACGCAATTGGCTTTGAAGCGCATGTGCTTTAAACACGGAGGCTTCACACCCGAGATGATGGCTGGAATGTAACAAAAGTTTGTTCCGACTTGTCTGTGTCACTACTGTCCATGTCGCAGCTGAGGGCTATTTTCATCTTGTCGTCTATTTTCCTTGGTTTTCATTTGTATTCTTTTGTTTGAGGGTTTGAATACTGGTTCGATTCGTTCTTAACAAAATGTCATTTTCTATTGACCTTTAAGGTCATTTAAAGGTCAAGACAGTTTTCTTGAATGGAAACCCCTATTTTTGTCACTAGAAATGTAAAGAGTAGGAAATTGTTCGAAAATGTCTTACCTGTAAGTATTGTAATTTAAGCTTAGATGGCATTTTAAATAAACTCCTTACATATCATGTCTGGGATATAAAAAGCGAAAAAACATTTGATGGTCAAAGTTACTATAATGCACTTGACCGTCACCTTCACGATGATCTTGAAGGTCAAATGATACTTTTAACGGGGCACTACTACACTTGTTTCCAGAAAAGTCATTTCACGTCCCGCTAAATCCACAATCATGGTAAAACTCGAGGTCGTAATCAAGATCACCATTAGATGACCCTTTTTAAACCTTGCAACATTTTTCTTTAGGTAGGATAGTTTTTGAGACATTTGATTCTCTCCATACCTTTTGACGCATTAAAATGACGTTGAAAGTCATAGCTGAGATCATGGACAAGAACTTGAAAGAAAAATTCCCCTCTCTTTACACTTCCGGTGATAAGAATATTTGAGAAAACTGTAATGACCTTCAAACGACCTTGAAGGTCATAGTTAAGGTCACGTTCAAGCTCTCCATTAGATGAACCTTTCCAAACCCTACAACTTCGTACTACAATATTTTTCTCTAGGAAACGTATTTTTCAGTGACATTAGAAGTGTTACATCCAGAAAAAAGAATTCCTTCAACTTGTTTTTTGGCAACATAATCACTATATTTAAGGCATGCTGTGGCAACAATGTCAATATTTTCTCTTTGTCTTTGTTTACTTTTGTTAAAATGTAGTTTTTGTGAAGAAATCAGTTCCTGAGAACCGAGTAGTACAGATATTTTTAGTTATTGCCCTTTCATCTACTAGTGTTGAGTATCTCGAGTTCGAAGACGTCCAAATTATCACCATGTTAGCGGCTTTGAGGTAGAATTATTGCCTATCGATATGTTGGTTTGCCCTATCGCGAAATTGGCTGCCCAGTTAATTGTACCGCAATGACGGTAATGCGTGTGTGGATAGGAGGAGGTAGAGGAACACGAAGAAGGTCAACTGGTCCACCGAGCGCACTCTATCGCCTCATTCGAGCCTTAGGACTTTTTTCATACCTTCCACGGTTAGTGCTTCCTCTGACTGTGGACCACTGTCGTCAATGTTTGACTGGAGCAGAGAACGGCAACATTGGGAGGCAGAATATTGATGATGTACTACAAACCACTTTACTGCCGTCCTTACGTCCTTTTTCAGCATGAAAACGCACGTCCCCATATGGCTCGTCGTACTACGGACTTTATTCAAGAAGCAGGCGTTAATGTTTTGCCGTGGCCATCCCGTTCATCGGATTTAAATCCCATCAAACATGTGTGGGATATGATGGGAGCAGAGTATTCACTTTGCAACATCCGCCACAGACTCTGCCACAGCTAATCCACAAAGTTCCGAGCTGCTTGAAATGAGGTGCCACAAGCAGACATCGATCATCTCATTTTGTCGATGCCTAGACGTATACAGGTGTGTATTCAGCTGCGGGGTCGCCCAGCACATTATTAACTTTTTTCTTATTACTTGTCAATAAAATTTCGTATCGTTTCATTCTTGATGTAGGACCACCTCATTGCCAAAAAATCAAGTTGAAGAAATTAGTTTTTCTGGGTGTAACACTTCTAATGTCACTGAGTATATTTTGATGTATCCATACTTTTTAGACACCCTGCATTTTAGTTGAGTCAAATTTGTTGCTTCACCCCATTCGATACCCAAAACCATCCAATGTGACAAAAACTCCTGTACACCAGCTACATAAATGACTAACTGTAAAATCATCGTGCAGCAGTTAATTTTTAAATTTTTTTTTCAACTGAATGAATATTGTTTTTAAATATTAAAAGTATTAGCAATTGAAACATGAAATAGTTTTCAAGAAACTTACTTTTTATCATATGGTACCACAAGTCCAATCTTATTCATTGTCCTGGAAACAATTTTTCTTTCTCTAGCAGCAATAGCTTTAGTTTTTTTGCTCATGTCTAATGACAGTTTTTCTGCTTCTTTATTTATTTGTGCTTCGATCTTTGGAATATTCATTTTCATAAATGGATCTGCAATCTTCTTCAAGTTTTCTATGTAAAATCTAGAGAATAACAGACAAAATGCTTGTTTATTGGGATCAATCCAAGTTTAATTATTTAATTTTATTTTAGTTTTTAATTTAAGTTTAAGTTTTTAATTTAATTATAGTTTATCATACATTTTACATTTGAGCGATCCTCTCACTGAGCAATACAGGGTGTACTCAAAGTCGGGACTTTGCAGAACGTATAGGTCAGGCAATAATACGTAAGTTTTCCTAGTAACACACATACCAAAGCCTTAAGATAACTGAAATATTAAGATCCAAAAACCTAAAACTAAATGGGCCAGTCCTACCCTGCTTCCATCCCTTTCTCCTCCTGCCTGAAAAGGTATGAGGTTTTGTGGTACTACATGATTCAGTATGTACATTAGGCGCCGCATGGTGTATAAATTAACCTTGTTTATAATTTGAAAAACTGAAGTTGGTACATTCCTAAGGACAATAATTATACTTATACCCTATTCGTAGTCCGTTTATGCCCCGTCACAATAAAGATGCAAAGCGGCAGCCGTTCGGCCATAAAACTACGAACAAGTGCACGATTCGACTGGATAGAACTCAGGCTCGGGGTATCGCCGACACGCCGACGCCGGCAGTTGCTGTTCATGATCGGTGCATACATAGCGTATGTTTATACGTTAGCATGTCGTCTACGGATACAGCAGATGAAACTGAGAATATTTCTCCCAATGCTTCCTTTAGCCATGCTTCCTCTTCAGTGATGATTCCTCCCCAAAAACGTGACACCAAGGGACATTTGAATATTCAGGCAAAAGAAATTGTCCTTGATGTTCATAACAGCGAAATTTTACAGCAACCAGAAATGAAAATCCATGATATTGAAAGACGTGTGGCGAACAATAAAAGCTTATGTCCTTAGACAATTTTCAGCATTGTTAAAGAATATAAAAAAAAACAAAAAAACTGTCACCACCACACAAGAGGCTGCATTACACGAAGCTGTTGGGTACAGTTTGAAAAGGAAAGTCCCAACTTTCAGAAGATCCTGTATTTTTGTTGCGATTATTGGCTAGCTTCATCATCAAGAATATATTGCAACATATGGCCTGGCTATATATCTGTGTATCTTGGCAATATTGTCTGCAATGTGTCGACACATGTACTTGAGAGAATTTGTCATCAATGGGCCACAAAACTGGGTGAAAATAGGTGATAAAATTGTAGCATCACAGCAGCCTACATTACATATATGTACATCATACCCTATTTCACGAGTATCCATCACGCTTTGATGTAATCTGAGGTGAACAGCTGATCAGCAAGTGACATTTTTGTGTTAGTCTGCGACGTTGGCAATAAAGAATCGGGTGTAAATCTAGTAAAACGTGTTTGTAGCATTTTGTTTTACGCATGCAGATGAACTTTTCTAAATAAAACATTTGTTAGCAAGTTTAAAATAAATTTGTAATGTACAAAAACCAAGCAAAATACTTCTCTGACTACCTCACGTTGACGGATCTGTAACAAAATTTTGAGATATTACTAGATAATCAGCTGTCAATCTGCCATGATGGATACTCATGAAATAGGGTATAGGTAGGATTTTAATTGTTAGGCAATGTGACAGCAATATACAAAAATATGTTGCAAATGTCAAATATGTCTAGCTTATAGACTGAGAAGCAAATCGGTCTGATGGCTGAGTTCAATGTGTATGAGAGAGAACTGTGTATAGACACATATGTTAGAAAGAGATGGAAGCTGGCTGGATAGCGAAGCTCATCACCGCGCTGCCTAGCAACACTGACACGGCAATGTTGAAAATATGCGTTAGTGTATTCTCTACGCCCAAATAGTGGCTTTATTTTGAGCATACACATTTTCGAATTGTGTCGAATCTGTTTAGGATCGATTCCGGATCGGTTCTACGAGTAACTGCGCTCCATTTTAGGTCAAAATGAAAGATCAGGATTCTTCACAAATCCTACAACATTGATTCATTGGTTTGTTTGATAACAACACATCTTGTACATTCCAAAGCAGGGTTTCCACCTACATAATCATAGTTAAGCGATTTTGAGAGGTACGCATCCAGCGCTCATAGGGTAGTGTCATCCTGCTTCAAAATGGCTTTCACCTTGGTACAGGCTTTCCCTGTATAGCTAGGCCATACTAAAAATATTGCCATATGTTGCTGGCTAGATAATACAGTACAGATATTGCACAGTTAGAAGCACGATTATACAGAATGTATTACTTTAATTAAATAATTAAATGTGAATTTATTTACCTTACAGCTGCAAAAATATTACCGCCCATTATTGTGAATACACCATCTTTTTCTGACTCATTACTAGCCAAAACGACTGGAACTTCATCAGATGAATCACGAAAATATCCCATGTGATGTCCTGTTTTATCATTTCCTTTCAATATTGTTAAAAATTCAGGAGGATCTCTAAAATACCTCCAATGAATCAAATAATCATCATCAGACTTTTTAATGTTATCAAATTTTCCTGCCAGTGCATCGAAGGGACCAACAAGTTTTAAATGTATACCATTCAAGGCATCTAGTGGGTTTTTAGAGTTTAATTTCTTACAAAATTCCCAAAAGGCATAAAAGTCTTGAGGCAGTTCAATAAAAAACTTTTCCTTAATGAATTTTTTGTATTTTCCTGTTTGTTCATCTTCCTTAGCATCTGTATTTGTTTTTATTCCCTGCCATTTCAAATCAGGTTTTTCATGTGGCGATACTCTAGTATCTTTTGATTCCGTATTATTGTCAGATATACTTTCAGTGGAAGTAGCATCAGACATTTGATCCGAACAAACTGTATCTTCGTTGCTTTCAGATGACTCGCTTCCGGAAATGCAATTATCAACCGTTTCAGTGCTTGTATCTGCATCATCTTCAACTGGCAAATCCTTTTTGTTGCTTTGTTCCTTAGTGTTTGTTTCTTCCACCTTTCTTTTCTTCCTAGGCTGTGTATGTTGCCTATCCTACAAAATAACAAACAACTAAATAAGAATACGAATAATGATTCAACTTGAAAAACCTTTCTAGGATTTGCTTTTTGAGGAGGGTGCTTGTATTTTTCATGATGCAATGGATTTTTTTGATAACACTTAGAACCATATTTGCAGGGTATCCTGGAGTCATTCACGTATTTTTCATATTCCATTTTGTATCGCAGAGAACTGTATAGGAACTAAATTAAATTAATTTTTCATTTCTTGAATATTATAGACAAAACATAACAAGTACACATTAAAAACTGAAAATAGCGCCAATTTTCTAACCTTTTACATTGACTTGACGTGTGGTTTGACAGAAGTAGGAATGAATCAACACATAAGAGTTGGGCTGACATTTTCAGGTTGGTTAGGAAGTATTCATATACGCCATTTCCTTCATAACCTTATGGTGTATTTTTTAATTCACCGGTTGAGCAACCGGTGCCACCGGTGGACCAGACATCTGTCCTTTTAATTCAACCGGTTGCTGCCATCACCATACAAAGCTGTCAACAGTGTCAACTATAAAGCACCGCATCCATCAGTGGTGGAATCAACCGGTGAATTAAAGAATCCACCTTAACTTTAAAAAATACCTATCATAAGGTGGTCACATGATCAATTCTTCTGAACTAGAAGCAACTATCGTTTTACAAGCTTTTCCTTTCTTTTAATACAGTTTTATAAGTGATACAAAATGGTAATCTCAACAACCATTGAAGTTACAAGGTTACAGATTACAGACAAATATGCTAATGTTTATTATGTTAGGGCTATCCGACCAAAAAAGGTTTGACCGCTTGAAACGATACTACTAGAATTAAAATGGCGGCCCTTCGTTCTATTTGGAGGAATTTGATTTACAGAATGGCAACCACAGTTGGAACGTCAGATAAGACTGTCAAAACAAAGCTGCTCATAATATTCATGGGAGAAATGTTTTTTTCAGATTTTTTTTTTAATGATGGAACCATGGCTTTGTAGCTATGATAACTTTCAATTCTCTAAATTTTTCCGCATGTCAAAGAAAACATTTATTGATTCAGCAGAAATTATGAAAAAAGAAATTAGCAAAACCGTATACAGGTGGATATCATCTAGTGAGTTTATATGGCCATATTTTAATATTCTTGTGGTATATGGCTACACAGGATACTTTGTTAAGCATAGGAACTACATTTAAAGTGTCCGCAACAACCGTAATGAGTATAACTAATAAGGTGCTCCACATTATGGTAAAACTGAAGTCAGCCTGTATCAATTTTCTCAAAAATGAAGCTGAAGTACAATAACAATATCCAATACCCGGCAAAATTCTAACTTGTCACATTTCAAATAATAACCAGAAATATAAAACTACTCTTGATTTGGGTAAATACCACAATTTTGCGTGATAACTATGACATATAACAGCTGATTCGTGACGTCACGGATCTTATAACCAAATTGATAACTACAATCGCTTGAACGGATTGGTAAATACCAAGCCAAAATGGTAAATACCATTTCCATTTGGTTATCCGCTTGAATTTGATTTATACCTAAAAGGTTGTTATCACTTGTTTGCTTCTGTACCATTCTCAATCTTTCTGTTTTGTGATTTAAAATCATTTTAAAGTTAGGATAAATTCAAGATTTACCCAATGTTTGCTTTTATACGCGAGCAGTATAGCAAAAAAAGGATGAGTTCACGTTCACATGACTATGGATCAGACATGTTATCAGATTGGCTGAGTACCACTAAGGAAAAGCAAGACGAGTATAAAGAGCCAATACTTGGTGCAAGTACTTTGAATTTTCTAAAGGTCATCTCACGAGCCCTTAAACAAGATATTAGAGTTTTTGTATCAGCTGTAGAGATTCTTGAGGAGTATATTCGCGTAAATTGTGGAGATCAAATCAATTATCCAGCATTAGTAGCAGTGTGATCAGTTCTTATAGCCATTAAATTTACTGGCCTCCAAGATCTGAAAATAAGACACATCCATTTTGCGAACAGTGACTAGAAAAACGTACAAGTATGATGAAGCTGTATCATGCGAAGTAGATTTGTTTTCATCTTTTAAAAAGAGTGTTTCAGTGAGCAACAAAGTGGATGATTTAACGACATTTGTTTATAAGATTTATAAGGATACAAGAATTCGAGCTGATGTAATGCCCATCTGCTTGGATGTTATGGAAATGCTATATTTTACAAGACAACTGTGGTTTTACAGGTATATATCCTGCAATTTTTAAATACCAACATTATACAGGGTGTTGCCTAATTTAATATATCTTAACTATTGAGATTCATAGTTATACAGATGGTAAAGTTTATAATTATTAGTATCTGTAAATTGCACTTTAGATATTTTAAGGAAATTTGGCATATATGTACTATATACAGAGTGTTAATGAAGTATGTAGACAAACTTTAACCATCGAATCCTTGGTCAATTTGAAGACCAAATTTGATGAACGTGGGTCCACAATAGCTTTGTTTTCAAGCTAGAGCATATAATAAAAGAAATGATATTGTTCTAAAAAATTATAAAAAATGGAACATATTTTATATTAATAAAGTATGCCCTGTGGTGAATATCACATGATTTACAGTTGTTTTCAGACCCTCCATATACATAGATACGGATAATCTTATCCAGTTTTTTTGAAATAATAGCATGACATTGATTTGTTTTGATCGCAATACTTTTAATATTTAAGCAATGTGCTTATCTAGACACCTATGACATACCTGAAAACAATTGAATTAATTTATTTTCTCAAATAATTGGACATCTGTTAAATATTTGTTTCCTTGTCTGGTCAACTATTCGATATTTTCTATTGTTGTCGTTCTATTCGAATGTTACTGTTCAAAACTATTGATCTTCTAAATATTTTTTTTCCCAAAAATTACATGATAATACTATTTTCATCCACGCTCATATTGAGCCTCAGCAACTTGAAAAACATGCAAAATTTTTCATAAGTTATACCAACTGTTCAATAAATACGTTTCATTATTCATAGAAATATTTGGAACATTACTCATATTTCTTTAGTGATAGTGCTGTAGCTTGAAAATAAAGCCATTACGGACCCATATTCATATGAACATTTAGTCCTCAAATTGACCAAGGATTTGATGGTTAAAGTTTGTCTACATACTTTATTAACACCCGGTATGTATCGAAACGAAAGTTACATCCATTCATTAATACAGAATTTTACCTGGCTATTCTGGTAACCATTTATGGTATACCACTGATTTCTCATAAAATAAAAAATGTTCTTGATGTGATTTCACTTAAAAAAATAGAATATGTAGTTTTCTTCTTTTTTTTTTTTTATTCCAACTACCACGAAGGCCTAAGGCCTAAGCACCCATTGGGTACCGTGGGGCTATGGGGGATACATGGGAAAGGGGGGACGCCACACGGACTCTGGCGAGGGAACACGTGTGCATGCAACATGCATACATTCTGGCTCCGCCTACGAGAACCGCCGGGTGGTACCTCCGCGTTCGACAGTCAGAGACCATCTACCACCTACGGACAATCACAACATCCATAGCCAAGAGAAAAATTTCTCCTGGGACGGGACTCGAACCCGCACAGCGCACGGCGACTGATCAGGAGACCGAAGAGTCTACTACTGCGGCCACCGCTGCTGCCTTAAAATCGACCCAAAAATCACTCTAAAATATTTACATTCAATTAGTAAACACTATGCATAAATTCCATAATCATATTGTATTTTAACTCGCCATTTTACGAGGAATTCATACAATTTGGAGTTTCAACTTTTTAGGCTGAAAGAAAGATATTTCATCAATGAAGAGGCTTGCAGAGTATTTGAAAAACTGATGAAACATCCCAATCAGCATCCTGATCTTTGTCATCAGAAAAACAAATTATCAACATTGTCTGTATGTTGACAAAATCCTTAAAGATATGTCAGAGAAGTGTGTAATTCATACAGATCATTTCAATGCCCTTATTTATCTGATTGATGACATTTATTCGGATAAAATGTAAGTGAAAATGCGAACTAGGTAGGAACTAAATTGTATTTTCCTATGACCATTTTATAATATAATAGTTCTTTTTGCCTACTCTAATTAAAGAAATGTTATTTGATAATCTGTGTATGTTGAAATTGAAAACTTCATTAGGATTGTTTGTTCTTTGTTGGTTTATGTAAAAACCACCTGCTGTAATTATTCTAATTGCATCACCTGAAACAAAAAGACTTGTTAGGGACACTTTATACGGACATGAATCGCGTCGCGTTTTAGCGAGTCTATCGACTAAATGCCATTTCTGTATTCGCTGAGAGTGAAGTGCACGTGGGGGGAACTATAGTTCTCGCTGCGCACGACATGGACAAAAAGGGACTGATAATAGAATACATCCGTAGTCTTTATGGTGTATTAAAGCAACTAGAATTAGACATGTGTCATGATACATGTTGCGTTGTGAATTGTAAACATAATGGTGTGAACAATAAATGCAAATTCCAAAGATATCCACAATAAAAAATATATTTTTTTTCGATGAATCGTCGAATAACAGAACGGGATATAGCTATCTCTATCCATGCATTCATATCTCATCCGTATCCTCACTCTTTTTCAAATTCTGATAGCATTTTAGCTCTAAAAGGATATTATTTCGGTAGCTGTATAATTGTGAAAAAATAGTTCTTATTAGAATTAACTTGCATGGGTAATATTGCTACAGTTAGGATTTCCCAGTAGAGGCAATACACTATATGTGCTAATGTTATAATGGTAGTAGCATACTCGTGCCTTGGTAAGTAAGCAAGCCTGAACACATGTGACATGTGTGTCGAGTGTAATTTCTATTAGACATTGGACATGTCTACACCGTGGGTTGCTAATCACATGATTCTGCTATTCTGTGCGTTAGCACCACTCCGTGCTAAGAGGTGGCGCAACACTAGTTCATTTATCTCCGTGCGTTGATTCTCGTTACTTGCAAGTATTCGTTACTATTCATTACTCTTCTACAAATCAATTATTGTAGTCGTTACTTTGATTACTATGAGTAATATGAGTATAACGCTTTGGCGACGTGTAATTAATGTCGAATTTGAACAACTTCAATGAAACCGAATCTTGTAAGAAAATAGACTACCTTAAAACTTGTTAATTTCTCAAGAAAAGTTTATTCAAACCTGACGTGTTTAATACAAACATCGCATCTTCAAACTGGGATAGGGTGTCATAGGACCCATATGAGCCTAAAAACTGAAAATACTTTGTATTTACTAGAAATGCTTAAAAATCATGTCTTTTAGTTAGAAAGATGACCTGTATATGGGCTTAATGAAATTCGGAATGGCAAGTAACTTTTCGAAGCATTTACCAGTATAAAAAAATCTGCGTGGAGCTTAGTCTATACACACTATTGGTGGCCATGCTGAATTATACATTTTTAGTAAACAACAAGTAAATACGAATCAAATTGCTGTTACCATGTTGTCGCTTTTCTGGCTCATAATACTGCTGAACGTTGCTCCAATCCAATCGACTTCTTATCCCCTTTCGTGTTGCCAAGATCACAACAATATGGGCGACTTTGAGTCACGGAGTAAATAGGTTCAGTTAATTTTTTTGAAAACTGAGTGAGATAAGAAATATTTATATTCACTGTACACTGTCGAATTACAAGCCATATACATACATGCTAACAGTGATTACTAAAGACCGGATTTTAAGCAATTTTGCTTATACGCCAATTTGTAAGCAGTATATAAGTAATGCCGTTTTAAGTACAAAGTAAATAAAAAAAACTATTAGTTTTTCAAAAAAAAGTGCTTTTTTTGCTTTTTTTCTTAATTTCAAGCTTATTTTCTAAATTTGCGCTTATTTTGAACTTTTTTCTTTAAATATCTTATTTTTTTCTACCTATTCAAAGGCTTAACCAAAAGTGCTCCTCAAACTGGGACGGACGCGACGCGACACGTCAGAGATATGGAGTGGGGGAGAATAACTATTTCGATGCGCGAACGAACTAATCATAAATTTCGCCATTTTCTAGTAAAAACTTGTCTGGGAGTGTTAAAAAGTAGTCGTTTTGTATAGAAAATTTGTTTACTGTGAGCTTACGGAAGAGCGTCAAAAAGTATCTTTTTAGTTCTTTAATGCTGGTTTTAGTAGAAATACATGTAGGAATTTACAGAATGTCTCGTTGATTCGAACCGAAGTCACTAAAGTACACAAAGTTTTATCACTTCACATTGTTAAAAATTTCATTAAGAACAGAGTTGCCTAGAAAATGGCGGTCCCTTGAAATGATGCACACTCTTCGAAACTCATTCTCCCTTCTCCATTTCTCTGGTGAAACCCCGATCAGTGTTTGTGTGTTCGTGCAATTCTAAAAATAGATGTGCGATACGCAATTCTAGGCTGCTAGTAGGGTGCTCATGGTTAAGATATTTTAAATAAATAACAGATCGTATACCGTGTCACCGATCCTCCAAGTACGAGTGAATAATTAAATAATTTTTTGTGGTGACCTAATACTGTGCGTAAATAATCAAAGATGTCAAAAGTAAATTATACTAACCTCAAGGTCTGGATCAAGGATAACCCGAATTAAAAATTGAAAATGCAAAAGTATTTTGTCAAGCTTGCATAAAAACGGTAAGTTTTTCATAACATTAGGTATACCGGATGATTATTGATTATGATTAGTCCTAGAGCACATAGAAAATCCCATATTAATCCTACCTACCAAACTTGAATGCATTCTGGTTAGTGTTGTAAAATGTTCGAGAATTTTTTTTCGAGAACGTTCCTCGAGCACAAACGAAAATTTTCAGTACATACGAGTATAAATGAAGAAAAATAAAACAAAGGAAACATATTAGGAAAATATCTGAAATCAAAAAAGTCTGCGCTCTAATTGTGCTCTATTTATTAAGTTAAAAATAATATCAATCCACTTATCTCTTAAAACACTTATGCAATCTCTTAAAATTCAAAGCATAAAATAAACCGATCTGTAAATCCCCGAAAACCAACACTGTCAGATGTCATTGGTGTCAACGATCGACGACAGCCAACCTAATGCGAGGCGATCCGGTGTTGCAACGTCTCGTTGCTAAAGGACCGTTCATACCTAATGTTAACGCTAATGCTATGGGAACGTTAAAATTCTTGGGGTTCGGATTTATGCTCTTGAAAATAAATGTCACAAATAAAGTCGCGAACGATCTCTGAGAATAAATGGGAATGTTCCATTGCTCGCAACACTAATTCTGCTAAGCTGTTTTTGTAAAAAATATATTGTTAATCTAACCAATGTCAAAGGTAAGCTGTCATTGATTTCGATAGTTACTAGTAGCTGCATTCATAAATTAATGATACTCAATTAAAAAAATAATTGCAGTTCAGCCACATTTTGCGAATAGTACAAAAATAGCTGAACTCATGCACACTTTTTATTTATTTGTGCATATTTGTGCATTTGTACAATCATGTTTTTTCTATTTAGACTTTATTTTAGGTAGGTCAAAATTGATTTTAAAAAAAAATATGAATGAGCCCATGTAATCAAATCACTAATCAGTTTGGCAGGTATTCTAATCTAACAAAATAAATAATCCAATACTTTAAAAAATTTCATGAGATGAGATTTCCTGTATGTCCTAGGACGATGCATCAGCCATTAATTTTTATTCAGGCATCAAGTAAAAACTACTTCATTTATTGTAGATTGTGTGTGTTAAAAAGTACGACGTAGTTCAACACCTGAAAACGAAAGTACACTCGGAACAAATGAAGAAGTATAAAGTTGATAAGCTTAAACAACTAACAATTGGTTCTTCCATGGCATCTGCTTCGGGCCGTAGTGAACAACAAGAATTTAATCAGGATCTCTGCAATGCCACGTTAAAATCAAATATTCCTTTAAACAAGTTGAAAAACACTCACTTTAAAGAATTTTTGGAAAAACACTGCAAACGAAATATACCAGATGAATTACTTTACGCAAAAACTATATTTATCCTGTATATCGCGATACAATTCAACAAATTAGAACAATAATTGGAAGCAATTATATATGGTTTACTGTTGATGAAACTACAGACAGTTGTGGGCGGTATATTGCAAACTTAATGATAGGCGTTTTGTGCCACGAGGTTCCTACAAAGGGATATTTAATTAGTTCAAAAGAATTGAGCACAACAAACAGTAACACTGTATCAAAATTTGTACATGAAGGGTTAGCAAACTTCTTTTTGCCAGAAGCTGTACCAAGTGAAAAAGTACTACTTATGCTCTCAGATGCAGCTTCTTACATGGTTAAGGCGTCCACAAACTTGAAAGTTTTTTACGGCAACTTAATTCACTGCACCTGTTTAGCTCATGGGATCAATCGTATTGCCGAAACCATACGCTTACAATTTCCGTTAGTAAATAAGTTGATCAGCAATGGCAAAAAAATATTTGTTAAAGCGCCTTTGAGAGTACAAATGTTTAGAGAACATTGTCCAAATATTCCACTGCCTCCAGAACCAGTGTTAACCAGATGGGGAACATGGCTTGACGCCGCTATATATTATGCAGACCATTTCCAAAATTTTAAAAATTTGATTTTTGAATTTTCCGAAAGCACAAGTAAATCAGTACAAGAGTGTCAGATCGTTCTTAACAATAGAGAGCTCCAAAACAATTTGGCTTTTATCAAAACCAACTTCAGTTGCATTAGCAAAACTATTAAATCATTGGAAAAGCAACAAGTTCCTTTGGTTGATTCAGTTGCTTTAATAGAGGATTTCAAAAACACTATTAATACTGTTCCAGGAAAAATTGGCGGCTTAATTAAAAATAGAATGAGAGAGATTTTTGAAAAAAATATTGGATTTCAGAAACTGGTTCAAATATCGTCAGTTTTAGGTGGCGAAAATGTTCCAGAATTAAATATGTATCCAGATATTATTTCAAAGTTTAAATACGCTCCTATTACAAGTGTAGACGTGGAAAGGAGCTTTTCAAAGTATAAATATATCTTAGACGATAAAAGGCATAATTTGACAGTGGAGCATTTGGAACAGTATTTAATAATAAGCTGTTTTCAGAACGATTAAATTATATTTATATTTATTTATCTTATATTTATCTTAAGCTGTTAAAAAGTGTTTAAAGTTTTATTTCTACTGTTTTGAAGTGTTTATTTTGTTTTATTTGTGAATTAAATACATACAAAAATATATTTTGCATTATTTTAAGATCCACTTATATTTGCTTTTTTTACAAAATGTGATGCTTTTTTTTTAAAATATGAAGCTTTTTTAAGCACTTTTTTTGATAATTTTGTGCTTATAAATCCGGTCTTTAGTAATTACACACAACGCGGGCGCGGTGATTTCCCGTAATTCTCCTTCAGAAGGCACAACATAAAAATAACCCGTCGGGCACAGCCAATAGATACTTTATTGGCAGCATATTCAGTAATGATTTTCTCACACAGCAAATATCACTGATTTTATACACATGCCGACCAATACACATAATCATCCAGATGCGATCTTGCTATTCAACCAACTTTCTTCTCAGAGATAAAAACTCCAGACAAGGACCATTTGGCCTTAAAAAACATATGCAACTAATAATGCGTGTAGTTTAGTTGAGTGATTCCTTCTTAGATGGACGTTCACAACGATCCTAGTGAGCAAACGTGGAATGAGTGTTTGCGCCCTAAAAACTACCTAGTTTGCAAGATGACATCTTATAGCTTTTTTGACGTTTTATAGGTTTTTTACATGATACCCATGGCGGTCTTTATGGTAGAATCTGTCCACGTGTTGGTTAACCGGAGCCTCGCAAAGCCGCTAATATTGGGCTGTCATCATTTGTCAAATTGTTCCTAACATCGAATTGATTAAATTCTGTTATTTTCAATCCGTTTATATTCTCTCCAAGATCCACAACATGACGCTACCATCGCACTCCCAACGAATTTCATGTCATTGTATAGAACCAAAAATATACATCCGAAGTAATCAACTGCCTCTTTTTTGTCACGTTACATTTTTATAAATTTCATGCTTGAAACTTTATAAATTTAGAATCAAACAGCTTCCGAAATAAGATACTAAGCAACTTGTACACAATAAAATTACTTACTTTTTGTAGCAAAGCACCCTGCTTTCATTGCTATATCTAGTATAGTTTGACCAGCTTCAGGAAGCATTTCAATAACAGTTGCTCCTGAGAACAAGTGTATCATTTCATTACTTTTCATTTGTCCAATAGCTTCAACGCTACCTTCGTACAAAGCGTCACTTGCGCGCTGAGCAATCTTCAACCCTTTTTCACCGTGAACTGCAGTTAAAAAAAAACTTGATAAAATACAGCTAAGGGGCAATCGAGTAGAAATATATAAGCAATTAACTTTACCAGGGTAGCTTTGTGACCGAAGATATTAAGATGCTTTTCATATTTTCTTTAAATCTGTTAACAGGCATGTCTGCCTACAGTATATTCAGATAAGAGATAGACCGGATGTAAACAAAAGGTTCGGGTGATTTTCACGCTAACGCCGCCGTCTCGACGTAAAACAGGAGCCCTCATTGGTCAATTCGCAATTAAATGCCTATGCCGAGCTGCAGAGCAGTCGTATCAAGGCAGAGTCACATTCAGGTTCAGACGTGTTACGTATGTCGTGTGCATCATTGCAATTTGATATTTCTTTGGACGTTTTCGTTTGTTATCTTATTAAGTTGTTGAGTTTGTCGTTGTTATTGTTATACCTTGTTATAATTATAGGCTAATTTAAACGCCATTTTGAGATTATATTCGACTGTATTTCACCAAACATCAGACGGCATCCGAAGCTGGAAATCGAAGCGAAAATTTTGAAACCCTTATGTATATTTACATCATTATATATTTCTTACCCCAACCACACATGATCCTATATCCATCACCAATCGTATACACATCGAATTGTGCTAATTTACCACAAAGTTACGCAAAGCAGCATCTACTATCTAAAATATGTACTGCGTGACTCTTAATACGTCCCTGCCGAATGTTACAGCGTTCGATGATCACGCGGTCTTGTTTATGTCCGGTCTATCTCTTATCTGAATATACTGTAATGCTTTTCGGCAGATGTTAAAAAAAATGTATGCCCCGGTACTCTGGAGACTTCTGACACCTTGATAGCCGGAAACCCTCTGGCATTAGATTACTCTTCAATCTGGTATTGTTGTCGCGGTCATATCGTAAAATACATGGAATGAAAATGCGACCATTTCAATCTGTTGGCCGAATCATGATGTGCATTGACCAGATCAATGATAACAAAGCGATTAACGATATGATCAACTGAACTCGCAACTACTTCATGAAATGGTCAAGCATGTTTGATAAAATCCTAAAACAATTACATTAATTACCGATAGAGGCGCTGGGAGCGCCTTGTTTACATTTCAACACGGGGGTCATTAATAACGAAGTTGTTTTAATACATATCCTAATAATCCGTTAATAAATGAAGAAAGATGCGAGGTTGAGAGGGTTTAGCAAAGATACTCGAGTACTATGCGGGTTACGCACATACCGAACAAAACGTCAAAAAGCTGCGGAATTTGGAACGTGTTTCACAGGTTAGTAATGTACACTCTCTTAAATTATATTTGAAGTCAAAATCGTATGCTAGCTAAACTATTGTGTTTGTTCATTAAACTACTACATTTTTCTACCTATGTAAAGCTCATCTTAATGTTTATGTCAATTTTGGTTTATACGTCAAATGAAGGAGAGTAGGGTGACCACGCGAGGTAATGATTTAATTTGTGATATATGATATGTACAACAGTTTTATGGTTGGATATGGTTTTGTGATCATCACTGTTCATTCTTTAGATAGCAAGGTTGTTTTTTATATGGAACAGGCAATTCATGATGTATTGGGAGGCAATGCTAAGATTTCTAGATCTCTAAAAGTCTGCCTACAATCAGTCTTAAAATCAAATCCCTTAATTATCTGGGTGGCCTTCCTCTAAATGCCAAAGATACGATATGGCTGCGCCGCGCAACCCCAGATTAGTAAAGCGTATGTCATGATAGAATGAAATAATACATAATAATCTGTTCTCAACACAGATTTCCGTAACGCATACAGTCCAGACCCAAGTGTTTTCGTCACTTGGTTTCTCTGGACATCCCTTTTAAAAGGCGGGTCCATTGACATGCACCCTCAGGATTTTGCAGATGGTGTATTCATCGCCTATCTTTCATAGTGAGAACACCACCTGTAGGGTTTTGCTATGATTTCGCAGAAATTTACTCGCATCCAACTAAGCTATATCGGAATGTATGGCTTCCATACCCTATGTTGCTTCATCCAGAGAGCCTGCAGTAAGGGAGAGAATGGTGTCGTCCGCGAAAAGCGTGAAAGCAACATCTATGCTCGCCAAAGGTAAGTCATTAATATACAACAGGAGCAATATAGGACACAATACTGAGGCCTGTGGAACTCCGATGGACAGTTCCCTTTCCTGAGAGGCCACTTCTCCCTCCCTGTCTGCCTGGGTTCTATTTGCCAAATATGATGTAAAGAGGGCAATAGCAATATCGGTAAAATCGTAGTATTTAATTTGTTGGATTAGGAGCTTGTGTTCCACACAATCAAGAGCTTCACTGCGATCACAAAAAGTAACTGCAGTGTATTTTAAGGACTCTAAACACTTCAGTATTCTATTCACGAAATCTAGTATAACCAAAACTGTTGTTATTTTTACGAAATCTAAATTGAGAGCTTGCAAGACAACCGTTTTCTTCAAAAAAAAGCCTTAAGGGTTAAGAAGATGGTTTCTTTCAATTGATGGCAGTCAATGTGAGTCCATTCTGGAATTCAAATTTTCGATTATGCCTCTGACCATTTCGAGTGATATTTGACGATGATGTGTGGTTATTAGAAATAAATTCTAATAGTGTATCAAATCAGTGTTTCAGTTTCCTACCTAAAAGGGTAACCTGTTCTGCTAACCTCCTCTGTGGAATCCTGAGCTCTGGTTCCTCTCTATGACGTCTCATGAGATCAGAAATAGCACCCATAGGATCAAAAGTAAATAATTTTAAGAGTTTTTCTACTTCAGAATCTGGCTGCCGCATCCAAAATTGATAGAATGTGAAAGGCGACGTCTTCTCAGGCGATAGCCATACTGCATTTCCTGCTGTTTTGCCAAATTTGTTTCCCATTTCAGATGTTATTAAAGGGACAGTCAGGCCTAAAGAAAATAAACGGAATTAACTCTTACATGTACTTTCATGTTTCGTAAAAATGCTTTCACGGTCACTCAAAAAAAAAAAAATTACACTGTCACTCCATTTTTGAATTGATTGGGTATCATGTCAGATACTGACAGAGAATTATCAGCTACCTACATTCATAATTCATTTTGGGTGATATTTAAGTCAATCTTGGTGAGCTGGGGCGCTTAATAACATTCTCGACAGAAACTAGTATTTCAGACGAAACCGAAATTTCGGTCTCATATTAGTTTCGGCCGAAACAGAAACTTTTAAATGAGGAGTATGATATGGGAGGTAAGATAGTAAGGGATCTCCAAGAAAACACAAACTCAGTGTTTTTCAGTTATTATTAGTGATAATAATAGTATTGTATGATTAAAGAAAAAACAAACTCCATATAATATGTAATAATCAGGTTTTCGAATATTATTAAGATCTAGTAAAGAAAACTAAAACAATACCACATTTGTCTCTTAAAAGACAACAAAATAATGTCTTTTTGTTTCCAACATTTAGTAAAAAAAATAAAAATAACAACTTATTGCCCCTTGCACCAATACTATTTAAACTTAGTTTAGACAGAAACCTAGTTTAATTTGAAGATTTTTATTTTACAAGTACTAAAACCCCCTTTTAAATATTTGTAAACTGTGTTTAACTTAAAAAATCAATTTTTGGAGTTTAAAGATCGTCTGATTCGTTTTTAGTCTTCAAAACTGGATTTTACTGGACATGATGATATTGTAAACGATAATTTGTGTATCCTTAAACTAATAAATACATAGGGCTTTTCTAGAATTATTCAAAAACCAAAACAAGAACTATTTCCAAGAGACATGACATTTTTAGGAAATCTAGTTTGTACAAACTGTTTTGAATATTCTGTCTGACACTGAGCCTGAAGTGGAATTCCTCAATGATTTGTAAGTGAGAAAAAACATGATCGTAGTTTGGGCTGCAGGTTCGGCGGATTGTCTGCCGAAACCGAAACTCCGATTTTGGACCGAATCTGGCCGAAACAGAAAGTTCGGTCAGATTCAGCCTAATGTTAATATTATGTTATTTGTCAACCTCTGAAACTTCTATGGAAGCATTCATTAAACCAAATGTACGATCAATCCTTACCATAAACAGGCTTGTCACAAACTCTGCTTATCAGTTCATGTCCTGACATTATGTTGCCCATTTGATCATTACCACCAACCTAAAACAGCATTTACAATCAAATATCTTCAAGGTTATGTGATCTGAATTAATGTTATTACCTGCCCAACAAAAGAATACAATTGGGAAAATAGTGAGCAATAATTGCATAAGTATCTGTCAATGATTTACATGTGTTTAGTAATGTTTTCAATGGATATATTCCAAACTGCTGCTCAATGCACAATGACAACATCGCTATTTCCCGCCCGCATACTTTGCCTTGCATTCTCTTACTGGGTCGATAATAAATAAACATATTATGCTGAAAGTAAAAATAACTATAATTTTTAAATAACTCACTTGGAAAATGCAATTATGTGCTCTGTATAAATGTAACCAGTCATATGCTTGAAACAGCTGATAACTAAACTCTGTGTAACTCATCCCTGTAGGTGACTGCAATCTGCTTTGAACACTAGTTCTAGAAAGGAGTGTCCCCATTCTTAAATGTCTACCAATACCTCCTATTAGATCCACAGCTTTTATTTGACTGTACCACTCATCATTATTGACTATTCTAGAAAATAAATCCTATTGAACAATTAGTATGAGTATTCTAAAAGCAAAAGTGATTATCAATAAATCTTTATTCAAGATGTGTGCCTTCAGATAAAACTACTAAAGGTTCAAAATCATCAACAGGTTAATTTAAGACCAGTCAAATGACACAATCATGTTCATGAAACATGAAATAACATTGATTCTTGTAGAGCTTTATGTATATGAGAACATTCTCACATTTCAGATGAGAATCATAAATATTTCAGGGTGAATACATACTTCACACTCTTGAGCTTATCCTTGTCCTTCCATATGTACTTTTCATGGTTTTCAAAGATTTGCTTAATATTTGAATATAAACCTTCTATGTTACAGTCAATGATATTTGTTGCCATTTCTTCCCTCTCTGTATTCTTACCACTTGGGTCCCCAATTTTGGCAGTTGCCCCTCCAACCTAAAAAATATTAAACTTAGTTCTAATAAGAAATTTGGAATTCAAATATTATAAGATAATGATTACATGTACAGCAGCATAGTTAAGTCTCTCAGGTCTGGTCAGGTTAGGATTTGCTGGGAACCCCCAAAGCAAGGAAAATTTGCTCCAAAAAAGCCTCCAAATAATATTTCTATTTCAAGGATGCCAATTATTTATACTGATATCTGATATTGAAAAAGGGTTACCGGGTATTTGGCCAGATTTAAATACCGAGTAACGGGTTCTCGGTGGAGTGACTTATTTTGCGCTTGGTTATTTCAGCTAATGTTAGAATTTAGGTTGTATTTGCATTTTTGAAAAGACCCAAAATTGATAAACTAACAGTTGTGCAACAAGATGATTTATTTTGTGAGTGATGTACAGTAGGTTAGTGTTTTGCAGTATTTATAATTCAAGTCTTGCAACTACTTTGAATATATTTTTCACTGTAGAAGCTACAATATTGAGTTACAATTGAAACCATATTTTAGCATTATATTTTTATAACCTAAATTTTTGTTGTAGGTAAGGCAATGAAACACTGTTATCTTATGGTCATCACAAACACTGAAGTTAAATTCTGTATGTTTCTGTAAGTTTTTGATATATGTTTGGGAGGTTGCAAAAGAAACTAATTACAACTGCTTGATTTTATGGCAGGGTCATTTCAGAATTGAGAAGGACCAACTTCCTTATGTATGAGTAAAGAAATGTGAAAAACTACTCATGACTTTCCGACTTCTCTCATTTTGTTTACTTTGTTTTGCGGTTTCTATGGTTGTTCAAGTATTTATAAGAAAGATGAAAGAGTAAATATACATGCAAGAAGATAACACTACAATGAGGTTTCACATTACTTCTGCATTACTTTGACATGACAAGTTCTGTGTCTTGAATTTAAACCAAGTAATTACCAAGATAAGTAATTTAATACTTGGCAAAACCTAATAATTGGTGAAATCGGTAAAAATCAAGTACTTGGTGCATCCCTAATTTGAGTACAATAGTATTTGGAACTAATATATAGCTGTTAAATGACTTTTTTACCTTACAATATACTTATTTTGTTCACTGAACCCTAAATGACTAAATAGATCTGATAAAACTTACCAAAGCTATTGCTTTATGACCACCTCTTTGCCAGTGTAGTAAATTGACTAGAACTAACAAGTTTCCAACATGTAAACTATCTGCTGTTGGATCAAATCCACCATACACTGTTTTGGGTGAACTGTTCATCAGGTCAGTTACAGTATTCCTAAGATGAAATTACATTATAACATTATTGTTCCCAATGAATACAAATATGTACTGTATGTTACCAAAATCAATATATAATTAATCAAATACATAATTCATGTATTATAAGCACAAATGATTATCTTGGTAGTCTTAGTGCTGCTCATACAGCAGTATATGCTTTGATAAAGTAGGCAGTTGGTAAATAACACACATTATGCTGATAGATCAGTTCAGATAAGCAAAACCATATTGTTATTTCTCAGTGATGTTATAACAAAATTCATCATGTAAGAAGTCACTATTTGCATCAAGCTCTAAATATTTTAAAACATTAACTAACTAGCTACCTCTGTAGCCTTATTCAAAATAGGTTTATATATTGGACACAAAAACACACGTCCAAAATAACCCCGCTGAATGCGAACCTGTGCTTAATCTGATCAGTCATTAAAACATCTAACATGCCCACAAAATAAATGTGATGAAAAACATTCAAAAGTTAAATTGGCTAAAATATAAACGTGATACTCAAAAGGTCAAAGAAATTATTGTTGAGCCTTTCACAACCAAAGTACCTGTACCTATAACTAGTTTGCACGTAGCAGGTCTATGTAAAACATTGTCTCAATGAAGATTTGTGTAAATATAAAACTAAATTTTACTCACGCTGCTGCCTCAGGAAATATATCTTGAAACATGCCTCTTTCTTTTAATTTCAAAATATTTCTGTTTGAGTAATATCGATGAAGCGTATGAAATGCTTTTCTACAATTCCTTGTATAACCAAGCATTTTGAACTATTAAATAAAATAAGAGAAAAATATAAATTATTTAAAACCAATGTCCTATTGTATTTTAGCTTGAAGCGTTTCACAAATAAAAGATTTTCTATTTCTTCATATTTAACCGTTTATTTAACACAAACACATGCCAAAGGCCAGTCAGAAAAATTGGGTTAGGAAACAAAATCAAATTAACCAATCAGCCGAATGGTAATTGACAGGAGAAACGAATCTGTGATCAGATCTACTCCGGTGTACCACGGGCTTTCGTCGGCTTTTGACTACGAGGGACGATGGATATTTTTTATTTAGAAGTATACAGGGTGACTTCGAAGTTGAGTCATTTATTTTAACAGTGAGTAGATCTGATCAAAAGAAATGTTTTTTTCCTTTACCATTTTTCTGGTAAAATTAAAGTAACAAAGTTATAGCCCTTTGGAAGTTTGAGTACCGCCCTGTCTCAATAATATCATGTAGGTACTCGTGTTTGGCAACAACGGATATAATCCACCTTATCGGTTCATCGCATCGGAAACAAAAAAGCGAAAGAATTTGGAACGATGTTTATTTTATTCAGTACAGTTATACATACAGTCAGTGTCAGTCGCGTGTGAATAGTGTCTGTTGCGTGGCTCAAACGAAATAAAAAATGGCACATGTTTATGCGGATCGGTTTCCCAATCGAGTGCAACCAACCCCTCGTGCCTTTGTTAATGTAGTACAACGGGCTCGTGAATCAGCTGACTTAAGACCTCACAGGGGACCTCACGATCAAATACAGGTCCGCACTGAAATACTTGTCGGGAGGATACTTTATAAAACAAGGTAAAATTTTTTTTTTATTTTTTTTTTTATTTTTACACACATATTTTGGTTTATCTTCCTTCTACAATCATTATCTGAAAATTAATGACTCAACTTCAAAGTCACCCTGTATAATATAGCATATCTGCAATGACTATAGCCCACTCAAAAATCTCACTTCTTGGACAAATCGGTGCATAGATTATGATTCTCTATCATCAGTTTTATATGGCTAACGATATTTATAAGGATTTTTTGTGGCTATAATCAATGTATCAAAAATCTTTAGTGAGTTGGTTTGGTTGTGAACGTGGAAGAAGGTGGGCGGTCCAGCAACAACGGATAATTCAACACACTAAATAAATATAAATCAAATTAACGATATTTGTTAGCGCGTTATTGTGATGCTCGCGGAGAATCAACACTGAACTGGCTGACGGAAAAAGTACAAAAACTTTGTGTGTTTCGTTCGTTGCAGAGTAGGAGGCCTGTGCGTCATCTATATGCTCCTCTGTTGAAGTCCGTAGGGTTAATACGTAAAAGTCCTATATAATGCCAAAAAACGACAAAATGTCAACTTTCTGACTAGATATACTAGCTGTGAGCGTCACCAAAAGCGTAATCTGTGGAGGAATGACTCAGCGACACGCTCAATGGCCAGCTGCAACTCACTTCCCCAGCATGCTTTGTTGGTTGCAGAATGCCGAGAGAGTCTGTATATCTCTGAGAAGATGTGACAAAGAATATCGGTTGAGTAGGTATATAGTAGAGTAGCAAGATCGCATCTGGATCATTGTGTGTATTGGTCTGCATGTTTATAGAATTATAGATATTTGCTATGTGAGAAAATTATTACTGAGTAATGCTGCCCAAGAAGTATATTAGTTGTACCAGATGGGTTATTTGTGTTGTCTTTTCGGAAGAGAGGTTATGTTCAAAGTTATAAATTACGATTTTATCCGTTTTTTTTGCGTTTTCAAAATCATCACCGCGTCCGCGCTGTGTGGAATGACGCATCATACACAAAACATTTTCGCACTGCCCCACATCTAAGCACTGATTTGTATTTTCCACTTGACATCGCAAAATAAATTTCTATAAAATCCAAATGACTGGAAATAAAGAATAATGTAAAATTTAATCACATTTTCACGTTTTCAAATTCAGCAAACTTGCATATGTTATTTCTTTCCAAGATGAATAAGAAAAAGTGGATGCGCAACTAATTTCTAGTTTTGCATGCATCTCAAGTAAGTGTATTTGAGGCACGGAACCTATGGAATTATCATCAACACAGATTATTAGCACACAAATCCGCATGCACTGCCATTTCTTTCCAGCTATAGTATACAACTTACACAGCTTAGACCTCCAATAATGCCATTTCTGAAGCAGATGTTACATCACATCACAGCCAAACATTGATAGCTGAATCGTCATGACGTTTAGTCCACACGTACGCTACAGAACGACTGCGACGAGTGCACATCAAGTGAACAACAGCTAGTTCTAAGTTGACATCTTGTAGAAAAACCTACATAATATCACAAAAAATCTATATAATATAAAAAAACCGACAATGTCACTTTTCAAGATACGTACCTCTGCCGGTATGTACGCCATGAATCCGTTAGATTTATTAGACAGTGTTTCGGAGGATGATGAGTTTTTTCTAGGATTTTGGAATGGCGGACCACAGAAAATATTGAATGGAAAGCTATTTTGTCCGAGCATCAAGTAACTAGCTTTTGCGCACTTTTTTGAGGAAATTTAAATAGTATTTTCAACTTCTCGAGTGGAAACAATATACAACTTTTGTGGATCTTTTTAGACCTCTCGAGAATTGGTAGGTTTAGAAAAATAGTGTAGATAACGTTGATTACTGCCTTAATAGCTTGGTACAACACAAGCGTGCTTTTTCGAATAGATACGTAAATTTTATTCTTGTGGTAGAAAATACTTTCGTGTTTTTCAGTATTTTTGAAGCGACATAATTCACAAAATATTCGAGAAAAGTTGAAATCAAAGTCAAAGACCTCACAGAAACCTTACGCTTTTGGCTAATTTCAAAAATAAATTTAGTACGTTGTTGATCTCAACACGTAGAACAAAAGTTCTTATGAGCCCAAAGTTTTCCATAAGTAGTATCCGACATACAAGGGCGTCTAAGTTGGCCAGTTACCCGTTATAAGCTTTTTGGTTTAGAAACCCCATTAACTGCTTATATATCTGTCGCGCAAGAAGTGAAAGTAGTTTTATGGATTCTAAACTGAATCGCTCTGTATACAGTTCGTCACCGGTTTTTACAATACGATCTAGAAGGAGAGAGTGAGTTGTCCCAAAACTTTCATCGAGCACCTTTTGACTTCATTCATCCGCAAAGAAATCTTGTCGCAAGGTGTCGCAGTAATGATCGTCCTACTTTACGTCTTCTTTTGTTTTGGTTTCGCCAATTGTGATAATGATAGTGATAGTGGAGGTGTGACAGGGGAGGTTCAAGACCAAGGGATATGGGGGCCGTTACTTGAAGAGTGGGCGCTTACTAATCATCGGTAAGAATGACAATTTACTTCCGATTTTGGAAGTTTACTCCAAACGAAACTATTAATTTATATTTTTGCAAGACAACGTTTTTGTATTTTTTTTTCAGAAAATTTTTACTGTTGCGCGAAATAATTTTTTCTCGAAGCACACTTACATATTCTATCAAACCCTTCTATAGGTACATATTTTTCATGCGTAACTAGGAAAGTTCATTTCGGATTTTAACGAAATTCTGACGCAGTATTATTACTACCACTCCAAGTACGAAAAAGTTTTGTAAGTTTTGAAAATCGATCTACTGACGGTGGAGTTACGAGACGAATTAAAAATTTCGAAGTGTCCCCAAACTTGGTTCTTCAAGTTTCCGATATTTTTTGGGCGTTTAAGGGGTGTAAAATTTCAGAGAAATCGAAACTTGTATCTCGAAATTTTTCAACCTTCTGGCCACTTTAGCATGTCACTCATTTCCGTCAGTCTGTATGTGTGTCAGTCGCCTATAGCTTGAGAAGTACCGTTCGGATTTTGATAAAATTTTGACACAAGGTTACTGATATGCCAAGGATGAAAAAGCTTTGTAGTTTTTGACAATTGGTCTACTGTTGCCAGAGCTAGGGGCAAAAATACGAAGAGAAAAAAAACAAGTCGAAAGATGTTTCGCGTACCCGTATTTTTAAACAGCTTCTTTTACGTGGGAGGAGCTGAGTCTATCTACTTCTCTCAATTTTTTAATCTAATCAAATAATAATTGGTTCAGAAAGACTATAATTTTCAGACTAAAATAATTTCCTGGGTTCATAGCGGGGTCTTGAGCTGGAACGGTATCAATAATAACAATCTTTCTTCAATAGAGCCCAGATGAAAAATTATTTAAAACAGTTAAAGTCTGCAAAGTAAGGATATTTTTGAAATAAATGTATTCCCAAGAATTTAGGGAAGTCCGAGATATACAGAGTGGCGCATCGAAACCGAAACTGACGCATTTACTGGCAGCTCAGTTTTTTTTTGAAAAACGCTCAGATACGTCGATTTTGTTTTCGTGGGGGACACAAGTTTGGCAAAAATCACGTTAGCACGAGCAGCCCCCTAAGCGGGGGTGACACCACCCCCGAAATCTTAAATGGAAAGGGGGTCGAGTGATACTTATTTTAAAGGTCTTTCAATTCCCTTTATAATGATGTAAAATTAATGTACTTCAGTTCAGTAGTTTTGAAGATTTATTGATTTAAAGCTTAAATAAAACTAATACATCATCATTAGTGGAGATTAATACATTTGGCAACAAAGTAATTTAAAAATGAAGAATGAACTGCCCCGTTAGGCAACTAAATGTGGAAAATGGCCACCATGACTCTCCATGCAATAATACAGCTTTTGCTCAAAACGTTGCCGCACATTTTGCAATATTTGAGGAGTAATTTGAAGGCACTCATTCACAATACTTTGTCGCAGGTCTTCTAATGATGTTGGCCGAGTAGCATAGATTTTGCTTTTTAAATGGTCCCACATAAAGAAATCCAAAGGTGATAAATCTGGCGATCTTGGGGACCATTCAATGGCACCTCTTCTACCAATCCATCGATCTGGAAACGTCTGATCTAAATATTGTCGAACACGTAATGCGTAATGTGGTGGAGAACCATCCTGTTGGAACATCAACCTATTCGCAATGTACCGCCGATCATTCTGATTTTCAATTATGGCTGTTAATGCAGGATCTATGGCGTCTTCCAGTAATTCCAAATACATTTCACCGGTCAAATTTCCAGGTAAGAAAAAATGACCAATTAAATGATCGCCAAAAATACCAGCCCAAACATTTAATTTTTGTGGCTGCTGTGTATGAACCTCATGATAAATTCTGGGATTAGAATCGGACCAATATCGGTAGTTATGACGATTTACTACGCCATTTAAGAAAAAGGAAAATTCGTCGGAAAAGCAAGTGTTGAATAGAAGATGTTCATCGTTTATAATTCGTTCACTCATATCTTCACAAAATTGTAATCGCCGATCAAAATCGTCTTCATTAAGTTCTTGTACCAGGTGAATTTTATACGGATGAAAACTATGGGCCTTTTGAATCCGTTGGACAGTACGTCGACTAACACCACACACAGTCTCCAATTTGCGGGTACTTAACGTAGGATCTACATAAACTTGCCCTAAAACCCCCACTTCTATTGCTTCGTTCCTTATGGGATTTTCAATGTTGCGTTTTTTATTGGCGACTGACCCAGTTTCCAGAAATTTACCTACAAGTTCTAGAACATATTTTCAATGCACGTTACTATTCTCATGTCGCTCATTAAATATTTCTGCTGGTCTATTAGCGCACTCATTACTTCCGAAAAATATTTCGATAATTTGACCTCTTTCTACTGTGGAATATACCATGGTTAATTTATGTAATAAAGCGTTACAAGTTATTTTAGGAACAAAGTTTGGTCAAATCAATCGCTATGTATTAAATTCCTATTTAAAATAAGTACGAGATATTTCCTTATCTTTCTTCAAGAAATAACTTTTTTGCCCCAAAAAAACGCTCCAATAGTTATTTTCAACAACAACCTGATAAACAAACCATAGGCGTAGTGAAGAAAAGCATTTACTTATTAAGGAAATTCTTTTAGTCAAATTTCTTCTGAAAGTAGTACAAACTAATCTGCTGTACTTATTAAAGTCTACTTTAAACTTTAAATCAATAAATCTTCAAAACTACTGAACTGAAAGACCTTTAAAATAAGGTATCACTCGACCACCCTTTCCATTTAAGATTTTAGGGTTGGTGTCACCCCCGCCCAGGGGGCTGCACGAGTTAACGTGATTTTTTGCCAAACTTGTGTCCCCCTCGAAAACAAAATCGACGGGTCTGAGCGTTTTTCCAAAAAAAAACTGAGCTGCCAGTAAATGCGTCTGTTTCGTTTTCGTTGCGCCACCCTGTATATGATGTACATACCACGAGATGTCTAGCTTATGGTAATGAATGTCAACATCAAAAATATTTACAGTTTTGAGTATTCTAATAAGGCGATAATAAAACTTTTGGTTGAGGCGTTGCTCCAAAGTTTTCTATTGCAATCCTTTGGTGTCAACAAAAAAATGGCGTCAAGTAGGTCACCTCTGCACTTCATCTTTCATAAAGGATTATTGTTAGATATAAGAAAAAAGTTAACTACGAATATGTATAATAAAATAAGAATTCAGTGGATCTAGTAAGCCATAGGTCTATATAATTAGTTCATAGGCCAATCCATTTGATAAAACTGTTATCTAGAAACTTATCAATGATGTTGTATGATATTATGTACTAATAGGTGCGTAGACTTAGCAGGGTTGGAAGCGTATGAATTTACTACCAACAAAACATTGAGATATGCTCTTCTCCAGCCCCTACAACTGCAAACCCCAATGTTTAACCACTACAAACATTTTTGCGAAAATGATCAGGAACATCTGAAATTAAAAAAAAACGAAGTTTGAGCGATTTATATTTTTTTCATTTTCTGCCGGTAGCGCACTGGACCCGTTTTCAAAATATATAAAGCTTCTTCATTCTTGGCATAATAGCATGTATAATAATAACTTTGTGTGAAAAGTTCATCTAAATCCGAGCAGTACAGAGACGGAAATGAGTGGCATGGTTTTATCGTGATGTACATGTCATATAACATCCAGAAATTATAATGCCTTATTTTCGAAATTTACTATATACGGCCAGTAGATGTCGGAAGTAAAAATGTCAAAAAATCTTTGACATATCACTTTTTTGTATCAATGCATCATCTTAGTGTATCCCTTTCAGGTGGTTCATTTTCAAGATTTTTATACTCCAAGCTTGAATATGTACATCAGACAAACTTTTGGCAAAAATCTGCAGCCTAGAAGAAATTTTAGACGTACGGTCTGCCAAAATCAGATGTTTCCTATTTGTTAGACTACCAAGCTTGGTAAAAAATTGCTTTGAAATAAGCTAAACTCAAAATACTCTTCGGGGTCTTGTAGGACTTGGTTTAAAATTTAATTTAGACACTTGGAAACCTCAAAAATAATAATTTTAATGTATCTAGTGTCACTCGCACCGCGTTGAATCCAACGATACTTCATAACATATGTGAAAATCCGTCCAGCCGTTTGGCCTGTAGGTGAAAATATGCACGTTATCCATATCAACCAAAATGATAATCACTCTCCGCGTGACGTCATGCGCGCCGTCGGACGAAAATCGAACAGCGGAGCATCCGGCACTGGTTGCGTCCTCACGCAGTGATAACCAGGCGCGGATTCAGGAGGGGAACAATGCTATTGCCCTCACCTTTAAGCCCGCAGGAAAAAAATTAGAAAATTTAAAAGGAAAAAGGATAGGATACAAGGAAAGAAAGGGGAGGGAAGTGAGATAAAAAGTGTAGAGAGAGGGAAGAGGATAATGAAGTTGTGTCATCTCATATGAGCGCAAACATCTTGACAATACCCCTTGAAAGTAGACAACCCACACTGCTTGCCCCCAAGACGTGATGCAGGATCCGGGTTTGGTGATAACCCCCAGGACTCTCGTCAGAGCGGAAGTCGCTGCTAGTTTTTTCTCCAGATTACCGACAGACATCGGCTTGTCACTCTGAATTCCTGCATTTAGAGTGCTGTCATGAGCAAAGCTGTGGATTGGATTGATTGTACAAGATATGTTGATATGTAAGAGGAACAATGCCGGAGCCAAGACCGATCCATGGGGAACACCCGCGTTGACGTTGTGAGATGAAGAGGAGAACCCGTCAATAACGACGGATATTTTGCAGCCAAGAGATATCAAGCTATTAAGAGCCACGACATGAATTAAATAATTTCTTGAACAAATTACAAAAAACTAGTTTTTTCGCCATATTCGCAGTTTTCTTAGACTTTCCGGATGATCCTGAACAAAAAAAGTCAGTGTAACTTTTTTCTAAAGTTGACCGTTTTCGAGTTATAAGAGGTTTAATGTTGGGAAAATGCCACTAAAAACGGGTATTTTCAATGGTTAACAATAAGGTTGTAAATTCTTATTTTTGAGGTTGCCAAGTGTTTAAATCGAAGTTCAAACCTTCTCCCACAAGACTTCGGAAAGTATTTTTAGTTTATTTTGAAGCATTTTTTAACCTTGTTTGGTAGGTTAACAAATGGCAAACTTTTGATTTTCGCAGACTGTACACTTGACACCTTGCCTGAATGTGTGCGTGCGTTGGCTTCGGCTGATATATTATACCCCTTTATAAATAGCGTTTGTGTCTGTAATAACCTTTATAAATATTGCCTTTCTTGTTTGAAGGCAAGGAAAAGTCATGATGATTCCATTGACACCGTCTATGTACGTTATGGAGGACAAAGTTGATTCAACCGAGAAAGGAGAAGGCAAGATAAGTCCAGGGAACAAAATCGTAACAAGCGGCTTAAGTGGAATTGGCGGCAACTACAACAATAATAATTACAATAACTACAACAAAAAGCCTCCAGGAAGGCAAGTGTCTGAAACAGACCTTTATCTACTGGGTGCTATTGAGAAGCTGGTGTATAAAGTTGATTTCATAGAGAAGAGACTGAGAAGGGTGGAAGAGATGCTTTACTATGCAGTGGCTGGTAACCGGATAGATACAGGTAAGTCGTAACTTCGGAAATGGCACTTCCAAGTATGTTAAACCAAGGTAACAGTCTAAATGAGTCGGGCATTTAGCGTCGCGGTCTACCAGTGTTGGCGAACCGAAACAGACGAAATCGGAAGTGCCGAAATTCGGACAAAATCGATAGGAGAAAAAAAACAGGGCCCTCACAGGATCAGCGATTGATCAAGTGACTCTGGCGTCTTGCAGCGCCCTCTGTGTAAAGTAAAAAGTATGTTTTTGCATTGCGCACGCATATACAACACAGGTGTCTATGCTCCTGAAAAAAAAGTCCCTTATTACAATTTGTATAATGAGCATACTGGTTGCTCTCAAACTCCTTTGTAACCATTATTGGAACTCCTTTTGCCTTTCTTGTTTATAATATACTGAATATTTTTCTGTTTTACCCCTGAACTTTAAGCCTCATTACAATGTAAATTAATATTCAATTAAATACAGACGAGCTCTGGTTATCTTATTGCTTGATCTATCAGTCTGTACCTTTAGTAGGCAACCCAGATTCTACCTCTCGTGTGCCCGACTGCCCAAGTGTACGCTTATGCATGATTGGTTTGGACCGTAAAACTTCATATACTACATATAATTAATTTTATTAGTTTGTTTTTGGTTGTAGTTCTTTTTCGGTAAACAATCTGAAAATAACTGAATTATTTAAAAAAATCATGGAAAATGAGGACGTTTTTGGTATTTTGGTAAATTACCTGTAGGTCTGATTTCGGTAGAAATACCGAAAAATCGGTAGATTCGGTCTACCTGCGGTCTACCTGATAAAAGACATTCCTATAGTGCAAATTATACGAACTATAATAAGGTCAACACTTCTGCGTTAGCCGACCATCTTGATGTCACGTCACTCTAGTTATCAGATGGGCTTGTACTATTTTTCTAGATACATTCACATCGGCTCCATTTTTTTTAACTAAAGCCAGATAGGTTTTGAAACTGTTGGTTACATATTAAAAACAAAATTGGTGTGGCAGTTGCTACGATTGGGCTAGGTCAACGGTCAGGTAAACAGGCTAAACAGGAATAGGTTATCTAACATTATAATTATACCCTTTAAAAGAATGACAAAAGTATATTTAAGGGCTGCTGTTTGATCAAGTTACAATCTATATAAAATTAAAAAGATTTATTACTATATCACATAATTTATACATTTTCGTATTACTATATCGACTAACAGTCTCCTCTTGATTTTCAGAAACACGTTATGGTTGGGTATTTTTATAATAATTACAACTATATGTATTCAAATCGCATTAACGCCCTGTCAAAACAAATGTCAGCGCCCAACGTTCAAATTAGCGCGCTCATATTGACCAGTGAGTCATAAATGCCTCGGCGTGATAGCGCAAGCGAACGAAAGCGGCGATCGGCTGCTCATGTTTGTTTTAACATGGTGTAAATGGAATTTGAATACACTACACCTAGTTGAAATTTTATAGTATGTAATATGTTCTGATCTGATCTACTTATATTCCTGCAGTAGAAACTCCGTAACTAGTCCATTGAATTCGTCTGAGTATTTCAAATGAAGATTGTGCTTCCCTTCCGGAAACCTAAGTACCCTAAAAAAAAGTTAAATTTTGCTATTAATATTTTACAAAAACGGTCAATGTGGCTAGTTTTTGATATGAGACAATTAACAAGAATTTAAATACGTTAAACAGTATGGTTTGCGACAATTCTGCGTAAAATATTACGTGGTCATTTTGGGAAAACCCATCATCCTCAATACCTACTTTGATATTTTTATCTTAGAGGCTAAATGCGATGCATGTTCTGGTAATATCATTGGATCTTTATCACCGTGTAGAATGAAAGTGGGACATTTTATATGAGGCAATAAATGTGTGCATATATTTCCACCATTTTTCTCCACTTCTATTAAGTTATTGCACCATTTACGCCACATATCTTGGAAAATTTCTTCGGTATATACTTCTATGAATGGTGCTTTCATCTGTTCGGACCAAGCACTAATGTCAATCATTTCTGGAGAAAATAAGCAAATTATATTTCATCATGAACTGAAAGTACTACATATATATTCAATTTTTATAGTATTATTGGGAGGAAGTTAAACTTATTTGACACGAAATATTTAATAAATATAAAATAAGATTCTTATTGACTGACTTCTTCGGCGGAATATACAGGATAGAGGATTTTGATAATTATTTCAAATGCGTTTTTTTCGATATATGATTAAAAAACTATGATAATCCCATTATCGTTGAAAAAATGGGTGGAGCTATCTACATATATTGTAAACAGATTCCCTCATGTGGCTTACTTCGGAAGACCTCCTTCTCCTGTTCTGTGATAAAAGCATTGGTGGCCCACACAACTAGTTTTTCAACATGATCTGGATATTTGGCAGCTGTGATCATTCCTGAATGACCCCCGTCACTCCACCCAAGAACCGAATACTTATCATATTCGAGCGCCTGAAAATGTTATTATTGATACAGGGTGTTTCAGCTTATTGTTGCATAACTTTAAGATTCGATAGAAATTTTCAAATTAATGCATAAAGTCTATATAAACAATGGTCGAAAAATGTGTGGCCTCTGAAATACCGGGTGTTTAAATTTACTTTCTATAATAGTTTTTTTTTAAATATTTCGAACAATATTGGATGTATAACAGTGAAAATCGGTATACAAGGGTTTTTTGGTACGACAAAACGTACCATAGTTTTACTGTAGCCGCTAGAGGGCACTCTCTACTGTACCTGTGGTGTATTAAAATGACCGAAAAATTTTTCTTAGTGCAATTTTTTGCTTTTTGAATAAAAAAACTGATTCTTCGCATTTTTCAACATAAAAACGCTCTCCTGTGAGTTTTCGTTATAGTTAGCCGTTTTTGAAATATTTCGATTTTTAAGGTTCGATGCATTTTTAATTATTTATGGGAAAATAATATTTTTTTTTTTACATTTACGATTTGAGCGTTACAAGTAATTAAGATGATCGTTTAGATTGTGTTTTTAAACACAGCAATAATTCCTAACTCCAAATAAACACAAAAAAACAGAATATTAATTTGTTTAATTTTCCAATATTATTTTTAACAAATTAAATTAATTATTTACAACTAAAATGCTATTGGATAGTTAGGACAAACATACAAAATCTAAAGTAGTTGCTCGAAATGTAAACCCAATTGTTCAATACACAATTCACATCTACGAATGATCGAACGTGGTATAGCATTATTCAAATACGGCCTTATTTCAACACATGCATTCCTGATTCTGTCTATTAGCATATCTCTTGTGGTTACGGGAGTCTGGTACACTTTTTCTTTTAGAAATCCCCACACAAAGAAATCTAATGGATTTAGGTCAGGGGATCGTGGAGGCCAGGCGACTGGTCCTCCACGGCCGATCCATCTTTCTGGATAATTTTCATCCAGCCAGTTCTAACTATTCTCGAATAATGAGCTGGACAACCATCAAGCTAGAACCAGGCCAATCTTCTTACATCTAACATAACATCATCCCACATATTTGCATGTTCAGCCTTTAAAAATTCCAAGAAGGTCGCAGCATTTAACCTTGCAGGCAAAAGGTAGGGTCCAAATAGTCGATTACGGTAGATACCAATCCACACGTTCACACTAAATTCATGCTGAAAATTTCTTTCCCGTACTGCATGCGGATTTTCATGCGACCAAATATGTTGATTATGAAAATTTACCACTCCACGTCTAGTTAAGCATGACTCATCGGTCCATAAAACGTTACTTAAAAACTCCCTATTTTTATCAGTTCTATCAAGAATCCACTGACAAAATGTGATTCTTCGTTCTCCGTCCCCTGGCTGTAGTCCTTGCACAGGTTGCAAATGGTAAGGACGTCTATGGTCATTTCTAAGAACACGGTGAACATGGCTTGCTGAAATTCCCAAGGCACCAGAAACTCTCCTAACACTTGTGGTCAGATCTCTATCAAATTCACGCAGAATCATACGGGTAAATCTGCGCTGACGAACATTTATGTTTTGATCCCTTTGGAGATTTCCAAAACCATTTTCAATTATTTGGCGATGCACTCTTACAAATACTGAGCGAGTTGGATGTCGTCTGTTTGGAAATCTTCGTGCGTATTCTCTGGCTGCTTCTGCTGCGTTTCCATTTACAAAGCCATACACAAAATGAATATCCGCTAACTCTTGATTGGAGAATAAAAATGGCATTTTTAAAACTTACAAAAAAAAACAGGTAAAAGAAACTAAATTTCGTGCATTCACAATTGCAAAAAAACGTTTCAGGTTTCAACAGACAACAAAAACTAACTGTCAACTAATTGACGTTTAACCTTATTCTGCTTTCAATTTCAAAAATATTTGCAGGCACAGCCTACTTCTAAAAATTATCGAGATACTGACTTTTTAACGTTATTTTATCATAAATAATTAAAAATGCATCGAACCTTAAAAATCGAAATATCATGGTTCGTTTTGTCGTACCAAAAAACCCTTGTATACCAATTTTCACTGTTATACATCAAATATTGTTCGAAATATTTAAAAAAAGCTATTTTAGGAAGTAAATTTAAACACCCTGTATTTCGGAAGCCATGCATTTTTCGACCCATGTTTATATAGACTTTATGCATTAATTTTAAAAGTTCTATCGAATCTTAAAGTTATGCAACAATAAACTGAAACACCCTGTATATCTCGCAAAAGCTAATTATTGTAATAAGGGCGTATTCAGGAGAGGAGCTTTGGGGCTCAAGCGCATAGCCCCACAGCTATTGGGCGTTTCTCTTTATATAAAACATCAATAGTATTTTTATTGAGGCATCATTTTCTTCCATGGTTCCATTGGAAATTTTAAACGTAGCTTCTAAACACGCATCAAGGAGCATGAAAGAAACTGTCGACTGGGGCAAACTGATAAATCAGCGGTGGCCGAACACGCACTCCAAGACGGTCACAATGTTCTGTTCGTCTAAACTGAAGTCCTATCAACATCCACCCACTACTCAGCCCGGATGTACAGAGAAGCAATTGAAATCTACAAACACAATGATAATTTCAATAGAAAAGAAGAAAGCCTTGCTTTAAACAAAACGTGGTTCCCAATTCTAAAAAACACAGCGCAATAGCCACGTCACTCAAGAGGCCCAGAGTACCCCCACCTGACAACTCAGTCCTCATCCGCCGATCGCCTATAAAATCGCACGCTCATCCAGTTAACCGATCAGTTTCAGTCGACCCGCCAAACCGAGCACTTCGCTCTCGCCGACAGCACCACTGAAGATGGCTACCGCAGATGTAGCCGAACTCTCTGGACCAAATCCAATCCGACCACGGCTCAACAGCCCGAAAAACCTAAATTACATTAGAATTAGCCGTGAAAGCCTTCATTCTTCAATTCGTCTAAGACATTTTGAAACATATTTGGGTCTTCAGTTTGCATGCTAACTTCAACCCATTTCAGTATGAAATATTTTTTTATAAACTTTAAGGCGTATCTGTGACCGTCTAAAAATTTCAGCTCTAAATATGTACTCGTAAATATACTTAGTGACATATAAATCCGAACACCCAGTTTAAATGGTTTTATTTTAATAAAAGTTGGTGAATGTATTTATCTTACTGTAAATAACAAGTGAAAAAATTTTCAGCCTTATCAGTTGGACATTCCGGTTTTTATACTGCTTTTTTTTTAATTCACTAACGCACTAAATTGAATATTTCAGCCGCAGTAAAGAATCAACGTTGGCGGATTTTGGTTCTTGACATCCTTTACGATCGGTTACGATGCCTAGAGTACGGAGACCTGTACGATTTCGTCAACTTAGTGAGTTTGATAGAGGCCGTATAGTGGGACTTCGGGAAGCTGGACTTTATTTTCGGGCAATTGCAGTTAGAGTGCAAAGAAGTGTAGACACTGTGGTTAGGTGTTGTCAGGCATGGCTTCGAGAAGGCCGTACGCAAAGAGCAAGGGGCACTGGACGCCGCCGTAGAACAACAGACCGTGAAGATCGCTGCCTAAGATTATTGGCCTTAAGGGACCTTTTCTCCACTACCAGGTCCATTGCAAATGAATGGTTTGCAGAACACGGAAGACCTATTGGCATGCGAAGTGTTTACCGACGAATGAGAAGTTTTGGCTTGTTTTCATACCGGCCACACTGGGTCCTACCTTTAACTCGAGAACACCGACGTAATCGCCTTGAGTGGTGCAGACGAGAAGGCCGTACGCAAAGAGCAAGGGGCACTGGACGCCGCCGTAGAACAACAGACCGTGAAGATCGCTGCCTAAGATTATTGGCCTTAAGGGACCGTTTCTCCACTACCAGGTCCATTGCAAATGAATGGTTTGCAGAACACGGAAGACCTATTGGCATGCGAAGTGTTTACCGACGAATGAGAAGTTTTGGCTTGTTTTCATACCGGCCACACTGGGTCCTACCTTTAACTCGAGAACACCGACGTAATCGCCTTGAGTGGTGCAGACGAGAAGGCCGTAGGCAAAGAGCAAGGGGCACTGGACACCGCCGTAGAACAACAGACCGTGAAGATCGCTGCCTAAGATTATTGGCCTTAAGGGACCGTTTCTCCACTACCAGGTCCATTGCAAATGAATGGTTTGCAGAACACGGAAGACCTATTAGCATGCGAAGTGTTTTCCGACGAATGAGAAGTTTTGGCTTGTTTTCATACCGGCCACACTGGGTCCTCCCTTTAACTCGAGAACACCGACGTAATCGCCTTGAGTGGTGCAGACAACGGTCACTCTAGGATCAGGAATGGTACAGTATTGTCTTTAGTGACGAGTCTCGATTTTGTTTAGGCATGCACGATGGTCGTGCTAGGGTTAGAAGGCGACGTGGTGAAAGGAGGAATCCACAGTTTTTTGTTGAAAGACATGTTCATCACACTGTTGGAGTTATGGTTTGGGGTGCTATAGCTTATGGTTCCAGGTCACCTTTAATCTTCATCAGAGGTAACATGAACGCGCAGCGTTATATCCACGAAGTTCTAGAACCCCATCTTTTATCCTATCTTGACACCCTGGCAGATCCAACTTTCCAACAAGATAATGGCCGACCACATGTTGCAAGAGTCACAATAGACTTCTTTCAACATAATGATGTCACATTGTTACCATGGCCACCAAGATCTCCCGATTTATCCCCAATTGAACACGTGTGGGATATGATGGGTAGGAGATTGCTCAATTTGCAACGTCCTCCTCAGACTCTAGAAGCACTTCGAGAGGAGTTGGTGGTTGCCTGGAATGAGATACCACATGAGGACATTGACCACCTGATCAGAAGTATGCCTAGGCGCGTTGGAGAATGCGTAGCACATCAGGGTGCATCCACACATTATTAAAGGTCAAAGGGCTTTAAAGCAGTGCAATCATTTTGAAATTTTTATCATTTACTTATTATGCTTCATTAAGTACTTATACAAATTTTATTAAAATAAAACCATTTAAACTGGATGTTCGGATTTATATGTCACTTAGTATAGAAGACTATGAAGAAATCTTGAAAAAAATTGTTTTCTTCGGAAGAAAAAGTGATAGATTCATCCGATTTGTTTTACAATGTGTATAATAAAGTATGATCCGAATTACTTACAAATACGAAATGTTTCGATTTATTTAGAAGAAAAAAACGAACAGTTATCTTTCGGAATGGTTTGTGATTCATATCGGTAAACTCGTATATTTCTCAAAAACTACTTGACCAATCGACTCAGATTTTGTTGTGGTTATTTAGAAGTATCAAGCCTACGGATTTGGAGATTTTCAAGTAGCTGCGTGCAATTATCGTCGCATCAGCAATAAATGCCAAAACCTGCATTTTGCCTCGGTTTTTGGCAATAACCTTTTTTTACTATTAGTCGGATCTTTTTACGCGAGGTCTCAGTCTGTAGGTCTCATAAATATCTAAAAGTCTTATTTAAAGAGTTTTGTCGTATCTGCCAACACTTTCAATTGAATCCCAAAAAAACACGTTTTCTCATTCTGTGTTGTCGAATAAAAAGTTTTCTTACAAAAATTGGTGTACCCATTTTATGTGTCCTTGTTTTGAATACCCCCTTCAACAACTTGCAGCAATAAAACAAGACTTTATAATTATTTCGCAAACCAGGGGTATTTTCGTCAAATATGAAACTACATTCTGAACAAATAAAGTTGATAGTTGTTGTTCCATTCCAGACTTTACAATTATTTCGGAGAAATTTGCTAATTATGATTAGACTAAATCGGCGCTTAATCGGAGCATGTATTTAGATCATTGACAGCGATTTTTAAATGAATTTTTGAGGCAATATTTTGTGTTCTGATATTCTATTTGCCATTACGTACAAACCATCAAACTCATAGTACTTTTGTATTATGGGATTCTATCTTTTATGAAATCTGAGCTCCCTCCAGGTGTTTTTCTCGATACGCCAGTGAACTGTGAGATGATCCTGACTTCTGCCCCTTTAGTCTCAGACCTTCTGAGTTCCAAGACGTTGAATCCCAGCCTGGTCTGTGTCTTCGTCATCGCTACATACACGATCATAATGCAGGGAGATGATCCCATCTCAAGAGAGATACGCAGATAAAAATCACAATAGAAACATCCCTCTCTAGCCTCAAAAAGTGTTGATTTTGTATCCTCTCTTTAGGTTCAGGGATAAAAATCTTCCATCGGACTCTACTCATGGGTGCCCGCCAAAACTTTTTGAAAAGCGGGGGTAGCAAATTTTCTCAGGGGGCGAGCCAGTTCAGTAAAACCCTTAAGATTGTACACAAAATCATGATAAATATGCAAATTTTAAGGTCCAAAACCGGACTCTCAGGGAGGTCTCGCCTCCCTAGCGGACACCCGCGACTCTGCCCTTGAAATGCAAGCCGTTATCTCATTTCATCTTTTCTATATCATCTTGTTAGGTACAAGTTGTTTGTTGTTAGTAATTAAAAAAAGACTAGAGATCTTAGTTCTGGTTGACAAGTTCTTTGTTGTTAATACTTTTGAAAAAAAATCCAGAAATCTTAGCTTTACCTACATTGTCATGAGTTGCATTAGCATCTCTCAAATAGATAGTAAAATCGAAAATTCTCTCTGATGGCCTGCTATTTCCATATTCTGGAGGGAGATCGTCTTGATCGGTACAACACGCTCTTTGTTGATAATACGTTTGAAAAAAAAATTAAGAGACCTCATCTTTACCTGCATTAAATCATGAGTTGCATCAGCATCACTCTCATACATAGTGAAATCGAAAATTCTCTCTGGCGGCCTGCTTTTTCCATATCCTGGAGGATCCCAAACTATAACTGTGAATATATTTCTATCGAGGCCCTCTATTTGTGGTTTGAAATCGGTCCATATGGTGCCCAATGCTCCCGGACAACAAATGAGCTTATGTGGTCCATCACCTGCTTTCACAACGTTTATGTTTTGTCCTTTCACCATCACTTTTCGTTCCTGGAACGATTTAAATAAATGGGATTAAAAATGGTTTGATTTATACATTTTTTATCATCATACCGAAGCAGTCGCGTAGGCCTGAATACCAGGACTTTTGAACTATCTAAGGTGGGAAAAGCCTCCACAGGTAGATGGTTCCATAATTTCGATACTCGGATGTACGAAGTTCGACCCGGTTAGGATCGGACGCCGAAGTCAGACGGGTCTGTTTGACAGGCACATCGCGCGGCGCCATCATAGAGGAGAGCTCTGAGGATGAAAGCCTGTCAGTGCGAAATGGTCCTAAGACTGTCCGTTAGAGAACAGCATCGAGCATGGATAATGTAGTCGGGACGGAAGTACTCGAGGCTAGATCTCATCTGGGCCTTTTACAGAGTGAGGAGTTATGTGGAGAAAAGTACTTCTTAAACCTAAACAAATACCCTAGCTTTTTCCAAGCAGCTGTCGCTTTTGGCGAGATGTGTTCGTGCAAGATCTATCTCATTCATCGAAATCGGATGAGCGCTAGGGTGCTTTTTGTTAATCAAGGTACAGTACTGTGTTTTGGAAGATTAAACTGTACCAGATTGCTGGGTCCCAAGCAGTGATAATCTGCCGGTCTCTCGTCAGAGAGGAAGTCGCTCTAGTCTTCTCTTCTCCAGCTCACCGACAGAGATAGACTGGTCACTCTAAATTCCTGCATGTACGGTGTGGTCTTCAGCAAAGATGTGGATTGGATTGATCGTATAGGAAAGGAGGTCATTGATATATGAGAGGCATAATTGTCGGAGCCAAGACCGATCCTTGGAGAACACTGGATATCTTGCGGCCTGAGAGGAAGTCAGCCACCAATCTGCAAAACTTCTCTGGGAGGCCATATATGCCACAGGTGATTGAACGCTTTCGTGATATCAAGAGCAAAATTAGCCTCACCATAGGACTGGATGAGTTCACTCCACAGTTGCGTAGCGTAAGCTAGGAGGTCCCCCGAGGATCGCTGTGGTACCGGAAACCATACTGTCGCTAATCAAGTGTGACGTTCAAGGTACTCCAGATTTATGCACCTCTCCATGCCCTTATTTATAACAGAATGCAGAGCTATAGGCCTGTAGTTGTCATTGTAGTGCTTCTAAAAAGAGGAAACAGGATGTCGCTTCAGTAGATATTGAAATTCCATTCTTCTGTCCGATAAAGTTTGTTTCATTGCTCATATCGTACAGCTGTCACCAACCTCTCAGTGATCGTGTCCAAGATCCCGCCACACAAATTCCATTCATTCTGCTACGGTGTTTAGACAGTCATAATAGTTACCAGCATAATATAAAAAAATCGAAGTCGTGTATGTTTCAAATTATCGACTTTAGAATAAAAATTGGAAAAATCTACACCCTCTGATGATCTTTTAGTTCCCATTACTAAAAATGTCAATTTTTCCTTGGAAAGTGTCATTCCACGTAGTGACAGTAAGACAGATAGTAACGCCACTTATATTGTATTTTATAATGTATTTACTAAATTCACAATGAATGTTCAAAATGCCTTCCTTCAGCAGCAATGCAAGTTTGACATCATTTAATGAAAGTGGCGTTACAATCTGTCTTGCTGTCACTACGTAGAATGACACTGTCCATTACCTCGTCTAAGAAAAAATTGAAATTTGTCTCGTCTCGTCGTTTATTATTTGAGCGGTTGGTAGGATCTTCGCTTTTGTCTGGCAGAATTATATTTTCTTCAAAATCTTACTGAGCCCAGCCAGGGAAGATTTTTTCTTAAGTAGAAAATAGAGGAAGACGAAAGAAACGAAGAAAAGGAGAAAGGGGAGAAAAAAGATAAATAGAATCTAAAGGTGCTTAGTTTGGTTAGAGTATTGCCAAAAGATTTATAATTTAGAGAGCCAGTCTTTTACGTTTAGGTACTTGAGCCGGAGTATAGTCCACTGCGGTACGTAACAGTAACTTGATCTGCACAAACATCGTAGATATTTGCATGCTGTAGTGCGGAGAATTTTGTTTTGCATGACATGCAAATTACTTGGAGGCAAAGCACTAAGCCGCACATGCGTAGGTCAAAGCAGGACGGACAATCGTAGTATAAAGACGAATTTTATTTACGAGATTTAATTTTGAATTTCGGTTCAGTAGCGGATACGAGTACCGAAAAGTTTTCAATGCATTTATGGTGAAATTTTGAATATGAGTTGTCCAAATCATAGTTTTATCTAATGTGACACCCAAATATTTCGCAGTTGTTTCCCATGGGACAGAAACATCATTCACCGAGATCTGCTTTAGTGCAGAATGCCCTTTCTTTGTAAAGTAGACGGCCTGTGTCTTGAAGTCATTAATTTTGATGCGCCACCGGAGGCTTCACTCATATAATTCATCCACGGCATCTTGCAGTCTCTCAGCCACCTGATCAAGCGAGTGTGAAGAGACTACCAGAGCCGTGTCATCCGCTTAAAAAAGTACCTCGCAGTAGGTGGCTCAAGGGATATCATGAGTATATAAAGAATAGAGACTAGGCCCCAAGACCGAGCCCTGGGGGATGCCTACTCTGATAGGATAATACGTAGAATTAGTATCCTTAATTTTGATCCTGAACTTCCTTCCAAGAAGGATTTAAGCAATTTTGTCAGCCTTATTGACTAATTTATAAAGTAGCTCTGCATGCCACACCTTATCGAAAGCCTTTGAAATATCAGAAAAAAAAAGAATTCCAGTACTTTGACTTTAAGTGAATCCAGAGGCTATCGTCTCCACAAGTCTCATTGCCTATTGCTCCGTACTGTGCTCGGCGCGAAATGCAAATTGTACGTCGGGAATTGCTTGCACATTCAAAACGGCAATTATCTGGATGAGTATAAATAACCTTTTCGGCCAATTTAGACGGAGAAGACAATAGACTAATGTGGCGATAGTCCTGTGAAAAAATTGATCATGCGTTTTTCGGGATCATCACAACTTCAGCGATTTTCCAGTATCTTGGGAAATAATGGAGAATAAGCATCGCATTAATTATTGTTAGGAGATATGTCAATGCCCTCGGAGACAAAAGTTTAAGTGCCTTGTTAGTGATTTGATCCCCTCCCGGTGCATTGCATACCTTAAGGTCTTTGATATGATCGTGAAGTTGCGCAGGAGTGCAATGCGGAATATCTAGGAGGGGTTCTACGCTGCTAAGTGTGCCACCGTTCTGAAATAGCTTCTAACCAATCTATGGTTGTGTCCTTCTTCATCAAGGTCGTTATCCAAGTCGTAATTAGGAGAGAACTGTTTTTCCATGATGTATACAAAAACTGCCGCTTTCTCCTCGCTGGTAAAAATCATGCCATTAGGACTGTGGATTGGTGGCAGTTGTTCCCTCTTACCATTTCTTAGAGACCTTGCAACGCGCCAAAGAAGGATGGAGTTGTTTACCATCCCTTCGAGGAAGCTATTCCTTTCTTCATTTCAGCATTCGAATAAAGCGTCCCTAACGGAATTGACAAGATTCGTGGCCCTTCCAATGCCTTCAAGGCGACGAGTACTGTTATTGCAAGTTCTGAAATATCTTTCCTTATTTGAAGTCAAAAGCCATACAAATTCAAACCTTTTGGCACGTGCGCATACAAGTCAAACATGCGCACAAGAAGACGAAACATTTAAGAAGTCAACTCGATAAAATCGGAAAAGGCAACGGTCGTCTGTTAGTACTCTACCAATAATTTTTGTTAAAACCAATGCAGAACTCATATATTTCCTGAGACAAGTGTGGTAAACCTAAGAAGAAGCTGTAAAGGGAGAGGAGCTCCTCCAGGCCAGGCGACAGGAACACCCAATCCTAGATTGTCTTTTTCTGGCTCGGGTGTCGATTACTTGATTACCTACTTTTAATCATATCCGAACCAGAACGCCCTTACAGTCCCGCCGCTCTCCACAATTCAAAATCATCTTTGCAAAAACAAGTACCTTCAGCGATCTTAATGGCTGACCTTTTATCCCTGACCTTTTCTCGAATATCAGCAAGGAGAAACGGAGTATCAGGGGACCTTCTTCTTGAGGTAGCTGCTCTTGTCAGCGCCTCTTGCACGAATCTTGTCCACTCCGACAAATCAGACTCTAGTTTACTCTCAGTACCTATAACTGGAATATTGGCAAAGATCGCAAGTATAGACTTATAGTGTTCCCAATCAATGCACTTTGCCGGAGGAGATTCTGCATAGTTTTCGGTTCCTACGTCCAAGATGACTGAACGATGGTCACTCTGAATGTCATACTAAATTTGCAATTTCTGGATATAGCAAAATCAATCACATCTGGTGTTAACAGACTGTTGTAAGGATGGTGTGTCGGCTTCTTCGTGGAGTGTATGAAGCATTGCATGACATAATTATACAAGCGAACACCGCTAGATGTGTTGAGCCTTGCATTCCATGATCAGAGTTTGAAGTTGTATTCCCCCGCAGCAATTAACGGACCCGGGCTGTCCAGAAGAACTTCCAAGTCCGCCTCTTGAAGCCGAGGATTACACCTCACATACACCGATGCGAGCTTCAGAGGAATGCCCGTCTCCATATTGACCACGACAGAAGCTGCCTCGATGCATTGAAATTTGTAATAATGGGAAATAAAAGACTATCACAGGGTGTATATTTTAGGCGTAGATTTTTGTATCTATAGTTTTCTGATAACTATTATGACTTGGCCTATTCTCCGTGTCCGGTGTGACGTTGGTTTCTGGGACACCCTGTGTATGGACACGCAAAATTTTACCATTTTTCATAAGTCATATGTATGCGCAATAGTATTAATTTTGATACTAAAATATGTCATTTTATATCTTCTTACAACATGCCAAAAATAATATCTAAAGTACTTCCAAAGATCTAAAATATAAATATTTATTTTCTCTATAGTTATAAATTTAAGACATTGCCATGTTAATACAGGGTGGCCAATATATAACTGTTACACATTTCAGTAGGTGGCACCGTAGTAGTTGTTTAAAGTACATGTGGAGCGCTACACGATCGCACCACGCGTCCGTATTGTTAAAACGTTTTACTTAAATAATGAGTCGATTGTTGCAACGATTCGGAAGCTACTACAAGATTTCGGTCGAAATAATGTGCCCAGTGTCAACACCAATCGTCAGTTGGTGCGGAAATTTGATTAAACAGGTGAAGTTAAAGACTTACCAAGGTCGGGTCGTGTTCGAACTGTTTATACTCCGGAAAGTATCGAGAGAGTTGGTGAAATTGTAGTGGAGCGCCCTGAGACGTCTACCAGACATCGTTCTCAAGAACTGGGTATTCGTCGCACGTCATTATGCACTATTTTAAAAAAAGCGATTGAATGTATTCCTCCGGAAACCTACTAAAAAGTGATGGAAAATGTAAACAAGAGGGGTCATTTCACAAATATTCAAGATACAAACCAGTCATTTACTTATCAGCCACCCTGTAAAAACTTTTCCTCGTATAATTAGTTGAGAATAATATTGTAAGATGTAAGGTATTAGCACTTGGAACAGCAGCCGTCTAGCAGTCTAGCTGAACATCGCCATAACGAAGGAAGGTTACCGATAAATTCACTGTATTATTATTATGATTACACCTAAGGTATTGAGAAAACAAAAAAAGAAACGCGTCAACTCAACCAGTGATCCAAGACAATAAATAAATAGCGATTGCATTAAATTAAAGTTACTTACACATATTGTTGTTGACAGTAATCTCCTAGAGTAATTAAACACAGTACGAAAGTCAACTTTAGCGAAACTAAATATACGCATATTTCTCTTTTTGTGACTAATATTAAAGGTGAAAGTTTGCCAAATCTTTGCTGAATGTGGTTTATTTTCAATGTTTTGAGGTTACCGATATCGTTTATATTTGTACGCATATATACATAATCTCTAGATAGCGTTTTACTGATTATTAAATGTTACTCGTGGTCAAGGTCGCACATCGAGGAATTAACCGCTGCCGGTAATCTGTACAATAACGGGAAATACTTTTCCAAAAATTCCGCGTTAAGCCTTATACCGTAATTCCTTGTATGCATCAAAAGCCTCGATAGTTTCCCTAATTCCCCTGATTGCACGTAGCTTCCAAAAATTCTTCGAAATTCCTACTATTACGGAAAATTGTGGAAAGTGAATTAATCCATTCAGCGCTTGTATAATAAAAATATTAACGGGGGTATCAATAAGAACGCAGTATTTGAGTTTAGCGCTAATTTGGCAGTTATAATGTCATAATGATTGTTACATGACAGATCGATAATAGACAGGCGGGAGTTTATGAAAATGAATCATTACACAATAGAACAGCGTATCCTAATTGTTCAAAGTTAATTCCGAAGTGGTGAAAGTTTAATTGCCACGATTCGAAAAGGGCAGCTAAGCTTCGGTCGGAATAATATTCCTACCCCATCCACTGTGAAAAGAATAATCAAAATTTTTGAAAGTACTGGTTCTCTTAATGATGTGAAACATACGAGACGAGCCCGCAGCAGTCGTTCAGAAGAAAATGTCAGAGCAGTTCGCGAAATGACCTGAATAACAACCACATCCTGAAATATTAGCACATTAGCAAAAGGAATATACTCTGTTTACTTAACATACGTAAAATGCTTCAGCTTCAACGATTCAATATATCGTTTATTATTAGATAAGATTTTTAATGTAACAGGATTACCGAAATTGACATTTTTTTTATAAATCATCGAGGTAAAGCTTTCTACCTAGCTTGTCGTCTGAACTCCAATTTGGAATACTCAGAAATATTACACTTTTACAAAAATACAGCTTGCATTTTTTCACAAGAAAAGTATAATATTCCTGGGCTATTTTGAGTGCCTGTGCTATCCTCTTTCATCCATCTTGTTCAACCCACAGCTCATTTTGAGGAATGTTTACTACGGAAATGTAAAAAATTCCTTCAGTGTCCCGCGTAAGTCGCCGCAATTCCCCATGATTGATCACAATTCCTGTTAATTCCCCTCAATGCTCCAAAATGTCAATTGTATGTAAAACAAATTTTCTCAAAAAATTTCTCCTCCATAAATACGGGTAGAATATAAATTGTGCCCATATTACCAAACCTTTAGGATCAGTCTAGGCAGGTCACAGTTCACCGGGAACTTGTGAATTTGAGCTTTTTAGATGAGTCCTGCTCAAGCGACCTAGTTTTTACCTCAAATTCAACATTTCACGATTCATTGGTGGTTACAACCATATTCAATACCGCAAATACTTAACTTTACCAAGTTTTATTCGTTTACAGACAGAAATGGGAATTTTGCCAAGTCCTCTATTTTGAGGCTTCCTACGAGAAAATTTTCAAAAGCCCCTACGTATCTGTGGTCTGATGGATGGGGAAGTTTCCTATTTTTTAAAACATCTCCCAAATGATAATTAAAGACGTTTTTGGGCCTAATATAGTATATCAGTTTTAAAAGATTTAAATATCAAATAACCTTCCTTGGAAGACTTGATATTGACATTTGATGTTTTCGAATCAAAATAAGAACTTCTATATTTTATAGGACTAACAAAATTCGATATTTTTATTTTCATTGATTGTGAACTTACTATATATGGGACCAATTTTTTCTAATAATTTGTCTGATTGTCCAGAAACGGGATATATCACCATTCACTAGAGGCAATTCTTTATTTTAAATTCAGAAAGTAGGGGAATGGATACCTTAGGCCCGTATCGTCAGTCGTCCCTACAATTGTAGGGCGCCTTTATGGCCTCCTTGATTGTCATAGTTTTCTATTTCTCCGTGTCAGCGCTCTATTTTGAGGTTATGTCATCTATTTGCATTTGCATATTTGTGCTAGCTTTTGAGTTATATCATGATTTATCAGCATGAAATTTCCTACAATTTAAAAAGAAAACTTATCTTCACAACAGGAGAGCGCTGACGCTGACACGGGACAAGTGTAATCTAGAAATTTTTGAAGGAGAGAAAGCGGTATGACAATCAAGGAGGCCATAAACGCGCCCTACAATTGTAGGGACGACTGACGATACCGGCCTAAAACCGAATAAGGATGCTTAATCATATAGCAGCGTTGCCAGATGGTCGATTCTTAGGGCAGGTATATGGGACTGTTTGGCTGACTTGACCCATTTAATTTTTTTGTTATATGCACAGATTGGTAGCTAGATCAAATAGACTAACTTACTTATAACTAACTGTCCATTAATATTTAGATATAAAATGGGAAATTCGATTTTCCCTTCGCTTTGCCCTATGCAACTTTAAAATTTTAAAAAATACAAAATTAAAACGTGTGACATGTTAAGTTAATAGTTGGGTGTAGTTTTTAATAATAGGCAATAAAAAATGTGTGGGTCAAAACTAAAATTCCACGACGTGGCTTGGCTGGTCATATTTCAGATCGAGCTCAATTTTTTCTTGGAGAGCACCTGTGGAGGCATGAAACTTTGTAAAAATTTCAGGGTCGAGCGGTTCGGTATGGAAAGGCGCTAAAAGTTTTAGGATTCGTCAAAAGTGTGAATTTTTCATTTTCTCCCTACTCCTGTCAGTGGAAAGCATTAGGTCCGATAATATATGACTATTCTCTAATACGATTGGCCTAGGGACTCAAAAATGATTTCTAAATAAGCAAATAGGAGCGTCTGAGGATACGACTCAGGTGGTTTTTGGAATTACCGATTCAATTGTTTCCAGCAGCGTAGGTCCATCCCATAAAAATGGATGTCTTCCTCTACATTTAGGAGGACAAAATATCAATAAGCAAGCGAATTAGGATAAAAAGATTTCGGACCGGTGTTTGCCTAGTAAACGATTTTTTGATCATGTCTTGTGTAAATCTAAATACCGTTCTTTTTTCTAGAACCTTGCAAAGGAAACTTCACAAGAGTGGGTGGAAATTGTTACCACTTCAACAGTGAGGCTGGTCGAGAATTTGACTGGAAAGTGGCTAGCAAACAATGTAAAAAGATGGGAGCTTTCTTAGCAGAGATGGAGACTATCGAAGAAAACCAAGATTTGGTCACCTATATTCAGAGCAGCAACTATCTGAGAGGTGAGTTATACATTTTTCATCAGTTTTTCCCTTACACATCTCTGCGAAAATAATAATACATGATTGAAAATATAATGCCAGTATTAGTTAGGCCTTCTGAGAAAAAAGTTAGCTACGAATATGTACTACAAAAAATTAAATGACCTTCCTCCTTCCCCAATCCCACGTGAATGACGCTATTAGCCTTAAAAAAATTGAGATATCCCCTCCCCCACCCCCTGTAACCCCTAACTCCCAATTTTTAACCCCTACAAAAATGTTTCCGAAAATGAAGTTTGGACGATTTTAATTTTTTTGACCTTTTCCTCCGCCGCCACTGGACCGATTTTCAAAAACTGCAAAGCTTTTGCGTCCTTGGCATAATACTAACATATAAAAATTTCATCGAAATCCTAGCGGTACTCTCAAGTCTATAAGATTAGCGGACAGATCGACAGAAAGACCGACGGAAATGAGTGACATGGTTTTTGTCATATAATACCAAAAACATAATATATCTTTTTGGAATATTTTCACGATTACAATACTTCCCCGCCGATAGGTGGTAAAATTTGTAGAGAACGGTTGATGTTTTTACTGTTTGTGTATCAGGATATTACAAGTTTCATTTCTATGGAAAATATTCATTTCAAGTACAGATCTTTGTGTAGTTTATTGTTCTGGAGTAAAAAAAATATTATGTGTTTAAGAAGCATTTATTAAGACTAAGTTACAAGTACATATAGGCATTTGGATCACAGTTAAAACTTTATTTTGAGCAGAAGTATCACGATACATCATATACAGAGAAATCCAAATATCACTGACGAGGTAATGTACGAGAGAGGTGTAATACGTTAAATGTTAGAAAGAGTGCGCCGATGGCAACGCGACAAGCCGCAGGTGCGTTTGTGGCCTCGTCACTTGGGTTGCTAGGCAAAGGTTTTCTTTTTCTAACATACATATTGTACGCTTCTCGCGCTTCTCTCTCGTACACATTTCGACTTCAGTGGTACATGGATTTCTCTGTATGTTAATAATAAAGCATGTTTTATTTCTTATTGGACCAGTTCGAGCCCACCCGTTTCAGTCAATCCCCTACTATTTCTGTTTATCATCCGAGCATGTAGAGAAAATGATACTGATTTTACCCTATGATGTCATTATAATGCCGGGTCCACACCAAACCAACAAAACAGCAACTCGATGTTCTCAGCAACTCAACGTTCTCCAACAATTAAGCAACAAATCGGCAACATTTCGTCAACAATTCGGGTTTTCTTTCTGTTTCTGGAAACTTTTGGCGTTAGCGTCGCGAGTCGGAAAAGATCAAAAGGTTTCTGTTTTGTTTTCATTTCAGGCAACATTGTCGGTGCGATGTGTACTTTGCTGCGAAACAAACTTACCTTATCATATTCTTTGAGGCCTTCAGTTAGGGCATTACAAGTTACCGATATTATTATCGCTATTGCTTGTTTTGATATTTTTGACTGATTCATCAAGCTATGATAAGAGTCTCCGGTTGCCAAAAATCTTAGTGTTACGGCCAAACCTTCAACTACGTTAATGGCATTTCTGAAATTGTTATTTTTTATAAATTTCAGGACCGATCAGCTGTATTAGTTCTTCAAAGTTTTCACTGCAGATTCTTACAAAGTTCTCGAAACTAGAACGAATTTCTCCTCGCAATCCAATATCATCTTTACGCAAATCGACGATAATTTTTCAATACCACGATCATCTCTTCCACGTAAGGGTGATTTCACCCAGAAGCGTTTTTTATTTTCCCGGTCACCATTCTGGAGAAACACATAACCAGCAGACATTATGATAAAATATTTGCGCTTCTGCCTTTCAGCATAAAAACGCCACATACTTTCACTCTGAAAATTTTTGGTGTGAACTGCACGAAACAAAACAACTGAAAACTTTTATGTCTCTTGGCAATGTGGACATAAGTTTTCATTTTGTTTTGTTTACAAAAAGTTGCTCATTTGATGCGTTTCTGTTTTGTTCCTTGTTTTTGTTTTGTTGCTTTGATGTGGACCCGGCATAAGATTTTTCGGACAGTAGAATACGAGGTTTGTCCGGAAAATACGTATAAAAGTTTATTTTACAATTGTTCAGGTATTTCTATATGGTCTCCTTCAAAGTACTCCCCCTGAGACAAGATGCACTTCTCCCAACGCCGTTTCCACTGTTGATACGATCGGTGAAAGTCTTCAATTGTGAGGTTCTTCATTTGCCGTGTCGTTTCTGCCTTGATGGCTTCCACATTCCCCAAGTGCGGCCCCCGAAGTACCGTTTTGCATTTTGGGAACAGGAAAAAGTCGCAAGAATTACTTTCAACAAGCACACGTAAATTCCTCTTGCTCGCAGAGCGCTCCGGCTGAGCATAGAGGGGATTGTATAGAGAGATCGAAATTTTAATACGTATTTTTTCGACAAACCTCGTACATTAGAGAACTATGACTAATCACATCATAACATACGTGAATAGTTACCGTTAACCCGATTTGACGTATAAGTGAAAGTGACGTGAGAAAATAACGTCAAATAAGATTAACCTCTATGCCGCAATATTACTACCTATAAACTCTCTAATGTCTCAAAACTCTATTATAATCAGTGGAATTACGACAGCATCATTTCTTGGTGTGTGACCTTGTTGAATTCGAAAACGTGAAAACTTCACATCCATACGGATTCTTCATGAATTTTCTGAGGTCTTCGAACGGAAAGATCTCTGTAATAAGTTATTAGCTGAAAAAAATGTGTTGTATTGATTTGGTACTTATTCTCAAGCAGTTCATACAGACATTAACAAATCTCAAGATGCAAGCTTTGATTATCATTAAGTTGATATAGTCAAAATCACGAAAGATGACTATTACGTCATACCATAAATTGTACTGAAGTAATCAATGAACGTACGTCGATGATAAAATCACTATGTCAGGAACGTAATGACCACAAATTTATAATCAAATTCAAGCGAATAACCAAATGAAAGCGGTATTTACCATTTTGGATTGGTATTTACCGATCCGTTCAAGCGAGTGTGGTAACCAGTTTGGTTATAAGATCCGTGACGTCATGAATCAGCTGTTATATGTCATAGTTATCACCGCAAAATTGTCGTATTTAGCCAACTCAGGAGTAGTTTTATATTTCTGGTTATTAATTGAAATGTGACAAGTTAGAATTTTGCCGGGTATTGGATATTTTTATTGTACTTCAGCTTCATTTTTTAGAAACTTAGTTCAGTTTTAGTATAAAGTAGAGCACCTTATTAGTTATAATCATTACTGTTGTTGGGGATATTTTAAATCTAGTTTCTATGCTTAACAAAGTATCCTGTGTAGCCATATACCACAAGAACATTAAAATATGGCCATATAAACTCACTGGATGATGTCCACCTGTATGCGGATCTGTGAATCTCTTTTTTCATCGCTTTTTCCTACCATTGCTGCTAAATCAATAAATGTTTTCTTTGACATGCGGAAAAGTTCAGAGAGTTGAAAGTTATCATAGCTGAAAAAAAAGATTTCTCCCATTAATATTATGAAAGGTTTCTTTTTTAAACTTTCCATATACCGTTGTAGACGAAAAAGCACCGATTATTAAGTGATAATAAAAATAATCAGAAATTATATACGAGCTTTTCTAAAATAAACAACTTGCAACAAAACCGCGGTTAAAACCAACGCGTTCAAGCGATTCGAGTAACTGACGTCATCAACCCGTGTGTCATCTTGAACCATACTATAACCGCGATACATAACTCAGAAATTTTGGTTATTCGCTTGGATTTGATTTATATATTATGATTTTGCGAAGTTTAGGTTATTTCACTGATTATTTTTATTTTCATTTTATTTCATGGTTTTGAGTGATACCTTAATAATAATTTTAGTGGGGAGTTTTTGTTTTGAAAAAACAGTGATGTATAGAATACCTTAAGACAGGAACACCAAAGACCAAAGTATTATTTGAAAACAACCTAACCTGCTTTAGCATAACCTATTCATCTTTCAAATATGATCGATCATGCAACATGAAAACATCGTCTATCTTTGTTGGATACATGCAACTTAGCAATACAGTTTATTTAGACAATAAAATCCTGTTTGTCTCTGTCTAACATATTCTAAAATATTCACAAATTGATGTCGTTAGTCTTTACTATAGACTAAAATGATGACGTAATCGTCATCTTTCGTGATTTCGACTATATATATATATATATATACCTCCCATAACTATCTTAAGCTGTAATGATTGATCGATGTTCACGTGAACATCACTCAATCACCGGTAGTCGGGTTTTCAGTGGCGGGGTATGAATTTTTAATGTGGGTGAACTTGATTTCTTTTATATGTTTAATAAAAAAGGAAATGGTTTGAAAACGTTATAAATCAGAAATTTTCAGATTAGCTTTATCAGTTTTTTTTCTGATTATCCATGACCTAATTGAGTCTACCTCTCTTCATTCGTCGTCTCTTCCACTTAGATCTGAAAGTAGTAAGTTGTCGCTATCGCTTTCGTCGCCAATAATGACTATAACTGGCTCCGTGATGGTGTCGATATTGTGGTCAAGCTGCCACATTTTTGGTTCTTCCTTCACAACATGACGGATAGCATTCTGCCACGATTAAGTCGTTACTAGCTGTATGGATTTATCTTCCAAAGCCTTGACGTTTGGTAATTTAAATGTTGTGTTATTACGCGCAGTATAACCCTTCACTTGCGCCGAGATGAGCTCTATTGGGTTCAGTTCACAATGGTAGGGCGGTAAACGCAGCTCAGTGACATCGCGATGACGGGCCATCTCATCAATCACGTAACTAATGTTCGCAGGTTTGTGATGTTTAATTGTTTCGTGCAGTTCCAGTTCCAAACACTACTAGTCTACGCCAATGGCCTTGTAGCGTGGAACCGTTGAGGCGTCATCTTATCTCAGGACCGGAATCAGTTTTCATTCTTCCTTTCAGTTTAATTAGGGTAATATTCATGGGTGTTCCTTACTCTTAGCATGTTCGTTGATTTTGACTGGTTTTAATGTTTTATTACAAGTAGACGAGCTCATCAGCGGAAAAATTACAATACCTTATAATTTTTAAGGCGACAAAATCATCTTGAATTGCAAAAAGTTGTGAAATATAAAATATTAATGCAAATGAGATATTTCTCCCAAAAATGCAAACTTCTTACTTACTAGAATATACCCTGTTCTGGCCTGACGCCTCTCGACAGCCGTTCTGTCGCCCGGCGGTGGGCATGCTCTGATCACGCGCATAAGTCATTACAGTTTTAGATAGTTACAGTATAGTCAAAAATGAGGTTTCTCAAATTTAAAGTGACTAAACTATAAAATTGGATAAAGTCTTTGGGATCGTCACTCTGACGAAAAATAAAATTTGGAAACGATCTGAAATGTTTTTGTTTTTTGTTGATTATGCCGCGGTTACAGCGCCAATTGCCAAAAATAACATGGATTTTCATGGTATTGACGCAATGAGACGCACTAAGAAGGTCTAGTTGGATTTCGAAAATTTTTGTGATTACAATACTTCCCTCGCTTATGCACAACAAATGGAACTAAAATCATCCGAAAGTGAAAAATAGATTTTCAACTTCAAAATAGCTCTCACTTAATCCAATACCTACCCTAATTTCATAGCAACAAGTACAAAGTAGTCAATCTTACCATTTCAAATCACTTGAAGTCACACCTAATGTTTGAAAAATATAATGCTGCTATATCTCGGCCATTTCTTTATAACTTCAACTACGTTGGTACCCGGACTCGTTGGCTGGTACTTGGTAGTCTGGTTCTGTCCAACCACTTGGTAATCAACCGCTATGGCGTCCATATCGAGCCCTTTATCCATCAACAATTTAGCTGCCTGAATCATCTCTTCATTCAAGAAGTCTTCATTGAAGTTTCCAATGAAGGAAATTCCTACGTTGTATTCAGACATCATGTGGAAGCTTGTGGAGTTCCACCCTCTCCCTACGAATATGGCTCCATCACCACCGATCATGAAATTGTATCTGGAAAATGTTGTATTATGAACCTTCACGAATACTCACAAAGGCCCAATGATTTTGAAATGGGTTCAATTTTTAATGACTCTGCCATATGGCTTAATACGATGGTCATTTTGTAAGTAAGAACCGTTTTTTAATGGAGTTAGAGAAAGTTTCTGAATACCGTCCGGTAATTTTATATAACAGCCTATAACTTGATAAGTACCAGTCGGATTTTGATGATGAATTTTCAAACAAGGTTACTACTCTGCCAAGGATAAAAAAGTATTTATTTTTTGGAAATCGGTCTGGTAGTGCCTGCGCTAGAGGCAAAAATACAAAAAAATAAATATCGCCTAAACTTCGTTTTTTGACTTTTCAGAGGCTCCTGATCATTTTCGGATTTTTTTTAGGAGTTGAAACTTGGGGGATGTGGTAGGCATGTAACGTCTTTAGCATTATTCAAAGACGCCCTATCATTCAGAAGCTTCTGATACCAATAATAACGGTAAAATTAAATGATAAAAGTCCGATGTATAATGTGCTCATAATTAATATGCAATCGTTGATGTTGCGTCCATGGAGCGATGCTGCATCGTCATGAAGGCCACTGCCGACTGAGCAACGGGTTACACCAACTCATCTACGGTAGTGTCATCACTGACACACCGCTACAGGAGAAATATTTATATATTTTAGCAATATTTGGTTATTAGGAGTACGGCCGCTTCAGCGTTCTGCGATGCTTTTGTATGATGACTTGACTATTTTTATATCTACACATACAGTAGCGGACAAAAGTTTGGAAACATTCTTAGTAATTTTTAAAAAGTGCGCTAATTTTTTATTATTTATTATTAAGGACTATATTTTCTCACATAGTTTGCTTACAGTCTTGTGGATACAAATGACAATTTGTGTTTACTGTGGTACTACAGACTAGCATTAAAATACTGTAACGATAAATAGTACTGTTGGCGCCATCTGTTGGGAAAGTCTCCTACTCGCCAGAGCTTCATGAGCGATCTCTGCTTTTACGCTGCCCATGTCCGCACAAGCCGCTTGGCGGCGTCTGTGAGGACCGTGGCAGTGTCCCGCCTTCTGGATCGACGCGAAGTAGCCTCGACTATTCTGGAAAGCCACTATGTGGCTCCCGATTCTTCTAGACTCAACGATGCGGATTATATAACTCGGCGGCCAGGAGATGGAAGCAGAGTACGGAGAACGGTAGAGTAGCAGAGCAGAGTGGAGTATAGTGCAGGCAATGGCGACATAAGAATTAGTCAGACATAAATAGTGGTGTATATAAATGTTTTATCAAGTTAAATAAATTAGTGCATTTCTTTTTGTGGAATCCAGTGTTTTAATCCACAACCAAAAGAACCCAGAAAAAACGCTACAATACCTTCATATTATTTTATGACCAAAAATGAAACTACAAAAGTGTGGAAACATGTTTTTTATTACAAAATTAAATACAATAGTTATGAAAATATTTATAAAATACTGTTTAGCTAATATTTGCTAGCATAGCCCTTAGTATTCAACACTTCCTGACATCTGCTGCTCTTAGAGGACACCAATTTTTTTACAGACGTCTTTTAGGATATTTTGCCAAATATTTTTTACATAATTAAAAAAATGGTTCCGAGTTTTTCTTGTCAGTTGTCTTTTAACATGCTCCCAGAGATGTGCCATAGAGTTTAGATCCGGGGATTGCGAAGGCCATGTAAGAACATTAACATTTTTTTGTCTTAACCAGTTCTTTTCGAGTTTTGAGGTATGCTTGCGGTCATTATCTTGCTGGAATGTCCAACGAAACGGCATTTATTCTTCAGTAAAATGGTTCATTAAGAATATCTTTGTAATGTTTTTGATCCGTTTTCCCAACAATTTTATCAAGTGGACCAGTTCCAGAACTAGAAAAACAGCCCCAAACCATGATGTTGCATGCACCGTGCTTAACTGTTGGCAACTGATACTTTTTGTTGAATCTTTTTCGTATTGGAAGTCTCATGTATGCCATACCGTCAGGTCCAAACAAGTTAAGTTTGCTTTCAGCGCTCCATAAAACTGCATTCCATTATTGTTTTGTACAAGTTAGATGAATTTTAGCAAACGCCGATCAATAGGATTTTTTATGAAATGGGAGGCTTTTGCACTGGACGCCTACCAAAAAGCCCAAAATCCACCAAGCGTGTCTGCATTGTTCTGACAGAAAGATTCTTGGCACCGTCTTCTACGATTCATTTGAAAAGCTGGCATTCGAGGATCTTCATCGGACAAACATAACGGTTTTTTTTTCGGTCTACCGTATCTGGGCCGCGTTGCTGTGGATCTGTATTCTTGATATTTACTAATAATTTTCGAAATCGTCCCTTTGTTCATTTTGAATCTTTTGAAAATTCTGTGACTTTTGCCATTCTCACTGATGTTACTATTTACCGCACGCAATATCAGTATCGCAGAACGAATAAATACGGCAAAACTGAAATGTTTCCATACTTTTGTCGTTACAATAACTGTGGTATCTTAAAAAGCGAGTTTTTATTTTCAGAGAATTTGAATATTGAGATAAAGATAGACTTTAATATTTATATTATCTGTTCCTTCACAATTTGAATTTAGGTATATGAAATAGTTCATAATAATGTTAATATTTGTTTCCAAACTTTTGTCCGCTACTGTATATTTCTTTGAATTTTATGATCCTTAAATGTACCACCCATTTTTCCTAACTTTTAATTTGCGGTAATCCGTTTGTGATGGTTTTCTGAATATTTCGTCAATTAGATTGACTCAGTACTTATGACTCATTAACAAAGCGACATAAATGAGAAACACGGACTTGTGTGGTGCTGATATCTTTTAGCAACATAAAACTTGTGAACCGAAGATCTAATATTATCGCGTCTTTAATACCATTGTTTAGGTAGTGGTAGATTTTGAAAATTGATGCAGAGGAGGCGGAAATAAAATCGCTGGAACATAGTGTTACAACGTTTCAGAGAGTGCTGCTCATTTTCGCACATTGTTTGGAGGGAGTGGACATTGTTGGTTGGAAGCTATATGCGGTAAATGGTTATAAATTGTTGTATATTTGATGACAGTGAACAGTGACAGTATTATTAAGAAGCTGCTGATCTCACTGATACTACGCACCTGTTAGACATACTAAGTCTCACTTATTTTCCCTATATCTACCATGCAAACAGAAATATGATTGAGTTGTTTTATACAGATTAATTTGCAGATGTCGAAGATTCATCGTGCCTGAGTGAACCTACCTAATCACGATTCGATTTCGCCATTTGAAATGATTTGAATCATCCCTTTTCTTTGAAACCTCCAATGAAAGCGTAGGAAGTATAGAGTCAATCTATTTGATGCCATTTTTTACATTCAGTTTTATCTAATTTTCGGACGAGACATCTGTACCTACTGATATTTGAAAAAAAACGAGTTTTTCAAAATAAATTCGAGATCCAATATCTTGAAAACGAAGCATTACCGGACTAATCGTTATATTATTTTTTCTTTGATCATGCATTTTACCACCCTGTATACAATTGAATTTCTGTAGAGATTAATTAATTACGGGTGTTACGTGCCAAAAATCTGTAAAGTCTATTTGACCTACCCGATATCATTCCAGTTTCTAGCCATATGATCAGCTTGTAACTGTTTCAAGATTTTAGAACATTCATCTATGGTCTTGCAGAACGATGAAGCTGTGTGAGAGATAAGCACCACCTTAGGAGGTCGTTTGAAGGGAATCTTGTCGTGGGGAGGTTCACCTCCTGTAACATAAAAAAGTCTTATAGGGTGAAACAGAGGAGCTTTAATATATACAGTATGTTATCAAGAGCATTATAAAGACGTATTGAAATAGGGAGAACGGCATACAAGCTGTGTGTGAGTTGAGGAAATCATAGATTGAATCTCCAGTAGGGAAATTAAAAAATAATCGATATTCTTTATGATAGATTTTTTTTCTTATAAGTATTCAATTTTGCTAAAATCGATTCTCTTGATAATAATTGTTTTTAATAGATCGATTTTCAATAAGTCGAGTTAATAAATGACATCTTTTAATCGATTCCTGTGAACAGCACTATCTGTGTGAGGTTGAAAAGTCTTGAAGTAAGTTCACGATGTTCCTTTGGAAATTTTGGAAAACAGTATGTTTTCCTTATGGATTTATTAAAAATAAAGCGAGGTATAAGATACACAAGAGACACAAAACGCGATTCAGTATCTCTCAAAGTGGCGAACTGGCGAGCTGACAAAGTTGAGAATTTCTGTACAATCAGTAGCTTATAACCCACAAACTAATAAGCAAAACCTAATGAGATATCATATCAACCTCCTTTTGGAAGAGCCTCTTCGATTATGCATCAAAACACTTGTATAATGATATCCTGAAAATGCGTCTTTATAGATATGATATACATATACATCAATAATACTGTGCTTGAAAATTGAAAGTTGGGTCATTTATTTAATTATATTTAAAAGAAGCTAACATACCAAAAATTACCTATATAAAAGTTGCATAATAAGAGAGTTATTATGTAACTTATGTCAAATTAAAAATTTAAAAAAAAATCATTTTTACAAAAACTATTCGAAATTGAACCCATTTGTTCGATTAGCGCAAAATCTTACTAGGTGAATCCACGACTCTTTACAAGCTTCGGAAATAAAATACTGGTGTCCACGAATTAAATCACAAGAATTTTCAGAGCGCTGTCTTCCAGAGTATTTACTGCTCCATCATACACTAACTCTTTCAAATAGTCCACCAGAAAAAAATTGCAAGGCGTTAAATCCGGGGAGCGAGCGGGCCAAGAAATGGGCAAATTGCGCCTTATCCATCTATTCGGAAACTTATTACATTCTGTCTCACATTTGGAGGAACATCTTCTAATAATTGTGGCAGACTATGTCGACGAAAATCTAAATACATTTCACCGGTCATTCGAGGTGGAAAAAAGCGGGGTCCAAAAAGCATGCCATTTACCACGCCAGTCCAAACATTCAATGAAAATCTGGGTTGATAATAAGTTCATATTACAGCTTCCGGATTTTCTACTGCCCAAACATGATTGTTGTGGAAATTGTGCACTCCATTTCGTGTAAATGTGGCCTCGTCTGTACACAAAATTAATTTAGTAAAATTTTCATTTCTACCGAACAGGTTGTAACGCTTGTACCCGTTGATTATGATAGGATACTTTACTATGAGAAATTTCAACTTGAGCTGGTACGGCTCTAGTACCTACTCATTGTTGGATCGTTTCCGACAATTTCTAAAATGTCTTCTTCAATTTGTAACATATCAGGTTGAGCAGGTCTTAAGCGTGACCAACTTGTTGTTCTTTAAATATCCTGTATCACGAAGTCTAATAACTAAATTTACAAATATCCGGATGATTTCTCGTTGGCACTCTAGTTCATTGCCTTCGTAAACATGAGGCATTTTTTTGCACAAAATAATCGGACAAATGAAAGTATACGTACTATTAAAAGATTGATACACTTGATCGAACCAAAGACTCATACTGAAAACCATGCAATAACATAGAAGGTTTGCCAAATTTATATAAACGATAAGAGTAGTTAACAAAAGACGCTAAGATTTTACACGGCAGTGGTCGAGAATATCAAAAAATCTGTGTAATAACATTCTTATTTTTTAATTTTTAATCTTTTATTATAACTTTTATCATGCAACTTTCATATAGGTGTTTTTTGGAATATCAATTGTTTTTATTTATGTAATAAAAAGTTTTTTCAAACTTCTGCCTAGGAGCAACGCTCCGTCCACGCACCACCCTGCATAGAAAACATACGGCTGTTTGAATAATAGAAAAAATGTGTATATCTATTTGTAACAAGAAAAAATCGAATTTAAGTAAACAATTTTCCACTGAGTGTCGCATTTCGCAAACTTCAGTTACCATCAGAGTTACCAAGAAATTTGGGTTTGTGATGCTCACAAAAAGTAACAAATGATGATGTTTGCATGCATAATTGTTATACCTATCTTATTGTTGAATCAACCTGATAATTCTTTATTTACCCCAGCTGTCTCTATAGTATATGGGATGAGTGCCCAAATGGTCTCCAAAATAATCCGAGTCCACGTCTGGAGGTGAATCGGTAGAATCAGAAGAATCACTCTCAGCTTTCTTTATGTGTGTGAATATCACAACGCAGGCAATAATTGCAGTTCCGATTACAACCAGCAACACCACACATAAAACTCTGATAGTTTTTGGTAGCGAGTAAAATTTAGTTTTCAATAAATTTGTTTGTGTTGGTGGGTTTGTGTTCGTACCTGAAAACAAAAAGAAAAAAAATCTGTTAAATGAATAAGATATTGTTGATTTTCCGATAACATAGCAATAAACGTCCTTCTTTCTTTTGATACCTTCACCTAATACTCAGAAAGATAGTAACGATATGGGAAGCGCCAATATTTAGATAAAATAAACATAAATAGCAATAATTGGAAAAAATGTATATGCTATAAACTAAACTAGGCACATACGAGTAGGAACGTAATTCAGCTATATTTTTACGCCATTAAGACACCAGTACATTTAAAAATTTTTACGATAAATCCGTAGCTTATCTACTTTTGAAGCACGCTTTATTTACTGAAAGAATTAGGATTGTATTAGGAAAATAATTCCATCTCATGAAAATTATCCATTTTCTATTGTTAATTTCTGTATCTCGCTATGGGACCATTCAAAAATTACGTAGGCACTGCAGGAGGGGATATTCGCTTTGCTTATTTTTTAAAGGAATATTTATTTTTTACTTTTTCGGATGTTCTACAAAGTTTAGTCGATTTTGACTTGAACAGATATGGCCACTCTGCATGTCTAAGGGTTCCCCAAATAAAATAATAATAAAAATATTTATTTGTCTTCAAAATATAAACTATACTCAAAAAAATATTATATCGAGATAAATAAATGAAAAACCCGCAGAAGGGTGATTCTTGTGCGCGAGTAAAGACTTACAAACTACTCTTATACTAACGACAACACAACACTTATTGTTTTCTTTATTCTAATGTATCATAAGAAAATAAATAAATATGGAAATGTTGTCAAGTTTTTTTTTACTCTAATTTCTCTAGTGTCTCAATTCGGCTGAAATCTACATATTCGGGAATATTGTCCAAAACAGTTTTTCTGTTTACTTTAATCAATTCTTTTTGAGATCAATAATTTGGTGTGAATAAGACCTTGGTAAAGTCATTATCAATTGTTTTACTTTCTTCTTAAATAGCCTAAGTGAGCTTATTTGCTGTAGTTCTTCAGGGAGCATATTATAACACCAGGTCTCAGAAAACTATAGCACCTTTGTAAGACATTTTTTTCTAGTTTTGAGGCTTGCCCAAGATTTTTTCCGTGTCATAATTATGCTTCACTGTTTTCATGTTGTTTCTGTCAGTGTGAACGTTTATGAGTATCGTGTATGAGTATAGTTGACGAGCATCAAAAATATTTGGTTCTTGGAACAATAACTTGGATATAACTTTGGCTTCTTAAACATTTGTCCCTATAATGAATTTTTGGATTATTTCTGAGTTTTGAAGATATGTTATATTTGCAGCTCACCAGGCAATAATACTGTAGCTGAGATATTTTATAGTAGTACTGTGCGCAACTTTCCTATCATATACTCAATGTGGGCGTCCCATCGGAGATGAGCGTCAATATATATATATATATATATATATTCCAAGATACTCTATTCTTTGCACCAATACATCTCATTTGTTGTTATCCACTGTTATATTTAAAGCTTTGTAAGAAGGCAAGTTGTTGGTGTAAGAACAGAAGGGGATAAAATGAGTTTTGCTGAAGTTACTTGTCAGTTTCAAGCTATCAAACCATTGCTTGATTTTCACAAAATGTCGTTCCATAAGTGATTTTGTTTCATCCCAACTTGCGCTGTCTTAAAGAACTGCAGCAAAACTAACTGTATGTCTCTCCATTGACTGCCTGTAAAGGCGTGTCAAATATATGTTGAAGAGTACAGGTCCAAGCACCGTACCTTAAGGAACTCCCCTTTCCAGCAGTGTAAGGAGCGTTTCATGACTGACGATGTCAAAGGCCTTAGCCGAATCTATGAATGCACAAGTTATTTTATGGTTTTCATCCATTTTTTGGGAAAATTTAGAAATTAAATAATTAGTGGTATCTTGTGTTGAACGTCCTTCTATAAATCCATATTGATTCTCAGACAGTATGTGGTTTTTCTTTAGATAGCTGACTAGCCTTTCTTTGAATATTTTCTCGAATATTTTAGCAAATATAGATAAAAGTGATACAGGCATGTAGTTGTTAGCCGCCAATTTATCATCATTTTTATAAATAGCCATGATAACTGCTACTTTGAATTATGAAAAGCAGGGCCCGATATTGAATCACCAGTTTATCTGCTTACGTAATACTTGCACGTCCTCTATGGGAGCATTTTAGGTACCATGTTTAAATGAGCTTTTATGGTATTATTTTTTAATCTACTTTATGACCAAGAAATATTTCCACTGTTTTCTGAATCACCTTGTATCTATGGCGCGAAATACTACTTCGAAGGCCCAGGACTCGAACGCGTGAGCCGATATTTTAACCGACACCGTAACAACCGGACTACCCATCCCTCATATGAAAGGAATACTTCTGAAGTAAGGACTTTTGACATACCCAAATAAGGAAACATTTGTATTCAAAAGGAACTTCCAGACCAAAATAGGAGATCTAACGAAACACCAAAGGCACAACCTGCAAGGGGAAATTACCTGCTATACTGACGGGTCAAAAACTGAGCAGGGAACAGGTGCATGTATACAGAGTGTTCATTTGAAAACTTCCCACCACGGATTTATCGAAAACCTTTGATTAAAAGAAAAAACGCCGAGACACGTCAACAGATTTGTCGAGAGGGGGCAACTTTTTTAACAAAAAGCACTTCATCCCCTTCTTCCCTCTGCTCCCCAAAATCATCCGCTCGAAAGTATCAAATAACCAGGGGTATCGAGTAATAGCTTGTTTGAAAGGTCTTTCAAAGTTCTTGATTTTTCAAAATTGGTCCATTCGTTTTCAAGGAAATTAGAAAAATCTTAATTTATCTTAATTTGTCCAGATAGAAAACAAAAACACCCGACAATATTACTTTTGGTTATAATAAGTGTTCAAAATGTTGCCCGTTATTGGCCAAACAATGATATAACCGTTATTCAATTTCCTGACGGACATTATCAAAAACATGTTGTGGTATATCATGGCAGCTTTCGATGATGCGTTGACCAAGTTCATCCAAACTTTCAGGTTGGGGAGCAAAACACAATAGATTCCAAATAGACCCACAGAAAAAAGTCTGATGGCAGCAAATCAGAAGATCTAGCAGGCCGTTCTATAGACCCTCTTCGCCGTATCCATTTATCTGGAAATTCGTCGTCTAGCCATTGCCAACAAAATACATCAACTCTTCGGGAAACCAAAACTAGAACCGAGGGAGTTTAGAACAGTACTGACAGGAAAACTGTACCAACTGGTTCAGAACACTAGATTGCTGGATTGGGTACTATAATCTCGAGGAGCAAGGTACAATAGGCCCTAGAGGCTGCAGTGCCATCGTGTACCTTGCTCGGAACGGGAAAATGGATCGTCCTGAAAGGAATATAAAAGATACACTACGAAATAATGTGCGACAATCAAACTTTCTACAGTCACAAGTCACAAGAGTTCCGAAAACTTAAAACGTAACGTTTGCAATTCATTTATTTATATTGAAATTGACGATCAAAAGATACGTACGAACTGTTCATCGCAACGGTAATACCCACAAGCTTATCTATACAAATATGGAAAATTTGTTTTATATATCTGAATCTATCCTATCATAATTATTTATCGAAACATATAGTAGGAGTATTTCTGAAGTAAGACATTTCGCTGAAATTGTATGGATTACCCTGGAAGCCATTTAAAAGATAACTACGAATTCACACAAAAAATACGTATTAAACTGTTCATCGCAACGGAAGTATATCCACAATGTTATCTACACAAATATGGAAATCTATTTTATATATCTGAATCTATCCTATTATGTAATAATAATAAGCCTTTATTGCTCAACAGCTTATCGCCAATAACAGAGCAATTTATAAAAATAAAAGTTAGCTTAAAGGTATTAAGTATATGTATATAATATATACAAAATGTCTTAACTTAGAAAACGTGTCTTATTCCTTATCTCATTATAATTGCAACCAAAAATGTCACAGTCGTTAGCAATTTTATTGGCATTATTACTCATCATATTAACTTGTGCTTTTGATAATAAGTTAGTCTGTGCTCTTTGATATAAAAAAGGAACACTAGCTCGTGAAGCTAACCGCGGCACCAGAAATTGCAACTACGAGAGAGTTTGGGGACAGTCTACTTGACCATGCAACAATTTATATAAAATCAATACAGAAAATTGATTCCGTCGCCTCTCTAAAGATTGAAACTCAAACTTTTGCAAAAGGTCTTTGTAATCGGAACCTCTTGAAGAGTATACTCCATCAGTTTTGAAACTGAGAAACTTCAAAAAAATTTTCTGAATCTTATCAACAGCATCAACATATTGTTTATAAATTGGGCTTCATATAAGAGATCCATATTCAAGTTTTGACCTTATCAGGCTGAAAAATAAAGATCTCAATGTACATATTGTCGAAGTTCCTACAGTTACTGATTATGAAGCCATACGTTTTCGACGCACTAGAAATTATTTGGTTTATATGATAATTAAAGGTGAGTTCCCCGTCAAAGTAGACACCTAAATCTCTCACAACGCTCCAAGACAGAATCCTCCATCGTGTAGTTGTAAAATATAGGATTAGTCTGTCTAGAAAAAGTGAGTACTTTACATTTAGAAAAAGGTTGTTATTTTCACACCATCTCAGTACAATGTTGATTTGTACTTGCAACACAACACAATCCTCTGTCGAGGAAATAGTAGAGAAAAACTTTAAATCGTCAGCAAACATCAACTTCAGACAGTCCAAAGAGACACATAAATCATTGACAAAAAGAATAAACAGTAGGGGTCCTAAGTTAGAACCTTGAGGAACACCGCTGGTAGAAACATGCGAATAGTATCCATTGTAGAAAACATAGTGTTTTCTTTCAGAAACGTAGGAAGTCAAAATCGCAATATAAGTACTATTATAATCATTTTAACTAAGCATTTTATTTTATGATTATTAATGAAATAATTGAATCCTAATTTACCTCGTCTGTCAGTGATGTTGTTGATCAAACT